CTCAACTACGATTGATTGACCTGTCATCAAATCAACTCGAGAGTGCGATTCCTAAAGAATTAGGAAAGTTAAAGTTGTTGTACAACCTTACTCTTAACAACAATCGTCTTTCAAGTGTCATTCCTTCTGAAATTGACCTGCTACCAGAACTCCAATTCCTTAATTTAGCTGTAAATAATCTAAGTGGATCAATTCCACAATAAATTGGAAGGTGTTCGAATTTGTTGCAGTTGAACCTAAGTCACAACAATTTTATAAAAAGCATTCCATTTGAGATAGGCCTCCTACATTCTCTTCAAGAACTTGATCTTAGTTGGAATCTATTGGCAAGGGAGATACCATGGGAACTTGGTCAATTGAAAAAGCTAGAAGTGCTGAATCTCTCTCACAACATGCTTTCTGGTTTCATTCCAACAACTTTGAAGATTTGGCAAGCTTGACAATTGTGAACATATCCTACAATGAGCTAGAGGGCTCAATTCCAAGCAACAAAGCTTTTCAAAAAGCTGCATTTGAGGCCTGTATGAATAATATGAGTTTATGTGGCAATGCTAGTGGCCTAAAGCCTTGTAATGCAGGGCGAAAGGGAAACAAGCTTATCATTTTGATTGTGCCACTCTTATTGGGCATTTCGTTTCTATTGTTAGTTGTAGTTAGAGGCATTCACTTTCTTGAACAAAGAGGTATAGAAAGAATTGCCCAATCACTGGAGGGACAATATGAAGACGCATTTGCAATATGGAGTTATGACGGGAAGATGGATTACAAGAGCATCATTCAGGCCACTGAAGGTTTCAACTCCAACTACTATATAGGGGAAGGAGGCTGCGGAATTGTTTACAAAGCAATGTTGCCAACAGGTCTAGTAGTTGCTGTGAAAAAATTTCGCCAATCACAAGAGGATGAGTTCCTCGATTTGAAAGCTTTTAGAAATGAGGTTCATGTGTTGGTTGAAATCCGGCATCGAAATATTGTGAAGTTATATGGTTTTTGTTCACATGCAGAGCTCTCCTTTCTAGTTTATGAGTTCATAAAAAGGGGAAGTTTGAAGATGATTTTAACTAGAGAAGAGCAAGCAATGGAGTTAGACTGGATCAAAAGGCTCAATGTCATTAAAGGGGTGGCTAGTGCATTATCATATTTGCAGCATGATTGCTCTCCTCCAATCATTCATCGAGATATTTCCAGCAATAATGTTCTCTTGGATGAAGAATATGAGGCTCATGTTTCTGACTTTGGTACGGCAAGGTTCTTGATGTCAGACTCAAGCAATTGGACTTCGTTTGCTGGTACCTTTGGATACACGGCTCCAGGTGCTTTTCTTGAATTCTTTCCTAACATAGACATACATCAACCTAAAATTTTTTGTTAATACATTTCCTGATTTTATTAATGAATTTTATAGTATATATAATTAGTAACTTTCGTCAAATCATAACTACACTTTTGGCAGAACTGGCTTACACAATGAAAGTGAATGAAGAATGCGATGTCTACAGCTTTGGAGTGGTAACAATGGAATTAATAATGGGAAGGCATCCGGGTGACCTCATCTCATGTATTTCATCATCAACATTTTCCTCGTCATCATCCTCACAAATCCACCAGCAGACATTGTTGAAGGATGTGATAGACCAACGGATCCCACCTCCTGCAAATCAAGTTGCAGATGGTGTGGCTTACATTACCGAAATAGCATTTGCATGCTTGCTGCTGATCCCCAATTTAGGCCAGCCATGCGAAATGTGGCTTCAGAGCTCGTAGCTAGATGGCCTCCATTGCCAAAGCCATTTTCAACAATAACATTGGAAGATCTGTTGTCTCACAAACTGTGACTGGCTGATAATTTGCAAAAGAGCTTGTATATATTATTTACAGAATTAGTGTGGGTTTGGGAGTTCTTTTGAGTTGGCCTCAATTAAGAGGAATTTGTAATAAAAGATAAAAAACATTGTTTGTTTTGTGCCTTTAACATAATTTTCTACATTCTTTGTACATTGTTCTCAATTTTAGTTTCCATATATAAAAAATTTGTGCTGCTGATGAAGATAAAAGATTACTAGGCACGGGTAGAAAGATGGATTTACTGATGATCTTTTGGATTTTGACTCCCCCTTCTCTCTAAGTCGTCAAACTGCTAAACTAAACAAGAATTTTCTTGAATACTTTTCAGGTTTTATTCTGTGTGACTGCAGACTAGGTTTTTTATTTTTCAGAGTTTTCAACTCAAACCTGAGGAGCCGACTTGACTTACCCTTGTTGCTTCTCTATGCACCTGTAATTGTTTGCAGGTAGTGTTAACAATATAGATTTAAAGTTTTTACAATTACCCAAAATGGTCAAGGTATAATCAACTTGTTTGATGTCTTGATAGTGTGTTTCTCCACGGCCTCTTGAAGGTTTAGAATATTTATCCGCATTTTGGAGGTTTTGGGATTGACTGATCCGGGAGAAGACAAAGCAATCCCTACCGTTTGACTTTCTCTCTTCCTGTTTATTGATGAATATCAGTGTCAACTTCGAGTTTTCAATTTCTTGATTCTTCAGATTGTGTGTTTTCCAGCTTTCTAGACCAAGGCTCATCTGGTAGTATTCTATACCAGTTCCACGTACGTTCTTCATAATGTGAGTATTTACTTTTTCTAAGAGTTCATAAGGTCATGATAGATATATGCTTCCTTCACTTCTGCATCGCATCTTTCATTGTTATTTAAGCAGCGAAAGAATCACACGTAGAAATTGATGGGACTTTGGTACTTTTTTCTGAGCAGTGAACAGACAATTTCGATTTCAAGGAAACACAATCTGATGATAGCGCAACATGCATAACATACTATGGTTATACTCGAGTAAATGAGAAATAATGCTGATTTTGGATTTGCTATTTCGCGATTGTATGTTTCCAGGTTACCTTCAGTCACTTCAGAGATATATTAATATATATAGTATGTGTTTCCTAAATTATCCTGTTTTCCTTCATAAAATCTTCAACTCGTATCAGATTTGTTACAATCATGGGATGCTGCTGCTGTTCCCCATTTGTTACTAAGTGTTAGTGCATGCTTTTTGTTGAAGGTGGCAGCATTCTTGACTCATTGTTTGCTGATAGAAGTGTGGCTGATTCTGCAAGAGGTTTGTCTTCATGACTAATATTTCTTTCATTCATGATTTGTCCTAAATCTATACTGGGAAGACTTCACTGATTCAGGGGGCGCTGTGTGATCTATAATGGAAAGATCGACTTCACTGATTTCACTCATTGTTACAAACCATTTTTTTTTTTTTTTTTGTACACACGTCAGAAGAAGCTAATGGTACAAAAAAATTTTAGTTTGAGTGAACTAAATGATTTCAAACTGGAGTTTTTAAAACTCTCGAGTAATTATTTCTGTCTTACGCTGTGGGGTTGGGTTTGGAATATATAGAGGATCCAAAAACAGAAGGCAATACCTAAAGGCTCAAAGCCTTTGTTCTCCTTTTTGTTTTTTTTTTTAATGCATGTGGTGTGGGCCCAAATCCAAACTCAACCGCTCAAATTCCTTGTAATGGGCCGTTTACAAGCTTCAAGAATATGGGCAAACAAGAAATCAAAAGGGTCTTCTCAATTGTCAAGCGGTTGATAATTATCTTTTTGGGCCGACTCGAGATAAGCAGGGTCATGTTAATGGTCTCTACATATTTTAACAGCAACTAAGCATTTGATTTCAATTTTCAATACTCTCATTAATAATCTCTCATATTGGATAAAAAAGTATTTAATTCTGACATATTGAGATAGGGGAAGAATTATTTCTATTTTTTTTATCATAGATGTGATTTTACAGCCACATCAGTTCTTAGATGTTAAAGAACTAGTCTTAATAATTAGTAGTTAGTGAAATAAATAAATAAATAATCTTATTACTTCGACGGAATGAATTGACCATCGTTATAAAAATAAAATGATCTTTTGCAAGCATAAAAATCTCATTACTACAATACTAGAAATGTACTCGTAGTTAAAAGTATTACTACAATACTAGACAGTAGTACAATATCTTTCATTTAAAAGAATAACCAATTCATTTTATAAGTCTTTAGGTATTTTTATTAATTCATTCAATATTATTTTAAATGATTGGTATGGTAGTTAAAGAGATATATTTTATTTTTTAACCATTTTTTTTTGTAAGAATTTATTAAATTTTCTTTTGAATACATTGATATGGAAGTAGGAGATGCCCTTTAAAACTTTTTTGGAAAAAAAATCTTAATTAATATATTAATTAGCTCATAGATATTTTTTTAATGTCGAATAAAAATAATCATCTAATGCTTTGAATGAACTAACAAGTTATGAATTGCATATTATCTTATTTTATTATCTTAGATTCGCAATTAAAACTATATAGTCTTGGCTTCTTGGCTGTTCAGAATTGGTTCAAAAATACCACGATTATTAAACAAAAATAGAAAATTTGTTAATTGTTTATAAATTAGGAATTGTGCGGAGGGTGAAAAAACCGTTTTCGTCAAATCAAATGCCGAAGTTGTCCTCTCCAAACGACGCACAAAACGTTCACTTTGATGTTCATATTTGTAATTTCAACCCGGTTACGGGCTAATCTCGCCACGTGGCATTTAGTTCCCTCGCCACCACTTTCCGTACTAGCTATGAGGTCTGTCTTGATACGTGGCAACTGTAAAACCTACGAATGTGGCCGGATCATTCTTGTAGCAGCGTCACTTAATTTTATAGACAATCCTGTCCTTGGACCTTTTACTACTCTATTTGCTGTTCATTAGTAAATTCCATACCCTTTTAAGGTTATAGGGTTTGAAATATCAGAATGTGCCCATTTTACACCCTGTAAAAGAAAGCTTTGATGCATGCTTTGCTTTGATCTCTCTTCAAAACCCTTTTCTTTGTCTTTTTGATCACTAGTTTTGGTTAAGAAAAACACAAACCCCTTATTTATAGAGTTAAAGCTGGTCTTTTTGGGGTTCTATCAAAACAAAAAATGGCACCTGAAAATGGTCTCACAAGGTTTTCATCAACCTCCATTGTGTTGATCATCTTGATCTTGGTTTGGATGCCATTAGTCCATTCTTCTCGTTCCTGTAAGTTCAAAATCATTCCTTTCTTTCTGCCTCTTTCTCAAGTTTGGATCTTTTGTGTTTGTTTCGTTTCTTTTAATGGTTTACTGTGGCATTTCATGTCATCAGGTTTACGATGTCATGCAACAGTAGCAGCTGGAGATAAAGCCAGAAATGCAGCAGAGGTAATGCAAAAACATAAGACCTTTTCTTCAAATATCATTGAAAATACAAAAAGAAACCTTTCTTACAGATTCAATCCTTAAAAAAATCAACTTTTTGTCTTTCTTAGCCTTTTTTTTAAAAAAAAAAAATCTGTTATCAAGCTTGTTCTTTTGATGGGTTTCTCTCTCTTTAGTCCCATTTTCTGAACTTGTTTTTCTTTTGGCTTGTAAATCCAGGATCATCAAACTACTTATCTGGTCAAAGTAATGGGGAACGGAGCTGCTTCAGGCTCAGTTGCAGATGAGGAATCAGAGAGACAACTCAGACAAGTGCCATCTGGACCAGACCCTCTTCATCACAACAACACCCCAACTACAAGACCATGATCGATGATATTGATAACCTCTCTTAAAACCCTCTTTAATGGATCTTCCAGTTATAAAAATGGCGGGTTTCTCACCAGTTTTATCTGCCTCTTCTTCCTCGATCTTCTTTCAGTATGGTTCTTTATGGAATATTTTGTACATTTTTTTCTTACATTTTTATTATAACTTCGAAAGATTTATTGATATTGGTTGACACGGGATGAATGTTTTCTTATTGACAATCTTTGAGCTAATTTTGCTACTTTACTATTCAGTTTTGAAAGATCGCTGGGGGTTGTGATCAAATCTTTCTATTTGATGATGATGGGTTCTGTTTTTATCTGAGAAAATGCCAGAAAATTAGAAAAGACAAGAAACTAATATGTACATAAATAGATCCAAAAATTGTTTTACATTTGTTAGCTGTCATCGTACGATTCATCTGTTGCATGCCCTCTGCCAGTCTACTACAGTGCGTAACCTTGTAAGAGACGGTATATTCAACTGGATATATAAGCCAAAGTTTTAACAAAAATCATGAATTTTTGCTCATGTGTATTTTTGGAGATCAATTTTGTCCAAATTTTTGTACATTAATTGTTGTAAATTTAATATTGTGACAATATCATTCTTTTGGCAATGGGTTTTGCTACGTTATATAATGACAAACATAATGACATGTGTTGGGAAATATCAAATATGAAATGAGTAAATTATAAATTAGTCCCTCCAGTTTCAAGAAATCAATTAATTAGTCCCCTCATTTAAAATATATATATATATATATATATATATATATATATATATATATATATATATATATATATATATATATTATTTAGTCTTTTAATAAATGTGGGTCATATTTAATTTAATATTATTTTTATTTCAAAAAATCTCTTATTTTTTCATCATTCTTTCTATATATTTTTTATTTTTTTATTTCTTAAAATAAAAAAAATTATAAAGAAGAAAAATAATTAAATTATAAATAGATTTTAAAACAAAAAAGATTAATTAATTTTTTTTTCTCGAGAGGGACTAGTTTATAATTTAATCATTATGAAATTTATCATCATAGGCCAAAAGTACTTTCATTTGTGAACAATTTAAAAATTATTTTGGTTAAGAATCCTTTTTGAGGATGATCTATTTATCAGATCATGAAAAATTATTTGTTCTTCCTTTAATGATTTTAGGCTAAATATTAAATATCAATTGTTGTTTTATGATACAATACCTATTATACCTAGCATTAGACATACATAAGAAATGTCTTCTCACAAAAACGTAAAACCTATTTCGTCTTTGTGAGAAAATAAAGTACAAATTCTGACGTATCTAATAATTTTTGGACATAACATACCCACCTGAACATGAATGTTGTCCATGCCAACATGTTTATATGCAAGTATATATTATTGCACCATAATTGAATTGTAATTAGCATTTTTGTTTGAATAATGATAGATTTAGTGAATTATTTTCACAAACATGGAATCCATTAATCCAAAATATATTTCATTAATATATTTAGTATTATTCATTAAAAAAGGACTAAATTCAAGTGGAAAGTTGCGTCTAGTATCCATTATATATATGACCATCTTCTTTCTATATTATATTAGCATTTTTGTTTAAATTATTTTCACTTCGAATCCATTAATCCAAAATATATTTTTTATTAGAATTAGGCCCATTGGCCCAAGATAAAAGGCATAAAAGCCCAGAGAAGAGCCTGCTCTTTGAAGTCATGTGAATGCAAACTTGCTGCAAACTGTCTGTCCGTTTCAGTTAATAGGGTAGGTGTTATCCCCATGGGCCTACGACTAGGAGACAATATCATAGGCCCAGATATTGAAGGCCATTTAGCCCGCTTACTCTTTGAAGAGATATAGTTGTGGTTTTTTTAATCCCTTTAGTTTTACAAGATAGATTTAAATAGTCCCTTTAGTTTTAAAATATAATAAAATAATCCTTTTATTTTTAAATTTATCTGTAACGTAATCATTTTCCTTCTTTTTCAATTTATTTTTTTATGAATAAAAATAAATAAATAATATAGAAAGATCGATGAGAAAATAAAATAGTTTTGAAACAAAATAATATAAAACTAATCATGATCAAAACTAGCCAAAAAGATAAATTAATTAATTTTTTAAACAAAAGAGATTATTTAATTTATTTTGTAAAGCTAGAGGGACTAATTTATAACTTACTCAAATAAAAAGAGAAAAATAGAAGACAAATAAAAACTTGTATTTGTGCATTTTCGAAGATCCCAAAGAAATTCAGTAATGATATTTCATTATCTTTCTTTTTCCCTTGACTGGTGGCATATTTCAAGACAAAACCCTAATGGCTCCATTTCCATCAACTCTATAATTGATTCTTGGACTTGTTTAGCATATGAAAAGGCTGATTCCAACCTTAAGTCACTTTAAACATCAAATCTAAAGCTTTCTTGACCAATCACTACAAATACAAAACTTATCAGATTCAGCTGGTTTTGCTTGATCAAGTCATAAAATGATAAACTAATAATTGCAATTCCTCAATTATTTAGATAGTAAAGTTATTTTAACATTTTTTATTTGCAATCACTTCGGGTAAATTGTGAATTATTCTCTCTATTCTTCGAAAAAAAATTAATTATTTAATTTTTAAAATACCATTGATTATATGTAATTTAATATTATTTTATCAATAAAATAAAATATTATGATTTTATATTTTATATTTTTCTAATGTGTAGTCGTGGAACTTTGGAATTGGTCATTGGATGAAGTGTTGTGAAATTGATCTGAGTAATGTTTCAATAAATAAATAAATAAAAATCTAAAAAAAATTAAGTGTGATACGAGTATTTAAATAACAAATTAACATATTAACAAAAAATTTGAATTTCAACGACAAAACCAAGTTTAAAAGAAGGAAAAATTTAAGGAAAATTTTATGAAAGTAGTAAAGAAAATTTTCTTTAATATTTTTTTTAACATTAAGAAGGGAAAAGAAATTTAGATAGTTAAATTTTGTTGATTTGAGAAAAATTAAAGATAGTTAGGAAAGTTCCTTGAAAATATCAAGAAAAATATCCTACCAAATATCTGACTGACTTTTTCACTTTTTTTAATAATATCTACAACATTCAATCATTAGAAAATATCTTAGCCGTACCCGTCGCCCTCTTTAAACCCTCTCATCGTCCAAAACAAACACGCGCCTAACTCCTCCTGACGAGCCTCCTCAACCGCTCACCGGAAACCACCATGTCCTCCACCACCACTGCCGCTGTCGGGAACGATCTCTCAACTCCCACACTCGACACCGAATCTTCAAACCTCCTCCAAACAATCTCATCCCACGGCGGCTACGCCTACGTCAGAATGTCAACGCTCGCCGCCTCCGGGGACTTCAGAGCGGCAGAGGCAGCGAGAGAGATGGCGTGGGAGCAACTTCACTCTGGTCCATGGCACTCCGTGCTGCCAGTCTGGCGTGATGCATACTCAATGGCGTGCTTACTCGTGGCGAAGTTTCATTATCGAAATGGCGAGTTCAAAGAGATGCTTAGGGTTTTGGATTTGGCATTGATTATGGGAGGCGTGCTGTTGAGGAAGGATTTGGAATCTGCGATTGAAATTGTGACAGCAAAATCGAGAGAAAAGGACAGCGAGGGTTTTGAGAAAGGACCAAAGTGTGAATTTGTTGATGAAGGGGCAGAGTTTGATAAAGAGGAGGTGAGGTTTGTCTCGAATTCTTTTTATTTATAGAAATGTAGTGTAAATTTGGTTTTTTGGGTTTTTTTTCCGGAAAGTTTTTTTTTTTTTTTTTAATTTTGTTTTATGACAATGTACCTTGTTGTGGATTTTATAATAATGTTTAAAGTAATATCCCTGAATTTGGACCTTTTTTTTGTTAATTTCTTCTCCATTTTCTTAATTTAAAATAATTTAGTTTAAAGGGTGTGGAATTGTATAGTTGATAGAGTAATTATTATGAGATAATTTATGGCTGTTCTTGATTTACAGTGCTACAGGATTTGCTTTGTTTTATAATGCATGAGCATGGTATGTTGAATTTTTGTTAATTACTCACGGAGGCTTGAATGCTTTGTTTTTTGATGGGGCATCTTAGTTTTAGTTTGTTTGGATAGTCAGTTAGTTAATGGTGTTTTAGATCAGAGTAAATAGTAAAGAACCATTCCATTGTACAATGCCTAGTATGTTCGGTTGCTTTTATGTTATGAAGTAGCTTTATTTTTGAGTTGGGTGGTTATTGGTTTATGGTATGGTGCTAATAAGAGGAACTGGAATCTTAATATTTAATGTGCTGTGTTTGGATTTGTAGGTGCTTCATGTATTGCCAGTGAAGTCCTTGTCTAGTAAGATTGTGGTGAAGAAATCTGGTCTATCTTTAGAGGGCTTTTTACGCGAACATTTTCTATCTGGTTCTCCAGTTATAATTAGTGATTGTATGGCTCATTGGCCTGCCAGGACAAAGTGGAATGATATGGATTACTTGAAAAGGGTTGCTGGTGACCGCACAGTTCCAGTTGAGGTGATTATTCTTCCCGTTTTTTGCAAAATTTTATGATTTGTGCTTTTCTTATAATAAATGGAAGTTTAGTGGATGTCTAATATCCATAAGACATCCCTTCTTTGCTGTAAATTGTTTCCAAACAAAGTATTTTTCCTTCCCTTGGTTATGTGTTCTTTATTTGTTATTTGCGATAGATTGTTTCTTAATAATCCACTGCCTGACTATACTTGTAATTTTGCATATGATGTTTAAAGCTTGGTGACACTAATACTATGGTACCTAAAAACACCACTCAACTAATCAACTAAGCTTCAATCTCAAAGTTAGGATTGCCTACACGGATATGCATTTTCCTATCCATTTCTTAATTGATCCCATACTGTGGTCTCTCAAAACAATGGCATGGAGTGAAAATTTAGCCAGACGAGGTTTGTTAGTGAATCTTAGAGGGGATTGCTGAAACTTTAAGTCTTGAATTGTGAAATTAAAGAATATAGTTTCATTTAACCTTTTGAGTGACGATTTGGATGTAGCCTATGAGACTTAGTGGGAAAAAGAGTAATCTCTTGGTTTTGGATGTAGCCTATGAGACTTAGTGGGGAAAAGAGTAATCTCTTGGTTTTGGATGCAGCCTATGAGACATAGTGGGAAAAGGATTAATCTCTTGGTTTTTGGGTGGAGTCAATTTCATACTCTAAAACTGCTGTCCTCTCAGATTTTATTTTTTCGAACGCATGCAAAAATAATTATCAATATAATGAAATGAGTCGAAATGCATAGGAGGTTCAAACTTCGAATGTCCTGAAATTGTAGGATATTCTCTCGTTTAGGGATTAAACAATTACATGCACCTTTTAGGCTCTTTTCACATTCTAGACATAGCATGATCAACCAGGAACAAACAAGCTATTATCTATTAATGGTCTGATTGATGTTGGGCATTTGAGAGAAAATTTGGAGATAGTACTGCCCTTACATTTGCAACCCAAGCAATGGCTCCTAAGTACTCTTAACTGTTCATTCTTTATATTTTCGGAATATGCCCAACAAAAAATTTCGTGACGACATAAATTACTAGGAGAATTATTTGGAGAATTATGACTTGCATTGCTTTTACCTTGCTTCCTTTGGCAATATTGCCTTCATAATGCCAAACAAGCAATCAACAAAAGTACTGTGGAGTCTATGGCGATCTCCACTATGAAGTTCTTGATTGGATGCATTCAACGCAAACCTATATCCATAATTCAAGGATATGTGCATATGTATTTATATTTATCCCTGTGGAATGGGCTGTGTGTGTATGTTATTCTACAACAAAAAGTTAATAAAAATGGGAAGTCTTTTGCAGGTTGGGAAAAACTATCTATGCCAAGAGTGGAAACAGGAGCTTATAACATTTTCACAATTTCTCGAGAGGATTCATTCCAATAACTCTTCTTCTGCTGTCGCTACATATCTAGCACAGCATCAATTGTTTGATCAGGTGGGTTGTGCTTGCATAAATGGGCATATAACAATGGCCATCAACACATTGAAATATGCTATTTTTTACATTTACTTGACAGATTGATGAGCTACGGAAGGACATTTGCATTCCTGACTACTGCTGTGCTGGTGGTGGTGAGCTTAGGTCTCTTAATGCTTGGTTTGGTCCAGCTGGGACGGTGACCCCATTGCACCATGATCCACACCATAATATACTTGCTCAGGTTTTAAATATGTTTCTGTGTGCAATGCTCATAATGAGATGCTGCACTTTTTTCATGCATCTTTCTTCATTAACCAGTAGCTAGATTGTATATCTAGTCTTCTGCTCTTTTGCACTTTGAATTTCAATTATTTTTCCTCGTAGCTTATACTCATTGTTACTATGCTTATGGTTCTCCTTTTGTGTGCATGTATGTGCATTTGAGTGGCATGTTTCTTGTTGAAAGTAGTCTCTTCTAGGTTAAACGTGAAACTGATTTGAAGTACAACAATTATGATTTCGGTGGTACCATTTTCCCTTATCTATGTTTCTTGCGGCTCTTCTACTTGCATAGTTCTTTTGTGTGAATGCCTGTGCACATGCATGTTGTCCGTTTAATTAATAATTTAACAAAAATAAGTGAGTTGTTATTTTACTCAGAAAATGTCACTTTATTTTCAGGTTGTTGGCAAGAAGTATATCAGGCTCTACCCTGCTTCAGTGTCAGAGGAACTTTATCCATACAATGAGACTATGCTTTGCAATTCAAGCCAGGTAACTGCTTTCTAGCATTTTTATCCTAATGATTTTGGTCACGGTATTGAATCATACACCTGCCTACCTATCAATCTCTTCTATACTTGCATCTAATGTCTTTTTGATACTCTGTCTTTCTGAATAAGTTTCTGTTCTGCATTATTACATTGACTCTCCTTTTTGAAGGTCGACCTAGACAACATAGACCATGGACAATTTCCAAAGGTGCAAGACCTAGAATTCTTGGATTGCATTTTAGAGGAAGGCGAAATGCTTTACATCCCGCCAAAATGGTGGCACTATGTCCGATCTCTAACTATCAGTTTTTCAGTTAGCTTTTGGTGGAGCAACTCTGAAAGTTCAGATGCATCGTGACTGCATACCGTTTTCATGCTTGAGATTTATTCTTTTTTATCAATAGATCTGGGCTTAGGGTTAAAATCTTAATTAATGAACTAGTACATTCTTATACAAACATTCGTACAACATATGTGAAAATGGAGACCTCATGCCTGTAATTCATGATGTTCTCAAAGTAAGATTAGTAAGTAGTATTAGCATTGTCTAGTTTGTCTCTGAGGTTGGCCAAAAATAGAGGTCAGGATATATTCATCAATTACCATGCCATTTCTGGCTCTATTCTACATGTGTCTTATGATGTATTGGAGTTTATTGGATTCTAAGATAGTTTTTGATGAACAAGCCTTGGATTAGATCATAACCGTGCTACTCATGCTTGGCATGACAATCTCATTGTATAAAATATGAGGCAACTTCAGTATACACGTAAATATCTAATATCCACATGATATACGCCAAAAAAAAAAAAAAGTAAATTATAAATTAGTCCTGCTATTTCTAGAAACGAATTGATTGGTTTTTGTTTTAAAAATTAATTATTTAATTTCTTGTAAAGTATGGATGATTTTTAGTTTAATATTATTTTATTTTAAGAGTGTTATCTTTTTTAATCGAATTTTCCATATTTTTAATTTTTTTCTATTTTTTAAGTAAAAAATCAAAATAAAGTGAAAAACAGGAAAAGAATTAAGCGAAAAAAATTCAAAATATAGATTAAATAATTGGTTTTCGGGAAAAAAATAATTTATTTATTTCTCAAAACTGAAGGACTAATTAATAATTTACCGACAAAAAAAGAGACATTATTGTACTGCAGAGCCATGAAGCCCATGAATACAATCAATAAAATCCAAATCTAAAGTCACTGTCACTTTAGCCACCAATTTCTTCTTCGGACAGACCGACAAAGACGTCAAAATGTGTGGCATTTCTTCCACGCCAATGGACAGAAAAGGAGACCATAACACCAAATCTCATTTTTGTCCTAAAAAATTTATATTTCTTTCAATCTTTTCCTTACTTTTCAGAGGAAATTATAAATTAACTTTTCTAGATTCAAAAATCAAATTAATTATAAACAAACAATAATTATTTAGTTATTTAATCATTATTAATTTAATTTAATTTCATAAATCTATCCATAGTATCTATTTATTTTTTATTTTATAAAATAAATTATAGAATAATATAAAATGAAAAAATAATTAATTAATTTTAAATCGTCAGGGATTAATTGATTTATTTTTCAAAATTAGAGAAAATAATTTATAATTAACTCCTCCGTCACTATATGAAATTAATATTCCGAAGAGGAGACCCACCAGTAGGGACGAGGTCAAACCCCACACAAGCTTTTCATATTGCTGTCACAAATCAATTTATGTCTTTCTTTTTATCTATTTTTAAAAAATGGTGTTTGATTAGATAACTGATTTGGTGGCAATGTCCAAGTAAGAGTTTGACAGTTCAACATGCAATTTTTTTTTTTTTTAGATCTTATTATTTCTGCAAAGCTTTGCACGGGCAACAGTCAACGAATTGATTATATTTTTGGTATATAAAATTATTAATTTTTTTATTTAAATTGTGTAAAAAAATTTAGCTGTCATGTGTCCCTTAATAAATCTACATTACAGGCTTACATGTACAATTAATAAATATATCAGTTTAGAGTTAACGAAACTATTTAATAAAAAAAATTATAAATTAGTATATTTAAATAGTAAAATTAAAATTTATACATTTAAATATTAAAAAATTGACAAATTTATGTACTAAATATGTAATAAATTCATTTTATCGTATTTTTCTGGTTGTCAGGTATAGAACAATAAGATCCACAAATTAGTAACCCACAATTTGATATTAGGTATACAGTTAACAGTCATATCAATATAAAACTAATAAAAGTTAACCAAATTATTTAAATAAAAAAATAAAATTGACACCTTCAAATAGAATAAATTAAAAATTTATACACCAATATGTAATTAAATAATAGTGAAGTACAAATCTATAGGTTATAAATACAGCTTCTAACATAAATTAGATTAATGAATCTCTCTGGCTAATTAGGTAAAACCATATGAAATCAATTAGGTTAGGTGGATCCTTTGGCACCACTATTTTGTCCTGCCGTTAATTACTCAGTATTGAGCATTCCCTATTTCTTGACAAGGGACACAAACAAATGGAGGTGGGGATTGACATGAATCACAGGGCAAAACGAGGCTCTTTGTCAGACTGCCGCCTACTTTTTATCCTTTTACTTGTCCACATTAATACTTGCTTATGGTTTGCCAAAAAGAAATTGGGCAGACAGATGGTCCATTATTCAGCAGAATTATTGTAAGAAACTACAGCAGTAGGTAAGAACAATGGAAGATCATCTTCTTGCTACTAGAACAAAAATTGTCAAAAGTGGAGGAAAAGAAAGCTGAAAGGAAATCATTAAAGCAATGCATTACTTTTATTAGCTTAATTTTCAAAGTCGTTCTTCTTAATTCTCTCCTTGACTTAAGGCTTGTGGTTTGCCCCATCTCTCTTTAACATCACGGCTTTGAAAAAAGCATCCAGTGCTTCGACAGAGGAACCTTCGAAGCCATATCCATCTCTTGTGGCATTTTTTATCATCCCCTTGACCTCCTTAGCTTTCCTTCTCATTTCCTTGCCTTTCTCTGTCTCACTCATCACCAACTCAATTTTTGCCTTCATGTCTTCGTACCTGACCTCACAAGTCTTCCCTCTAACAATTTCCACACAAACCCCCAACTCTTCTTCCAGGAACTTGACGTTGAAAAATTGCTCCCCTGCCATAGCCCATCCAAGCAATGGCACCCCATTGTTTAGTGCTTCAAGCACAGAATTCCACCCACAATGACTCAAAAATGCACATACAGACTTATGTGACAAAATTTCCACTTGGGGTGCCCAACTATGCACTAGCAACCCTCTTCCTGAATCTTTGATTCTTTCTTCAAATCCTTCAGGCAACCATTCTTCAGCTTTGAATTCTGAGTTTATGTCGAACCCTATTGGTGGTCTAACAACCCAGATAAAGTTCTTGCCACTACCCTCCAAAGCCATAGCCAACTGCATCATCTGTGATGAAGATATTGTGTTGTTTGATCCAAATGAAACATACAGAACTGAATTCTCAGGCTTTGTATCTAACCATTCCTTCAAAAAATCTGGTGAAATTCCAGCTTGTTTGCCAACTCGAGTTCTGTTATCTACCGACATCAGAACTGGCCCTATAGCCCAAGCAGGCCTGCCTAATTTCTTCCTAAAATAATCCAAACCAAGCTGATCAAACCCCTCTACCGTATTAAACAAAATCCCATTAGAATCCACCCATGCTGGTAGATTCATTCTTTGAAAAACAGACCAAGAATCACTCCCATCTGCCTCTGAAATACTCAATGGCAACTGAGACACATGAAATCTGGAAGCTTCTTTAAAATCTGGCAGCTCAAACTCATCAGAATCCACATCCCTATGAGGAAGTGATAACCAGACAGAGTAATAACAAGCCAGACCAAATCCACCAGCACCACTAAAGACTGCATGAAATACTCCAAGTTCTTTAGCTACAGTAGCTGTCCATCCAAAAAATATGTCAGCAATAATACAAAGTGGAGGCTTCCCTTCTTGCTCTTCTATCATGTCTTCAATGAGTGTTTTAAAGGCAGGTTTGAGAGAAGTAGAGGCATGAAGAAGTTTAATGATAAGAGGGTAAGGAAGGATATCAGTGTTTTCAGTGTTAGGAGGCAGACCATGGTTTGAACTATTGAAAGGAATTTCCAGAAGCTTGATGGAGGAGTTTGGTGGGATAGATGACTTAATTTTCTTGATGTTAAGTGGGGTGTTAACAAAAGTTATGGAGTAGTTTTTTCTTTGCTCTATGTGAAGTGCTAACGCTAGAAATGGGATTATATGGCCTTGTGCCATGAATGGAAACATCACTATGTTCTCCTTTGGTTCTGCCATTGTTGTTGAGGAAGAGAGAGGGAGAAGGGGAGAGGGAGAAGAGAGAGCAAATCTTCTTTAGGTAGCAAGAGGGGATCAGGCAAGTCCAATTTGGCCAAGCATGATTTAAAGCCATACACTGAGTCTTGATATGCGGCTATTGTTCGGACTTTAGTACGTTGAATTTGTCAAAAAAAATGGCAAATTCTTATTCTACTTTGCAAAATTAAATTAACATGTTTAAAATCAATCTTAACTTTTTATTTTTTGCGCAAAAGCTAATGAGTATTTTCAGAACATCCGTTCAATATTATCTAAATATATTTATTATACTAAATTTACCATTGGATTTTGTTAAAAAGAGAAATAAAATTCGAATATTTAAATGAAAGTCATGGATACTGATTATTAAATAATTATTATTTTATTTGATATATATATATATATATATATACACACACGTTCAAAAGAATTGATTTGAGTGAAAGGATGTCTAGTTGTAAAAAATTCTTTAAAAAACTATATCTATTTTATATTTATTGTTTTAAAATTATCTTATAAAATAATATTTAATTAAATATATATAACCAATATAATTGATTTTCATTATTCAAATATTTGATTGCTATCTTTTTTTCTAAAAAAAAAAAAACTCAATATAGCATCAAATTAAACACAATATATGCAATTAGATTTTTTATTTCTTACCGCATACTATAATGCTCTTTAGTCTTTATGAATGAATCTTTACATGCTTACTTTTTATCCCTTCTTCAATAATTGTAAGGCTTTTCCTTTTCCTTATTAGAATAATGTGTATATATTTACTTTAATAGAGAATATTGTACAATTTATTGGTATAAAGGAAAGAAAAAATGACTATGACATTAATTTGGAATCAATTCGTGAATGAAGCGAATTTTAATTTATTTAATCAATACCAAGCTTACGTTATACCATAAGGAATTTGCTCATTACCTTATCAATCAAGTTCAAGGGAGATTGGATTTAATTTTAAAACAAGGTAGTGAGAATATAGTTATAAATTTTTAATTTTGATATAGATAACATGATTTTCAATTAAACTATACATTAAATTGATACTTGTTCATATAGATTGATAAATTGACTTGATAATATGTGAATCAACCTGCTAATAAAAGAGATGATAACTCGTTCATTGAAAGATTCTTTTTTTTTAAAAAAAATTTCTTTTATCTGATTAATGAATCACCATTAAAAAAAATTCATAGTTTATGAATTTATTTAAATCGGGTTATTGACTAATAAAAAATTTTCAATTTTCGAAAATTCATTAGAAATTAAAGATGAACAATATATATTAAAAAAAGAAAACAAATCATACGTAAATGCTAGAAAGTTTAATACCGAATAGAAGGATCTAGAACTTCAAATTAAAAATAATGAAAAGATTAAAGTGCATGAATTCCTTTCTACTTTGACGGGTAAGCTGTAAATCAACTATTAAAGAGAAAGCATGATGCTTCTTCGAAGGGAGTAAATTATAAATTAGTCCCCCTAGTTTTATAAAATTTTAAATATTTTTTTGTTTAAAAAATTAATTAATTAATCTTTTGACCAGTATTGATAATGATTAATTTAATATTAATATTTTTTTAAAAAATATTTTTTCTAATATATATTACTTATTTTTTCCTTTTTCTATTTATTAAAACAAAATAAATTCAAAAAAGTGAAAAGCATTAAGTTTAAAAATGTAAGGACCAATTAATTATTTATTAAAAATAAAGGAACTATTTAATTTTTTTTGTAAAGTATAGGGACGAATTTATAATTTACTCTTTTAAAGTTCAAGTTTGACTGGTTTGTTTTTGTTTTGGCATTGGCAAAATAAAAATCAAGTGGGCCAGTCCTAGTGTTGGATAAATGCTGGTTTACAGCCCAAGTTTCACATCGGGCTGGAAATAGAGGTTTAAAATGGGTCATGTTGGGCCAGGCTGGTTATAGTCTTTTGCGATTTAAGAAGGAATCTTTTTTTTTCCTTTTTTTCTTTTCCCTTTAAATTCGGATTAGTTTTTTTTGGTTACATTGGAGAGAGTAAATTAATTAGTTTTTAATTTTAAAAATGAACTATTTATTCCTTATGCTCATTTTAATTCTTTTTTTTTTAAATAAATAAATAAATAAACTTGTCTTCATTTAAATTTGAAGGCTTTTATATGATTATAGAAATGTTAGCATTTCCAAGGTACAGGATATTAGAAGTATAGAATGAGATTAGAAGGACGAACCTAAAATTAGAGACGAGGGAGTTGGGATGGCTAATCACGAGTAGACAAAGCCATTAGACTGTTAATATTAAGTTATTGAAGGCAATCAACCTAACTTTATGAATGAGAGGGATGATCACTATTAAAAAAAAGGAATTGATCCATGTATTATGAGTAAATTATAAATTAGTCCCTCTAGTTTTGAAAACTAAATTAAATAGTCCCTTTAGTTTTGAAAAACCAATTAATTATTTTTTTTTCAATCAACGTTGACCATGCTTGATTTAGTATTAGTTTGTTTCAAAAAAAAAAAAAAATCTTATTTCTAGTCAATTTTTTCATAATATCTATTTATTATTTCCATTTAGAATTGATTAGTAGGTCTCAATTAGGGATGATACTTGATTTTCTGAAGGCAAAGTACTCCGAGCTATTGGCAAAGGTTGAAACTTGGTTGACCCCTCAGCATTAACTAATGCAGTAATTGTGTATTTAATATACAAAAATTCTAACTTTGCATTAAAAGTGGTCTTCCTGCTATTATTCTTGGCCATGCTACTGGATCTATTTGTATTCAAGGCTTTTTTTACCCTTTTTTTTTAAAAAAAAAAAAAAAGAAGAAGAAGAAGGAGAAGAAGGAAGCCTTGCCAACCCTATAAAAGGACTAGCATCAATCATGATTGTCAACAAATCGGATTATAATAGATCATGATTTGATTTGTTTAATGAAATATGTCGGATAAAATCTTATGAATTTGGATCGAGTTTTGAAAATGTGAATTTGGATTCGAATTCTAACAAATTCAGATTGGATTTGAAACTCCATTGGATTTATCGTTTGATTTTTTTAGAAAATTTATGTTTATTATATTTAATATATTATTTGAATATAAAATATATTTCAACCACAACATATATAATAAAATATACTAAGATAATATTTCATCTATTAGTTTTGTAAAAAATTCAAAATGTCACTCAATTCAAAAGCACAAAATTAAATAATCTTAATAAAAGTTTGTTTTGAACTAGGTAGGAAGTATGATAAAATTAAAAGAAACAAATAATAAATATTTTTTGTTTTTTGTTTACGTAGTAGCAAAAATAAGTTGATGGCAAATATAATAACACCAACTTTTGAAAAGATAAATAAGTCAATTTATAATTATTTTTTTCATGAAATTGAATTAAGAAAATAACAAAAAAATTATATGTGATTTTTTGAAATTGTAGAAAAATATATGTTATTTGAAATTTATAATAAATAAACTATAAATTTCAACCTAATTTCTCATATATATATATATATATATATATACACATTATTTTAAATTTTAATCCAATCGGATCAAAATAAATCCAAATTTGATTCATTTAACAAACGAGTTAACAAATTCAGATAATTTTTTTTTATTATATCTATTTAATTACATCGAATTTAAGTTAAAATCTGATTCATTTACAACTCTAGTAATTATAACAAAAATTACAAATAAATTCAATTGTCTAACACAAAAAGGCACAGAACTGTAACAAAATTTTCATGGACTAAAATGTTGAAATATTTGTGCAATTTTTCCATATAAGTTGAGAAAATGTTTTAAACTCATGGCTTACATCATGTCAACCACAACATCAACTGGAACGTTAAGTCTCAACAAATCTTTTGCATTATCTTAATAACACTATTACGGAATACCTCTCTCTTATTTTCAAAGAAGTTCGAGGTTCCATCTCATTTTTGTTGAAAAAAAAAAAAGACAAAAACGTAATAGTTGATATCGATCCCACCAAATAATGTGGGTAGCTTTTAATTATGGAGCCAGCTAGCCATAAATAGAATCTTGCAATTCATGCCGTGAAGGCATTTCTAGCTCTCTCCCATCCTTTTTAGGCATAATGGATCAGAGAAAAGAAAATATGGTGATGTTTCCTTTCATGGCACAAGGTCATATCATCCCTTTCTTAGCTTTAGCCATTGAGATAGAACAGAAAAGAGGTTGCACTATAACTTTTGTCAACACTCCTCTAAACATCAAGAGAATCAAAACATGTCTTTCTCCAAACTCTTCCATCCACCTTCTTGAAATCCCGTTTCAAAGTTCTGACCATGGCTTGCCACCTGATTGTGAAAACACTAATGATCTTCCCTATCACCTAATACTTAAGCTTGTCGAAGCCTCGAGGTTCCAAAGGCTTCGACAATTCACCTTATGCAGATGTCCGAGAACCTTGAAGGTGCTGATGGTACCAAGTCTTTTTCTCTGAATCTAAAGAAATCGGTACAAGATTGTGCAAGTATTGACGGAGCTTTGGTTAACTCGGTGGAAGAACTCAACAAGGCAGGGTTGACATTTTCCAGAAAACATTTGGGATAACTTCTGGCCAATTGAGCCAGTTCTTCTACCTCCAGGAATCGGAAGTCGAGCTGGAAATGAAGCTGCAATCACCACAGCAAAGGTTTGCCGAAACTGGCTTGATACATAGCCTCCTAATTCAGTTCTTTATGTCTGCTTCGGTTCACAGAATACAGTATCCGCATCACAAATGATGCAATTGCCTTTGGCATTGGAGGCCAGTAGCCAGAATTTTATTTGGGTTGTTAGACCCCTCACAGGCTGTGACATAAACTCAGAGTTCAAAGCCAAAAAATGGCTGCCTGAAGGATTTGAAGATTGAATCAAGGGCTATTAGTGCATCAATGGGCACCCCAGATGGAGATTTTGTCCCAAAAACCTACATCTACATTTTTAAGTCATTGTGGATGGAATTCAGTGTTAGAAGCTTTAAGCTATGGTGTACCTATAATTGGGTGGCCTATGGCTTCTGAATGATTGTACAATGTCAAGCTCTTGGAAGAGGAGATCGGAGTCTGTGTAGAGGTGGCTGGAGGGAGGACTAGTGAGGTTAAGAATGAAGATATGGTAGCAAAAATTAATCTAGTGATGAACGAGACAGAGAACGGAAAAGAAATGAGAAAGAAAGCTTGTGAGATCAGGTAGATTGTTAATAATTCCATGACTGATAAGGGAGGATTCAAGGGAGTTTCTGTCAAAGCCATGGATGATCCCTTCAATGCTGCAATACAGATGAGAGAGCAGGCAACGAAAACTCCAAGCAATTCGATTTCAACACAGAATAAAAGGTAGTGGCCAAGAAATGTCGGTCTCGTCTGGTAATGACAAATGGAAATACCAGTTTGTGTCCTCCAATTACTATAGGATTGTCCCTTTAACACACAATAAATGTAAAAACTGGCATCACAAAATAAACTAAAATTTGCAGACTACACTGAGGTGTGAAAAAACTATTTCCATGGAGTCCCCATTTATACATGCATCAGTAAAAGGCACTGGACATATACGAAACGAAAATCACAAACTAGAAGTCCCAAAATGTTTTTCTCTCTTCATACAATTAAATTCGGGATCAAACGATTAACAATAATCAACGCAAAAATCAAGTGAACGCACAACCACAATCAAATACCAAGATTTTTACGTGAAAAAGCTCAGCATTCAGGGCAATTTCACTGGCATATCAAAAGAGAAACAGTGACCGAACGATTCTACAGTGATTTTGACTTGACAACTTTAGCAACTTAGCATTATTGAGTTGAATGTAAAGTCTAATCAATTGAATGCATACACTTCCGTAATTGAAAAATCTATGTCAACATGATGGCTATAGAAAAATTTAATCCAAGTGTCATATTATATTTTTGTAAACCATGATTTTTTATTATACTTGTTTTGTATTTTAGTTATTTTATGGTCCCAAATAGAAAAAATACAGCAAAAATTATTTTGCTAGCTAGAGCAGAGTAGAAGCAAGCTAGGAATAAAGTATGAGAAATTACAAAACATATTAAGAGATCAAAGTATTCAAAAGAAATACTCATAATTTTGAATATAGGCTGGAGTAGAGTACAAAAACAGGGCTCAAACGCAATTTCTAAGAAGAGAAAGACAGTAACAACATTCAAAGTGAGCATAGTTGAGGTGACCAACGATATTATTCATAAGCTTAGATGTTTTTACAAGGTACGTTTGTTGCCCAAGGCAGCAGTCGTTTTAGACCTCACAATCTGTCTCCCTTTTTGTCCCTTCTTGTATCATCAATGCAGCATCCAAGAACTCATCCATGGCTTTGACAGAAGAACCCTTAAGATCTTTCTCATATTGAACAGCATCCATAACCACATCCCTCATTTCCTTCCCCTTCTCTGTTTCATCCATTACCAGCATTATCTTTTTCACTATACCTTCATGCCTAACCACACAGCTCTTTCCTCTAGCAACCTCCACACAAACTCCAATTTGTTCTTCTAAAAGCATGACATTGTAGAACTGCTCTGCTGCCATTGGCCACCCAATTAATGGCACACCATGGCTTAAAGATTCAAGTACTGAGTTCCACCCACAATGGCTTAAAAATGCTGATGCAGACTTATGAGACAGAATTTCCACTTGTGGTGCCCATTTGTGCACTAGAACCCTCTTTCTGAATCTTTCATTCTTTCTTCAAATCCTTCAGGCAACCATTCTGTTGCTTTGAATTCCATGTTGATGTCGAAGCCAATAGGAGGCCTAGCAACCCAGATAAAATTCTTGCCACTGGCCTCCAATGTCTTTGCCAATTCCATCATCTGTGGTGCAGATATTACATTCTGTGAACCGAATGATATGTATAGAACTGAATTCACAGTTTTTTTATCAAGCCAGTTTCTACACAGTTCAGAGGTAATTCCAGCTTGATCTTGACTTCTATTGGACAGGAGAACTAGCCCAATTGGCCAGACTGGCTTGCCAATTTTACGCTGAAAGTATTCCAATCCAACCTTGTCAAGCTCCTCCACTGTGTTCAGCAAAATCCCATCAGCATTCGTGCATTCAGGAAGAACATTCTGCAGAAAAACAGAGAAGAGATCTCTACAGTCGGCCTCTTTCAAATTTTCTGACAATTGTGTGATGTGAATTGTAGAAGCTTCAGGGAAATCTGGTAAAGTGAATTCATCAGAATTTTTGTTCTGATGAGGCAGATTTAACCACAGAGAGTAGTAACAAGCAAAACCAAAAGCTCCACATCCACTAAATATTGCATGAAATGCACCAAACTCGTGCAATCTCTGCATACCAGCCAAGGAACATGTCTGTGCTTACACAAAGTGGCGGATGCCCATTTTAATCCTCGACAAGATAAAAAATGAGTTTCCTGAAAGAAGTTAGTAAAAACTAATGAATTAAAGTATAAATTTTATTTTACCATGGTTCTATCAATTTATAATAATTTTTTTATTTGATTATCTTCTTAATCGCTTTTTTTTAATTATCTATAAGGTCTTTCTGTCCATCTCCATTAATAAAACTAAAAGAAAATGTGTTTTTTTATAAATTAATTTCAATTTCTCCTAAAAACTTACATGTTATTTTATCAATTTATCTTCCTAAATAAATTTCTCACATGTTCATATATATATATATATAATTTGATTTTTGAAAGCAAAGTTACTTGAAATATATAAATATTTTATGAACTTCAATTAATAAAAAAGTACCGAACAAAATTCACTTGACATTTGTTTAACCCTTGAACACCAAGAAAAAATAACGTTATATCCGACCGACAGCATTTGATTAAAGGCGATTGGGATCAAATAAAATCGGTTCGGTCCCTTATTCTGGACTTATGTCGGTGTAATAAATTGCTTTCTATGTTCGACAGAAACAACGATCAAGAAATGGAAAAATAAATCTTGACGTGGATCTCTTGAGGAGTGATTAACGGTTAATTAAATCACCGGATTAATTTTGCCACTAAGTTAACTTAATTTTGGTATAATGCTATACATGTTAACATATATATATATATATATATATAGAATTGAGTACTACAATATATTTTGAGTAAATTGTAAATTAGTTCCTCTATTGTTTTTCAAAATGAATTAAATAGTAACTCTAGTTTAAAAATTAATTAATTGGTCCCTATGTTTTTATATATATTTGTAACTTAATCTTTTTAGTTCTTTTTTAATTTACTTTTATTTTTATTTAAGAAATAGAAATAGAAAAAAATAATTAAAACATATCTCTGGATTAATAAGAAAAGAAGACATTTTTTAAAACAAAATAATATTCAATTAACTATGATTAATACAATTCAAGAGACTAATTAATTAGTTTTCGAAACAAAAGAAACTATTTAATTCATTTTGCTAAACTAGAAGGACTAATTTATAGTTTACTCAATATATGATTATGATACTTAATTAGGTAATTGACAACTTTAATGTAGTACTAAGATTTTCCATGTGATTAAAATCCAATCCGATATCAAAACTCAATCTTATCATGATTAGGACTACACCATCATCATTGAAAACCCTAATCTTCTGTTTCTTGTCAATTACAAAGAATTCTTCACAACCTAATTAGCTTTTTAACCCTTTTGAAGAACATCATGGTAAGAACACAATTTTTTTTTTTCTATTTCTCGGTTTTCTTTTTCTTTCATACCTTTTTTTTTTTTTTCATCATATAACGTAACACCTTACTATTTGGCAGGATTCTTACAATAGAAAAGATCAAAGTTGCCAGTGCAAGAGAAAGATGAAAGAAACAAAAAGTATTTTTTCTTTTTCCTTGCCTTGTTTCGGGATTTAGTCACTTTATTCTGTTTTACTGTTTCAGAACTTTTTTTTAGTAAAATTTTCTTTATTTTTTGTTCTTTGTTTTAAAATTTTATAAAACATATTTGTTTAAAAATTTTAAAATAATTCATTTCTATACTGTTTTATTACGATCGCAATGAATTGTTAAAACATTTTGATTACAGTTTTGTTCCTCTTCAAAATTAGTTTCTCCATTTGATTAGTTTTTCACTTGCATTTGTTAGGAACCTCTCAGACTACAGATGCAGAAGGGTTAGCCCATGTACCAGGTCAAGCAGGCGTAACAGGCAAACCTTTGAAGGAACCAGCAGCAGCAAGTCAGGTGAATTATGATCAATACCAGTATAGACCCAAGGTGCATGGCCACGGACACTACAATACCTATCAGGCAAATTATGGTCAACACCGATATAGGCCCATGGTGCATGGCCATGGCTACGGTCACTATAATCCCTATGCGGAGGGTATGCAAGCAAGATATCCATACTTGCATAATACACAACACCATTACCCACCTCCTCCAGTATCCTACCCATACTATGAGCATCCCCCCATGTACTTTCCACAAGCGCCGCCACCGCCGCGAAACGCCAAGCCTGGTGAACCTGACCTATGCAGTATTATGTGATATATATAAGCTAGAATCGATGACTCAAGACTACTTGCGATCTGATATTGATCTAGTTGATTTAGTTTCGATTAACGTGAAATCATATATATGAGCAGAATGGTGTATTTTCTTTCTATGAATATTAGAACACTGTCTCTGAATGAATCAGGACATATTTTTCAATAAAAAGACTTTATAATTAGTAGAAGATGCATAGTATTTATAATGAAATTAAAGGAAGGACCAAATAGAGATTTTGTTTGCAATTTCGTATTGGGATCAAATTATGGAGCATAATTGAGGTGGAATGAAGAGAGAATTTGAGGCCAAATTATTGAGTGAGAAACATGAGCAAGTTGAAATGAAACATAGATGTTCAAAGGAGCATAGTTTTGAAGAACATAGATGTTCTTCTGCCAATTTATTGAGTGAGAAACTGTCATGGAAATTTCGATAGTTTATGGTCCAAAGGCAGCAATATCCTTACTTGATCATGATCATGATCATAAGGTAAACCCCTTCATCTTCCTACTGATTGTCTCTTCTTGTCTCAGGAACGCAGCATTCAAGAACTCATCCATGGCCTTGACAGAAGAACCCTTGAGATCTTTCTCATATTGAACTGCATCCATAACCATATCCCTAATGTCACTTGCTTTCTTTCTCATTTCCTTCCCCTTCTCTGTTTCATCCATTACCAGCATTATCTTTTTCACTATCTCTTCATGCCTAACCTCACAGCTCTTTCCTCTAGCAACCTCCACACAAACTCCAATTTGTTCTTCTAAAAGCATGACATTGTAGAACTGCTCTGCTGCCATTGGCCACCCAATTAGTGGCACACCTTGGCTTAAAGATTCAAGTACGGAGTTCCACCCACAATGACTCAAAAATGCTGATACAGACTTATGAGACAGAATTTCCACTTGTGGTGCCCATTTGTGCACTAGTAACCCTCTTTCTGAATCTTTCATTCTTTCTACAAATCCTTCAGGCAACCATTCTGTTGCTTTGAATTCCATGTTGATGTCGAAGCCAGTAGGTGGCCTAACAACCCAGATAAAATTCTTGCCACTAGCCTCCAATGCCTTTGCCAATTCCATCATCTGTGGTGCAGATATTACATTCTGTGAACCGAATGATATGTACAGAACTGAATTCGCAGGTTTTGTATCAAGCCAGTTTCTACATAGTTCAGGGGTAATTCCAGCTTGATCTTGGCATCTGTTGGACAGGAGGACTGGCCCAATTGGCCAAACTGGCTTGCCAATTTTACGCCGAAAATATTCCAATCCAACTCCGTCAAGCTCCTCCACTGTGTTCATCAAAATCCCATCAGCATTCCTCCATTCCGGAAGCACATGTTGTAGAAACAGAGAGAAGTGATCACTACCATTGGCTACTCTCAAATTTTCTGCCAACTGTGTGACATGAATTTTAGAAGCTTCAGGGAAATCTGGTATAGTGAATTCATCAGAATTTTTGTTCTGATGAGGCAGATTAAACCACAGAGAAGTGTAACATGCAAAACCGAAAGCTCCACCTCCACAAAATATGGCATGAAATGCACCAAACTCATGTGCAATCTCTGCACACCAGCCGTAGAAAATGCCTGTGATTATACAGAGTGGTGGATGGCCATTTTGTTCCTTAACAAGATCAGAAATGAGTTTCCTGAAAGAAGGTTTGAGAGACAAAGAAGCATGGAAAAGGTTGCCTATGAGATGGTAAGGAATAGAGTCAGTGTTTTCAGTGCCAGGAGGCAGGCCATAGCCTGAGCCATCAAAAGGGATTTCAAGAAGGTGAATGGATGAATTTGCAGGGATTGATGGTCTTAGTTTCTGGATGTTAAGAGAAGTGTTCACAAAGGTTATGGTATACTTCTTAGTTTGTTCTAGTTGATGGGCTAATGCTAAGAAAGGTATGATATGGCCTTGTGCCATGAATGGAAACATCACTATCTTCTCTTTTCTTCGTGACATTTCTTCTGATAGACAGTGGAGATGAAGTGGAGGAAAAACAGAAGTAGTGTGTTAACATATGATGTGAATTTTGAGGGGATATATATATATATATATTTATTGTAGAATTACGTATCAAGATCACAACCTTAATTTTTTGTTCTTTTTGGTTTCTTGGTTTTGAATTTAGGTTCTTGGACGGAGAGAGTCAAGATCCAGCGCTAATTAATTATTATTTTTTATATTCTCAAGAAAAATGTGTATTACTATAATACCAAACTTGGGTATATTTTCTTACATCAATTAGGAGGGATGTACTAAAATTAGTACTAAAATTAGGACAAAATGGTCTAAATTATTTGAAAATCAGTTTTGTCAAATTTTAATTTCGGGTTAGACTTTTTTTAAAAAAAAACTATTTTTCATTTGAAATGGAATCTTATGTTAGATTTTTATCAATTTTAATAACGAAAATATAGGTGACTTGCATGTGATTGAATTTTAAATTTTTTCAATATTTAATGTGTCAAAACTTATGGAGACCTTATTTTTCCTTTCAAAACTTTTTTATTTCTTTCTAAATTTTTTTTTTAATTGCTTAGCATTTAAGAGGGAAAAAAGTGTTTAAAATATAAAACAACAAAGATTTTATAAGCTTTGACATGTTTTAACGGTTGAAAAAATTACATTTACATGTTAGAATTGATAAAAACCAATAGAAAGATTTAATTTTAAATAAAAATAATTAAAAAGAAATCCAATTCAAAATCAAAAGTTGAAAAACCGATTTTCAAATGATTTAAAGTTTCAGGTTTGAACTGTTTATGTTGATAAGAGAAGAAAAATTATATACAACCTAACTTTGAACGATTAAATTGTTTGAAATTAACCATTATTCCCATAAAATCAGCAGAACAATTTATTAACCACTAGGAATTGCAACTTCCAAGCCATAATTGATCCACAAGACGTGCATTATTTGATTCAGTGATTGTATAGCATTGAACATTGATTTCTCTTTTTTTTTTTTTTCAATACCTAACACTGCATTATTGTGGATAACTACAAGAGGATTACATAGCTCAATTTATCTTTATATGATAGTATCAATCTTTAATTTATTCTTATATTTTTAATTATATTTATTGTGTCTCTAAATAATGTTTAAGTCTTTAATATATTTTTTCAATCATTTTTTTTACTATGCATATATTTTTTAGTCGAAATGTTTCGATTGAGATGTAAAAAAATAAAAATAAAAAACTTGTTAAGACATCTAAAATAACACGAAGATCGTATGACTTTAATTTTTTTTTTTTTTAGCATTTCAATAAGAAGTATTTCAATAAAAAACTTTGATCATTGTCAAAAAATTAATCGAAGTACATATTAAAGACTAAAACAATATTTAAAAACATAATACATATAATTAAAAATATAAAAAAACAGATTGAAAAGCCGACCTATTATGTAAAGTCAGATTAACCTATTTATCTCTAAAAAGTTAATTTGCATAATTGGTGTATGACTAGACAAGTTAATTTGCATTATTGTGGATAGGTAGAGAAGTTAATTTGCATTTGGCCTTCTTAGCAGGCATCACCCGTGACCATTAAACACAATAAAAAAATGTTAATGCGTACGTAATCAGTTAGGCTTGCCAAATGGAATTATTGGAAGACTAATGGTCTTCGTAAAAAACTACTTTTTCCCATGACTAAAAATAGCAGTAAATTATAAATTAGTCCCTCTTGTTTTGAGAAGTCCCTTTGATTTCAAAAACTAATCATCTAGTCCTCATATTTTGAAATTTACTTATAATTTAATCATTTTTGTTTATTTTTAATTATTTTGAGTTTTTGTTTCAAGAAATAGAAAAAAAATGAAAAGATTCATGGGAAACTAAGAGAATTTATGGAATAAAAATAATATTAAATTAAGAATGTTCAGCACTAATTAAAAAATTAAATAATAGTTTTTAAAATAAATAGAACTAATTAATTTATTTTTTCAAACTAGAGGGACTACTTTATAATTTACTCCTAAAAATAGCTTCCCAAATTTTTCAAAAAAAAAAAAAAAACAGTGATGGGAACAGAACTTTCCTAAATTTGTTCCCAATGCAATAAATGAAAAATAATCAAACAATTAAACCCTTGGACCAAAAGAGTTTAGGCCTATGGTAAGCTTTTGGGTTTGTAGTTCAGCAAGACCAGACATGGGTCTGGGCTTAATGCTTGACCATTACGAAATGCATTTCATCACTCAAAACAAAACGAAGGCACGGATGATAAACTCTTTTTTTTTTTTTTAAATCCGTATGTATTACGCCACTAATCATATAAAATATATAAAATAATTTTATTTTACTATCTATTGTACATTTATCAAAATATATCAAATCAAAAATGAATAAAAATTCATTTAATTTTATATTTTTTTAATCAAATTTACTATTGACTAATTATTCTTTATATTTTGATAAATTTTTTATTAAAAAATTATTTATTTATTTCTATTCATATTTTTAATTAAAAAATTAATTTGTAATTTTTTTAAACATCTTTTTACTTTAAAATTTTTAATTAAAAAAAAGCAAGGAGCAAAATAATCAAAATAAAACTTAAAAGTTTACAAATTGAAAGAACAATATTTAAAAAAAAAAGATTAAAATATAATGTTACGAAAACTTTCAAAATAAATATCTTTAAAAATTTTGAAAACTACAAAAAAAAATTATTGTGTAGTGAAAATGAATATAAATCTTTATAAATAGTACATAGAGAAGTCTAGAAAAATAGTATTTGAAAAAGTGTAATAAATAATAAATTTATATATATATAATACCCATCAAACAGTGCTGTGTCTGGGCAAAGTTTAAAGGAACTATCTATATTCATGAAAATTTCTTTTCCATGAAAGGCCAACCCATTTATTATCTGAGCCAGCATATTAAATGTCACGTCAAATGTTGTATATCCGTCATTCCAACGCTGTTTTGAGTGGGGTGAAAATAAAAATGATACTCGGAATGCAATTAAAATAGGCGTAAAAATAGATGATTAAGTTATCTGAGAATTAGTTTTTTAATTTTTAATTTCAAGTTTTTAATTATATTTAAAATTGAGTTCTGTGAGGTTTTTATTAACTTTAACAGTAAAAGTATACGTAACTTATATATAGTTGATTTTTTTAACTTTTTTAATATTTAAAAATATGACAACATATAAATGTTTTGTTTTCCTTCCAAAATTTATTTATTTCTTGTTAAAATGTTATGTAATTGTTTGCTTCTTAGGATTTAAAAGAATTTTTTTTAAAAAAAAACTATCCATAAATTTTGACATGTTTTCAGATTTAAAAAATTATACTTACACGTTAGAATTGATAAAAACCTAACAAACATAATAAATTTCAAATAATAAAATAATAAAAATAGTCAAATCTAAAATTAAAAGTTAAATAACTGATTTTTAAATAATTGAAGATTCAGAAAAAAAGAAAAAATTGTACCATTTACCTATGTATAAAGCCTAGCAGACAAATCTAATTTTAAATGAAAAAAAAAGAGTTGAAAAAAATCTAATTAAAAATTAAACGATTGTTTCTTAAATAATTTAAAATTCAGATAAAATTTATACTGTTTAACCATATATAAAATAAATTAAATTAAAATCTTCTTGTGCTGCAAAATAGCCTTTTTTTTTCAAATATGATAGTTTTAAATCTTTATTCCTAAAACGAGTATTTTTAAACTTATTTATCAAAATGGATATTTATTGACACATAGACATATATGTCATCAAATGGTATGACTCCGATTTTTCACATCTCACTTTAAACTTTTCAAGTAAAACTGAAACTCACCCTCATCCTTCACTTTTCTTCTTCTCTTTTTTGTGGTAAAGCTGAAACTCGACTCGTAGCTAATGTTTCTTTGCAAGTTTACACATCACCAAAGGCACTTCTTTATATTTTGGAATCTGTTGGGATTCCCATAATTCGAATTCAGCCCTCTTCCTTTGTCTCTTAAAAATTGTTTCTTGCAATAACCTTTTTTTGTATGAAATCTTTTCATTCTTTTATGATGGTGTATGAATCGATTCAAGAAAGTTTAAACGATTATCTTACACCGCTCGTGTTTATTAAATCTTGAGTCAATGTTTTCACACATTCTATGCCCATTGTTGCAAACTTGCAATGAATCAAATGACATAATCCCTTCTTCTTCTTTTTTCCCCAAAACCAATAGCAGATTATGTACAAAAAAGGACATCAACTTTTCTAAGAAAATAGACAAATGCAAATTTAGCCCTATTTAAGGCACCTTTGGCTAGTAACGGTTGAAGCGAGGAACTGAAAAATTTTTACCATCTACATTTTGTACCATTCTTTTAAGTTTCGGGTGAAGTTAAATAGCAACTCCCGAGATGGCATACGTTGTGCCAATCATTAACGTTGTAGCGGATGCCTTTTGTGTCCTTTATCCCGTGGAGTTGATCTTCAAGAAGAAGTGTCGTGGACTCTTTGAAGCACACTTCGAAGTACTAGATTTTTTTTATCGGGCATTCATAGCCCGTGGACGAGTTCATCAAAGAGAAAGCTCGGATAGGACTGCTCTCCTCTTCGACAGCGTACAACAATCTCATTTGAGAAGAAGGCAAATTAATTACAATAAAGGAAAAATGATGTGGATAAAAATCTCTTATGTGGCAAAACAATATCTAATTTGAAAATTAAATTTAAAACTACCTCATTTAAAGAATAAAGATTTAAAAATATCCTAATTTAATAAAAAGCTTCTGTAAAGGAGCCGTCTGTCTGTGTGAAAAGGATACGCGGACATGTATGCTAGAAAATTAGTGGATTATGTAAGGAGGACTTATCCTTCAATCAAAATAAATCCAGAAGAGAAGAAACCAACAACATAAATGTTCATTTATTTCTGCTCTACAAATAGTTAGCAACATAAGCTTTTTTGCTTTCTTGTATATACTCTTATCAGAAATTCGGCATAAGTTTGTCACGCAGCAGTTTTGTCAAAAGACAAGGTCATCACTCATCATCCTTAATCCAAATGCTGTCACATGAACAGATGTCTTATTTCTAATTCTCCACCTTCATCTTTACCTAGCTTAGCATGTATCCATTTAGATGGGGTGACTAAGGACCAATCCATATTGCAATTAAAATTATTTATAATTAGATGATTTGGGAAAATTGCACTTCTTCTTAGGTGGATGGTAAGAAAGTGTATCTAACTTATTAGATTAGAGTTCGATTCTATTTTTTAAAAAATTTTGTCTGTTTTATTAAATAGGTATTGTTGGTGGATTTTAAAGAATCTATCTTTTAGAATCAATCAAAAGGTATAACATATTCTGGTATTCACTATCGACCTAACTCGAAAAGTAAAATACATAATTTCAATTGACAAGTTAACCTAAAAGTATTCTATTATCTATAAATATAAAAAATAAATGTATACGTAATTATATTTAAAATTGAATTCTATTAGGTTTTTATTAATTTTAACAGTAAAAGTATATGTAATTTGTATATAATTGATTTTTTTAATTTTTTTAATATTTAAAAATAAGGCAAAACTTATAAATGTTTTGTTTTCCTTCCAAAATTTATTTATTTCTTTTTAAAATGTTCTTTAACCGTTTGCTTCTTAGTATTCAGGAGAATTTTTTTTAAAAAAAATATCCATAAATTTTGACATGTTTTTAGATGCTAAAAAATTATACTTAAATAACTGATTTTCAAATAATTTGAAATTCAAAAAAAAAAAAATGCACAGTTTACCCATATATAAAGCCTAACAGACAAATCTAATTTTATGTGAAAAAAAAAAAGTTGAAAAAAATCTAACTTAAAATTAAAAATTGAATGATTGATTCTTAAATAATTTAAAATAAAAAAAATACTGTTTAACCATATATAAAAGAAAAGAAACTAAAATCTTCTTGTATGCTAATCATTAAGACAAGGTCATCATCGTTAATCCAAATGCTGTCACATGAACAGATGTCTTATTTCTGATTCTCCACCTTCTTCTTTGCCTAGCGTAGCATGTATCCATTTAAATGTGGTGACTAAGGACCAATCCATATTGCAATTCAAACTATTTATAACTACATGATTTGGGAAAATTTCACTTCTTCTTAATACAAGATTAATAGTTTCGATTCTCTTTTTTTTTTAAAAAAAAACTATATCTATTGTATTAAATAAGGACAGCTGGTGAGTTTCAAAGAATCCGTTTTTTAGGACCAACCAAAAGTTATAACATGTTATAATACTGAGTGCAGAACTAACATAAAAAGTAAAAGATATAATTTCAATTGATAAGTTTACTAAATATATAAAAAAAATCAAAAATAAAAGAAATTGTGCTTCTCCTAAACCAAAGATTTTACAAACCAAACCCCTGTCTGGATAGAACCTTATTTCAACAATTCGAGTAAATTATAAATTAGCCCTTTAATTTTGTAAAACAAATTAAATGATTCTTCTTGTTTTAAAAATTAAATAATTAGTCATTTAACCAGTGCTGGCTATAATTTATTTAACATTACTTTGTTTCAAAACTTGTCTTCTTTTATCATCAATCTTTCCTTCAAAAAAATTGAGAAGAATGAAAATGATTAAGTTATAAATAAAATTTAAAAATAAGAACTAATTAATATCATTTATTGAAACTAGATAGACTATTATATTTCTTTTGAAAAACTAGAGGGATTACTTTATTATTTACTCCAACAATTCTTATAATTCTCCCATACTTAGAATATTCAAATTCTTATATTGTAATTAATGAGGATAATAATCTTCTCCCAATTTCTGAATCCTTACTCCATCCCTTCTAGAATCTAATAATATTTTTTTATTCTCTTGAAAATCTCAAGTCTTAACCACTAAAGCTTCCTCTTGATGCAGACTCAAGACTTTTAAGATTTTCAATTACTTGGCCTACAATGGTTTTTTGCTTTTCATTGATTGGATTTATTTGATGTATAAAAAATCATAGAAATTACAAATATATAGTTCATCTAATTATTCAAATTTTCTCACGTAAGATAAAGCATGCTACGACTATATTTATTTCCCTAATGATATTTTCACCGTTAAATCTTTGAATTTCAATGTTATATCCCTTGCCTTACCCTTCTTGACACTACTGCAGCATGCAAAAACTCATCCAAGGCTTTAACAGAAGATCCTTTGAGACCTTCCTCGTCTCTGATGGCATTGTTAATATCCTCCTTGACTTCACTAGCTTTTCTTCTCATATCCTTCCCTTTATCTGTCTCATTCATCACTAGCTCAATCTTTTCCAATATTTCTTCATGTTTAACCTCACACAATCCTTCAGCCACCTGAACACAGACTCCCGCCTCTTCCTCTAACATCTTTGCATTGAAATGTTGCTCAGCCATAATTGGCCAAGCTAATAATGGCACACCATTGCTAAGTGATTCAATAACTGAGTTCCATCCACAATGGCTTAGAAATGCTGATGTAGCTTTATGGGACAAGATCTTCAATTGGGGTGACCAACTGTGCACCAACAGTCCTTGGTTTTTGCTTCTGATCCGTTCTTTGAAATCGTTTGGTAGCCACTCATTGGCCCTGAATTCAGAGTTTATGTCAAACTCTTTTGGAGGCCTAACAACCCAAATGAAATTCTTGCCACTAGCATCCAATGACAAGGCCAACTGCATCATCTGTGATGCAAGGATTGTGCTTTGAGACCCAAAAGATATGTATAAAACTGAGCTTGAAGGTTTTGTATCAAGCCATTTCTTGATAAGTTCCCATTTGATACCTGATTCTCTCCCACCTCGAGATTCAGTTTTTGTTGATAAAAGAACAGGACCTATAGGCCATACCGGGAGGTTCACTTGTCGCCTGAAATAGTTCAATCCAACATGATCAAACATCTCCACTGTGTTGAACAAAAATGCATCAGAATCCAGCCATTCATTGAACATTTTGTGGTGAAAAACCGTCCAAGGATCAGTAATCTTTGAAACTCTAATGTTTTCAGGAATCTGATTGGTACGAATCAGAGAACCTCTAGGAAAACCAGGAAGTGAAAACTCATCAAACGGCGTGTTCATGCTAGGTAAATTTGACCAGAGAGAGTGATAGCAAGCCATGCCATAACCCCCACCAGCATTAAAGATTGCATGGAATACACCAAACTCATGAGCAATCTCAGCAGTCCATGAAAAGAACAGGTCAACTATTAGACAAAGCGGTGGGTGGCCTAGCTCTTGCACAAGATTGAAAAATAGTTTCTGAAAGGCAGGCTTGAAAGAGTGAGAAGTTTGGAGGAGTTGAACCATAAGAGAGAAAGGAAGGGTATCGGTGTTTTCAGAGTTTGGAGGGAGACCATGTTTAGAGCTATCGAAAGGGATTTCGAGAAGGCGAATGGAGGAGTTTGGAAGGAGAGATGACTTGATTTTCTTGGTGTTTAGAGGGGTATTGATGAAGATTATGTTGTAATTGTTTCTTTGCTCTAATTGATGGGCTAATGCCAAGAAAGGCAATATATGACCTTGTGCCATGAATGGGAACAACACTATATTTTCTTTGCTTTGAGCCATAGCTAAGTAATGCTACCTGAGATTTGAGATGCGGAAGTGACGGTGATGATGCTGGAGAAATAGGTTACTTTGGTGTTTGCAAGGTGGTTTTATGGAATATAAAATATCCTTTATATAGCCTATCCATTTACCCTTTTATATATATATATATATATTGAGATAATGTGTATAGTTTAAAAATCATGATTGACGTGTAGACATAAATGCTTTTTTTGCTAGCCGTAACTTAATATTATAGTTACTAGTTTGTTCAAAGTTCTAGGTCAAGGGTTTATTGCATATAGAGAAGATTAAAAATCATCATATCCATTCATATATAAAGCAAGCTACATTGCATACAAATATGACTTAATTTTTTTATTTTTTATGATAAAAATCTATGCCTATTTCTAAATTTTTACCAATCGAGTCAATTGATTTGGGACTTAGCTAGTCAAGGACCTCGTCCTCACTCTAAGATGGATAGGTATGAAAATAAAATACAAAGAACATAATGAGTGCACAAAAATATGTGACTAGTGCGACCTAAATGACATACATGGAAACATAGCTTAAAAATAGACAAAATACGCAACAACAACAAAAAAAGGGAAAAAACGGCAAAAATGACAACAATGGAAAAAATGATAAAATAGATAAAAATGGCAAAATGGAAAAATAGATAGAAATGGAAAAAATGACAAAATAGATAAAAATAGCAAAAATGAGAAAATAGATAAAAACAACAAAAAGGGCAAAGAATAGTCCAAAAAAGAATTCATACCGACATGATTTCTAATTTCAAAATTTAGGCAAATAGGCAAAACCATTGAAATTGGCAAAAACAATCCAAAGATAGGGTTCGGATCGATACGATTTCAAATGTCATATTTTCAAACGCATGGCAAATAAATTTGATAAGTAAAATTGGTATGGCAAACAATGTTGACATCAACAATTCAAATCAAAGAGTAGATTGACATGACTTAAAATTCATGATTTTTTCGAGATGGCATTTTAGGAAAAATCGACAAAACGATCCAAATAACGATTCGGACCAACACAACTCAAACGTCACATTTTTTAGAAAAGAAGGCGACAATATCAAATTAACCATAAAATTGGCAAAAATAGTCCAAAAATAGGATTCGGACCTACGGGACTCAAGAATCACATTTTTTTACGCAAAATTGGCACAAGTTCGATTTATTGGTAAAGTGGTCTAAAAATAAGGTTCGGACCAATGTGATTATAAATACTATGACCTTCATAAAAAAAACAACGATTAGGCAATCGAACATTCAATTAATAATTATTAAATGACAAATGACTTTTGGACCAACAATGCAAATAATGATTTAATTATGCATGCTCAATTAAATTACACAAGCAACAACAATAACCACGGGATAACCAATTTCCTTATTTCACTTCCATGTTACCGGGGTCTCCAAACCTTTTGTAGGCTCAATACATTACGGTGTATCTCACACACTTCAATCAAACAATACACAATCACATAACTCGGTTTAATCAATTTACAATCATATGAATACAAATTAAATTTAATACAGATTAAATTTAAAGATTGATAATAAATTACTTACCGAAAAAATGAAAAGGCCAAAAGAATTTTTTTATCGTTAAATGGAGGTCAATTCTAACCTTTTCAATCCTATGGAAACCGATTATTTACTCAATCGGAGAAAAGGGATGACTCGTCTATTGTTAGATCTAGATCGAATGGCTACTGCTAGAAGTGGCCGCTAGATCAAAGTCGTTGGATTAAATGATGGGTTGCTAGCACATATCGGGTGGTGATAGCTACTTGGATCGACGGATCGGGTATTGGCAGCTCATCGGATTGATAGATTGGATGGTGGATCGGGTGGTGATAGCTATTGGATCGATAAATCGGATGGTAGAACATGGCTAGACGAGTGTTGACAATTGGATTTGATCGTAGCATGATCGACATTAATCGTTGCTCGTTGGTAGAGGTTCTAGCGGCTCTTGGAGATCGACGACTTAGGAATGGTGGTTGGCATGGGTTACTTTAACAGAGAGTTTCAATAAGAAAGAAGGTCGATGATGATTGTTGCTTCGATTCATTCAATTGGTTGGCGGGAAGTGGCGAGTCGGTGAATGACGAGGGGTTGTGGAGGAGTAACTAGCTTCAATGGTGTTTGTTATGATGGCTAGAGGAAGGATCGGCTAGTGGATCGATTTAGTGTGGTTGATTGAAGCTTTAAAGAAAGAGAAAGAGTTGATCGAGTTCTAAGGAGAGGGTGAGTCGGTCAAAAAAATTTAGAGAGAGAAAGTAACTGGTGAAAGGTGAGAAAGAGAGGGTATTTATACTATTTTTAGGATTTCTTGGCTAAAATTTAGTTTGTTCCCTCATCTCGTAGGCTTGTTTTACTTTGGTCTTTTTCTCTTTCATTTTTCAATTGCATCCTTTTATTGTGCTTTACAGTCCATTTTTCTCTTTTTTTGTGTTTTTGTATTTTTTGAGGAAAATTTAAGTGCTAATAATTATTTCTTCTTTACAATACTTACGATCCAAAGCCAATAAAAATAGGCCTTTTCTTTAGGTTTTATATAGTATGCTTGTAAAAATCATAGAAGAAATGGTAAAGAAATAGAGTATGAAAAACTAACAAATCAAACAAGCAAGGTCATATGATGAATGCCCGATCTTAAATCACCTGGTCAATTATAGGTGACTTCCCTCGAAACTTAAGCTAATACGGATAACTATCTCCGAGGTTAAAAAGATTACCTTTTCCTTGGTAATTGGTTAATATAGGTAACCATCGCCGAGGTCAAATATGTGACCTTCTCTTGACAACCGGTTAATCCGGGTAACCATTCTTAAGATCAAACAAACGAGGTCAAATAAATGACCTTCCTTTAACAATTAGTTCATGTAAGTAATCAACCTCGAGATCAACGCAAATGACCTTTTCTTGACAATTGATTAATATGGATAATCATCTTGAGATCAAATTGATGACCTTTTCTTGACAATTGTTTAATATAGATAACCATCTCTAAAGTCAAATAGGTGACCTTCCTCCGGCAATACTTGAGAGCACAAGTAAATGCCTTATTGTCATTGAAGAAACATAAGTTTCCACTATCAAAACATAAACTTTCTACTTTTCTCCTCATTTGTAAGTCATCACCATCCGAACATACTCGAGGTTTTAGGCTAGGCTGTTGTTGTTGATTTTTATCTTATTCAATCACATGATCCTCGATTGTGCCTCTTTATTTTATCGGCCAACCGATTACTCACATAGCTCGGATGGACTTTACCTTCGTGCTTGAATAAGTGGCCACTTATACTTTATACCCCCAAACTATCAATCCAAATACTTGGATTCTCGTTAATGCATGTCGATGAACCGAGCTCAAAAAACATTAAAGTAGCCCTTGATCATCATTATTTGTCGTCCATTACGGGAACACACACACACACACACACACACACACACACATATATATATATATATATATATTATTTTGCAAAAAAAAAAAAGTTCATAAAAAAGTCTTTTTATTTATCAAAGGCTAATAAAATTCTTATCACTTCTATCATTTCTCCTTACTTTATATTTCATGAATGACATTAAAACACGAGATTATACATGAAATCAATAAAAGATTTGCTTATCTTTAGGGACTGGTCACTTTTATAAGAGCATGGGTTATTTTGATTGGTTGAAAGTCATAAATCATTCATACGGGATGGATAAAAATAAGAGAAGTAAATTCAAAATAATTAAACTAGTAAATATTTAGCAATAATCTAGATTATTTACATTATCGCACTAAAACAAAGAAAAACATCATAGCTCAAGCATAGTATTTTTTTACATGTCAAAATTCACTAGCTTCGATAGAACCTCACCGTTCATTTTCATCAAGAAAAGAGCTCCTCAGAGAATATGCTCTTTACCATAGATGAGCCATCATAACTATGTGTCTACTTATAACGATCCGCCCTCGGAATCAAAAGTATCCTTTCAAAGCCAAACCTCATTTGCAAAAGGTTTTTATACAAACTTTCTTATCATATGCATATGTCATTTTTTTTATACGAGTTGTGCATGATAAATAGCTACTAATCATTTCTCGCCGATCAAATTCAATTGCTCGTACTCGATTCTATACCATTCGACTTATCTATTTTTGTTTCTTTTAATACTCTCAAAGATGGTATCTTCACTTCTATAGGCATCACCACCTTCATTCCATATATCAACAATTAAGGAGTTACCCCGAGTTTAAGCCCTCATTTTCATCCTGTAAGTTTGCAATGTAAATGGTAACACCTTATGCCGGTTATTGTGCGTGACTATTATTTTTTGCATGATCTTCTTTATATTCTTGTTTATAGCTTCTAGAACTCCATCCATCCGAGGTCCGTATGACAATGAATTATGATACTTGATTTTCCATTGTTTGTATAATTTGGTGATCATCTTGCCATTAAAATTCTATATATTGTCTATTATCAAAGTTTTAGGGGTTCTATACTAATAGATGATGTCTTTTTGTACGAATCGATGAACCACTCTTTGTGTAACATGTGCAAAACATGCTGCTTTCACCTAGTTAGTAAAGTAATCAATTACCACCGAATGAATTGGTGACCATTGCTTGGCGTTTCGATTTATCGGCCCAATTACATCCATATCCTATATCATGAATGGTCAAAGCGACACCATATTATGAAAAAGTACAAAAGAAGCATTTATTTGATCTACTTAGAATTGGCATTTGTGGTACTTCCACACATAGTCAATGTAATCTTTCTCCATAGTAGTCTAAAAGTATCCACACATCTAAATCTGATCGGCCATCATATGTCTATTGGTGTGTGTTGCACGGACCACTTTGTTAACCTCTTCAATCATTTTCTTGGCCCTAGTGAAATTCAAGCATCTCAACAAAGTTCCATTGAAACTTCTTTTGTACATCACTTAATCGTCTAGATAAAATCCATTATCAACCTTCGGAGTGTCTTTCTATTAGTCTTAGAAGCATTCGGTGGATGTTTCCAACTCTTAATAAACCGTTTGATATCCTCATACCCGGTCCTCTCTTTGAGATGGATAGGTATGAAAATGAAATGCAAAGAACATCATGAGTGTGCAAAAATACATGGCTAATGTGAATTAAATAGCATGTATGGAAACATGACTTAAAAACGGACGAGTAGACAAAATAAATAACGGTAAAAATGCCACCAAGATGAATTGGTGACCATTGCTAGCCTTTGGGTTTATCAGCTCGATCATCTCCATATCCTATATCGTGAATGACCAAAGCGACACCATATTGTAAAGAGGTACAAGTGAAGTATTTATTCGATCTACTTAAACTTGGCATTGGTGGTGCTTTCACACATAGTCAATATAATATTTCTCCATGGTGGTCTAAAAGTAACCACACCTTTGAATTTGATGAGTTATCATATGTCTATTAGCGTGTGTTGTACATACCCCTTCGTGAACCTCTTCCACCATTTTCTTGGCCTTAGTGGAATTCGGGCATCTTAACAAAGTTCCATTGAAAATTCTTTTATACATCACTTCACCGTCTATATAAAATCCATTATCAACCTCCGAGTGTCTTTCTATCAGTCTTAAAAGCATTTAGTGGATACTTTTGACTCTTAATGAATTACTTGATGTCCTCATACCTTGTCTTCTCTCTAAGATAGATAGGTATGAAAATGAAATACAAAGAACATCATGAGTGTGCAAGAATATGTGGCTAATGTGACCTAAATGGCATGTATGGAAACATGACTTAAAAATAGACAAATAGACAAAACAAGCAATAACCGTAAAAATTAAAAAAAAAAATGACAAAGAGATAAAAGCATCAAAAATAAAAAAAATGAAAAAAGAGATAAAATCGACAAAATAGATAAAAATGGTAAAAATGCCAAAAGAGATAAAAGTTGCAAAAATGGCAAAAAATAATCCAAAAACAAGGTTCGGATTGACAGGACTTCAAATGTCATAATTTTCAAAACATGAAAAATAAATTTGGCAAGCAAAATTGGTATGACAAGCAATGTTGGCATGAACAATCTAAACCAAAGCGTAAACCGACATAACTTAAAAGTCTAATTTTTTGAAGATGACATTTTAGGCAAAATTAGCAAAACGATCCAAATAATGGTTCAGACCGACACAACTCAAACGTCATATTCTTTAGACAAATAGGTAACAATATCAAATTAACCGTCATAATCGGCAAAAATAATCCAAAAAAAATATTCTAACCGATGCAACTCAAGAATCATATTTTTTAGACAAAATTGGTGAAGGTTCAGTTTATTGGCAAATTGGTCCAAAAATAGGATTTGGAGCAACGTGATTATAAATACTACGACCTTCATAAAAAACGACGATCATGTAATCAAAACACCCAGTTAATAATTACTAAGCAGCAAACGACTTTTGGACAAGCAATACAAATAGCGATTTGATCGTGCACGCTCAATTAAAATCACACAAGCAATAACATTGACCATAGAATACCCAATTCCCTTATTTCACCCCCATGTTACCCGGGTTGTTTGATCATTTACAAGCTCAATACGCTATGATGTATCTCACATACTTCAATTAAACAATACCCAATCACATAACTAGTTTAATTAATTTACAATCATATGAATACAAATTAAATTTAATACAGATTAAATATAAAGATTGAGAATAAATTACTTGCTGAAAAAAATGAAAAGGCTAAAGGAATTTTTTTACTATCAAATTGGGGTCAGGTTCAACCTTTTCAACCCCAGTGGGGATTGATTATTCAGTTAATCGAAAAAAGGGATGACTTCCCTTTGTCAAATCTAGATCGGATGGCCACTGTTGGAAAAACTACTAGATCGGAGCTACTGGATCAAATGATCAGTTGCTTGCGTGAATCAAGTGGTGGCAACTACTAGATCGGATAGCGGATTGGGTGGTGGTAGCTGCTGGATCGACAAATCAAACGATGCAGCATGGATGGACTACATTGACAGCTAGATCAGATCATAGCGTGATCAGTATCGATCATTACTAATCGGTGGAGGTTCTGATGGCTTATGGAGAGATCAACGACTTGGGAACAGTAGCTGACGTGGGTCACATCAGCCGGGAGTTTCAATAGGGAAGAAAGTCGACAGCAATTGTGCTTTTGATTTGTTCGGTTAGTGGAGACTAATTATTTAGTTAATCGAGGAAGAGGGATGACTTCCTTTTGTCAGATCTTGATCGGATGGCTACTGCTAGAAAAACTACTAGATCAGTGCTGCTGGATCAAACGATGGGTTGCTGACGCAAATCGAGTGGTGGCAGCTACTAGATCAAATAGTGGATTCGGTGGTGGTAGCTTATGGATCGACAAATCTAACAATGGAGCATGGATGGATGGCACTGACAGCTGGATCATATCATAGTGTGATCGGTATTGATCATTATTGGTCGGTGAAGGTTTTGACAGCTCATGGAGAGATCAAAGACTTAGTAACAGTGGCTGGAGTAGGTCACGTCAACTAGGAGTTTCAATAGGGAAGAAAGTCAATAGTGTTTGTGCTCATGATTCGTTCAGTTGGTCAATAGGAAGTGACAGGTTGGTGAACGACAGGGGGCTATGAAGGAGCGGCTGGCTTCGATGGTGTTTGCTATGGTGGCTGGAGGCAAGATCAGCTGCTGGATCGGTTTGGTACGGCTAACTGAAGCTTTGAAGGAAGAGGGGGAGTTGACCAGAATTCTAAGGAAGAGGGAGAGTCAGTCAAAAATTTCTAGAAAGAGAAAGTGGCTGGTGAGGGGTGAGAAAAAAGGGTATTTATACTGATTTTTAGGGGTTTTTTGCTGAAATTCAGTTTGGTCCCTCTTCTTGTAGGCTTATTTTATTTTGGTCATTCTTTTTTTTTCAATTATATCCTTCGATTGTACTTTTTCAAGTCCCTTTTCTCTTTCTTTGTTTTTTTTCCTTATGTTTTTGTTTTTTTTTTTTTTGAGGAAAATTTATGTACTAATAAATTAAACAGACGAACCGCATTCGACTTATAGAAGCCATATCATCTTTAGAGATTAAACAACCTCGTCATCTTCAATTGGTAAATGCATACCTTGAACATGCGTTATAAAAATTGAAACGAAGTTTCTATAATTATTTACATTACAATTATACTATTTTTCACTTACAAATAATTAAAGGTATATTTTTCTTATAGTAAAAATTTATCTTATGATAATTATGATCAATTAATGCAATTTCAATAAATTAATAATAAAGAAAGAATCGTATTACCTTAAAAAAGATAAGAGTACTATTTACTTCAAAAAAAAAATCTGTGCATTTTTAACTGATTTTTTATTAAAAAATCCGTGTATTTTTAAATAATTATGAGTTAATAAGTATTTATATTCATGTTTTCGTGTTACTTAATGAACATAAATGCATTATAATTATATAGTCTTCGAATAACCATAACAAGCACCATGTTATGTTTTATACATTTAAGGACGTAGATCAGACTTATCGCTAATTTTACCATTATTTAGAATTCTGTGTTATAAATTAGGCATGAGAAAAAAATATATAGCCACATCATCATTCAAATACGAGTAAACTATAAATTAGTCCTTCTAGTTTTGATAAACAAATTAATTAGTCCTCTTATTTTAAAAACTAATTATTTAATTTTTATATTTTTATATTTTCTTATAACTTAATTTTTTTCATTAATTTTTTTCTTTCAATTTATTTTATTTTTTATTTAAAAAAGAATAAGCAAAAAATATAGAAATATTGACAAAAAAAATATAACATTTTTTTAAAATAAAACAATATTAAATTAAACTTATCAATATTGGTCAATAAGTTAAATAAATAATTTTTAAAATAAAAATGACTAAATAATTCATTTCTTAAAAATAGAGGACTAATTTATAATTTATTCTTCATATATAAATAAAGCAACTCTTCGTTTTTAACATTTGAACCATGTTTTCCATTCTTGAATGGACACAGCAAAGCTATTCTCTCTCTTGAAATCATGCATTAATTCTAAGTCACTAAAACAAGGCAAACAAATCCACCAAAAAATAATCACCCTAGGCTTGCAAAACAACATTAGCTTATGCAAGAACCTTATCAGCCTCTACTTCTCATGTCATTATTATAATACTCCCAAGCTTGTTTTCAAAAACATCGAGAACCCATTGGACATCTCGTTATGGAATGGCCTTATTGCTGCTTACACCAAAAATTACATGTACATTGAAGCCCTTGAAGTTTTTGATATGTTACTTGAATACCCTTATTTGAAGCCTGATAGTTTTACCTACCCAAGTGTGTTGAAGGCTTGTGGTCGATTAGGTAGGGTTAGTGATGGGAAAATTATGCACACCCAGTTAATAAAATCTGGTTTGGTGTTTGATATTGTTGTTGCTAGCTCCCTTTTGGATTTGTATGCAAAGTGCAATTTTTTTCGGAATGCTATACAGTTGTTTGATGAAATGCCTAAGAGAGACGTGGCATGTTGGAATACTGTTATTTCTTGTTATTATCATGATGGGAAAGCTGAGAAAGCATTGGAATTTTATGGGGAAATGAGGGAGTCTGGGTTTGAGCCGAATTCAGTGACACTGACTGTTACTATTGCGTCGTGTGCAAGGCTTTTGGATTTGGAAAGAGGAAAAGAGATTCATAGGGAATTGGTGGAAAACGGGTTTGTTTTGGATGGTTTTGTTAGCTCTGCTCTTGTGGATATGTACGGGAAATGCGGTTGCTTGGAGATGGCTAAAGTGGTTTTTGAGCAGATGCCAAGAAAGACTGTGGTTGCTTGGAATTCTTTGATTGCTGGGTATAGTTTGAAAGGGGATAGCAAAGAATGCATGGAGCATTTTAGGAGGATGAATATGGAAGGTATTAAACCGACTTTAATTACTTTAAGTAGCATGGTAATGGCTTGTTCAAAATCTGAGCAGCTTAGATATGGGAAATTCATTCATGGATATATGATGAGAAACGGAATGGAGGGTGACATATTTGTTGGCAGTGCACTTATTGATCTATATTTTAAATGTGGAAGAGTTCAATCAGCTGAAAATGTCTTTGGAATGATGCCAAAGGACAATGTAGTTTGTTGGAACATAATGGTTTCAGGATATGTGATGGTTGGGCACTATTTTGAGGCTCTCGATATCTATGATGACATGAAAGTAGCCAGTGTAAAACCAGACGGAGTGACATTTACTAGCATCTTATCAGCTTGTTCGCAATTAACAGCCTTGGAAAAGGGTAAGGAGATTCATAATTGCATCGCTAAAAGTGGATTAGAAGCCAACGAAATAGTCATGGGGGCTCTGCTGGACATGTATGCTAAATGTGGGGCTGTAAATGAAGCTCTTGATGTTTTCCGTAAGTTGCCCCACAAGGATCTTGTATCATGGACTTCTATGATCAATGCTTATGGTTCTCACGGCCAGGCTTTAGAAGCTTTGGAGCTTTTTGGCAAAATGCAGCAGTCTGATATAAAACCAGATGAAGTTACTTTCCTTGCAGTATTATCAGCTTGTAGCCATGCAGGATTGATTGATGAAGGCTATTATTATTTCAATCAGATGATCACAAATTACCATATCAAACCCAGCATTGAACATTACTCGTGTTTGATCGATCTTCTTGGACGTGCTAAAAGATTGAAAGAAGCTTATAATATTCTCCAAAACAATCCAGAAATTAGGGAGGATGCTAGTTTGTTAAGCACACTATTTTCTGCATGTTGTTTGCACAAAGATTTAGAATTGGGAGAGGAAATCGGGAAGTTGCTTGTTGAGAAGGATCCTGATGATTCATCTACTCATATTGCTTTGTCAAACATGTATGCCTCCTCTAAGAATTGGGATGTGGTACGCAAGGTAAGATTAAAGATGAAAGAGCTGGGACTAAAGAAGAACCCTGGGTGTAGCTGGATAATTGGTAAGAGAATCCAACCATTCATCCTAGAAGATAGGTCACATCCAAAATCAGAGATGCTTCAAGAATGTCTCAAAATTCTTTACAGTCACATGGAAAAAGACAACAAGCTGCCATCTTAAAAATCACACAGAGGATATCTAAAAGCAGCTGGTGATTTTCAGGTTGGAAAGATGAATCATATTCACAAGAGCTGAATGGAAAAGCAATGAATGTCTTAAAATCCTCGCCGGAGTGCAAAATGAGCGTCTTAAAATCCTCGCCGCAGTGCAAAGTGTATATTAAAATCTGGGATCATAGAGAAAAACCGCAGGTGAAAACAGGGCAAAAATGAAGTACTTTAGAATTTTCCAGCGTTGCTAGCTTGGAAGAATATAACATTTCATGTAGCTGTTAATTAAATTATCGCCCAAAGGGTGTCAAGTTTAGGACTTTATCGGGCCTAAATCAAAGATTGTGCATAAAGAAAAGGAATAATATATTGAGACTGGAATTCCTATGTTTAATCTCCAAATATTGTTGGTAAAAGATTGGAAACTGACCAATTGACATAATTTTTGGTTCGCCGTATTTCTCAAGAAAGATTTACTCGAATGTAATTCAATGGCTCGATTAAAATAATAAACGATATTATTTATAAGAACAAGATCCCATCAATAATTCCGTTGTCGTCCAGCGGTTAGGATATCTGGCTTTCACCCAGGAGACCCGGGTTCGATTCCCGGCAACGGAATCTTTTATTATTTTTTGCTCTACAAATTTCATAAAAATCAAAGAATGCTATTTTAGTTACTTTTTTTCACAGAATTTATGTTAGTTACTTTTGATCCTAAAAAAATATTTTTTCACTCCCTAGTAAAGATAAAGTGATCCTCGAAAATAATTGTTGTAACAATTTATATAAATGTTTTGTTTTGTAAAATAAAACTATTACTATCTTATCTTACTTTCGGAAAAAATATGCACTAAAATATACATACATGAGAGTTTATATATATATAAAAATCAAAACTATTTTAATTCAAAAGTTTAATCATTTTGGATCGAAGATCAATTTTATATATAAACACATCATTTTTTTTTATTACTTTTCAACATAGTTGTTTGTCACTCACATATACACCTCACACTCAGGTATCAAAATCAAGATAAGATCCCAGTTACATCATTTAATTTACCTTCGAAAACTTTACCTAATCCTGACCAAACACTGACCTAATTTTGTTACCATTGAGAATTTATTCAATGCTAATGGTCTATGGCTCCATGCATCCTTATCCTTATCCCTTCTCTTCTATTTCTTTGATACTTAAAAAATAAAAAAATAAAAAACAAAAAATTATCCATTTACAAGGCTCACATACACCAAAAATATGAATAATTTTTTAGCACTAAGGAGAAACTGAGAGATCCATTTGAATGATTTATTATCACATAAATTTCTTAGGTACAAACTCCTACCAAATGAGAGAAAAACCCCTTAAAAGCCCACTAAAAAGTTTTAAAAAAATTGCAGATGTTAAATCAACTAAGGTACAGACTTATACCTGCAAAGAACCTTACATCTTAGAACCCTATCCTGAACATAAAACCCTGGCATTACCATGATCTTAACTCTGCTTGGACCGTGTGATTTTTGCCTATCCATGAACATATCCTCCATGAAATGTGAATCAAAGCTTCTATTCTCCTCAACCCTTAAAATTCCAAGTGGTGGATTGAATGAAAACGCAAGCAAATGAAGCAACCATATGCATTTAGCAGCGACAAAAAAGGTTTGAAGAAGTTGTTCAGGCCATGGTCTTGTCCAATTCATTGTTGTAATAATACAGCTCATTTTCTGATCACAAAACTTGCTAAACTCTTCACTGTAATACTTCGTCCCTTTCCTTAAAACTTCATTCCAACTTAGATTCCTCAACGCAACGAAGGAAGAAAACTGTCCCTGGCGATCTTGGTTTGGGTCTAGATTCTTTGGTGAACCATTCTTTTGGAACACACAGTTCTCAAAATCTTGGTAGAGTGATTGGTTTATTATGGCCTCCAGATGGTATAGTACTGCCTTCGAGTACTTGGAGTTTAGAGAGAGTTTATATGGTTGAAGAAGCAAGTTCAAATTGTTCATGAGAGTACTGTCTGTTTCCTCGATCTGTCCTACTAGTGCCTTGCAGAATTGCTTCACTGAAAGTCTTGCTTCTGATACTATCTGCAAGAAACCTTCGACCATTACCTCTTCGCTTACCGGCATCAAGTTTTCTGCATTTCCATCAATGGATTTCCCTCTATTCGGAAAGTTTCCGAGCTTTTCAACAAATTGTGTGTCGTTTCCTTGTGTTGCTTGCCTTAAAGCTTTCTTCAACTCTTCACAGTAACTCTCCAAATACTCAAGCTTGTGCCTTAGCTCCCCCAATGAAGATTTCATCTCAGAAACCTCCGTTAAGGCTGCATCTCTATGCTCATTTGCTTCCATCAATTCTCTCTTCAATGTTTCAATTGACAATATCCCCAAGTCCTTGAAAACCTGCGAAACCTCCTCGGATTCTGTTCTGTTCGGTGAATACTCATTCTTCTGCTTCTTCTTTAACTTAGGAAACAACCATGACATCACTCCCCGGTTTTTCGGCTGTGATTGAAGGGATGAATGAGAATCTGTCAATGGCACAACGGTATTAGAATGCTTGCTATTCTTGGTAACTTTTTCAGACTCGGTGGTTATAGTAGCCGGCTTGCATCTATTGCAAGATGATCTGGATTTGAAGTCTGCCAAGCTATTCCTCCTACAAGACTTGTAAAATTCAGTTCCAGGCGATGCGCGAAGCACAGTGATGTTATTTGCAGAAGAACTAGTAACAGATTTTTGATCATCAGCTGGACAAATATGGGATTCCAGATTGGACATACCAAAAGGAACCCCTTTCCTTGACCACGAATCCTCCCTCTTATAATCTGATAAAACAGTCTCAAATCCACTTCCTCCTTCTGGGCCAAAATCATCCCAGCTTTCTGATAATGTTATTGATTTTGTATGAATCCGATGATGTCCTGGTAACGGTTCATCTTCATAACTCTATAGAAAGATTAAAAGAATTCATCACCATTTGCAGTAAAATTCCCATCATCATAGGTTAAAAGCAGCAACTATCCAAGAGTTAAAAGATTTCTTTTTTTTTTTCAAATTATCAGGAATTAAAATCACAATTTTATAGCCATTAAAGTTAAGAAAGCAAAGGCTATAATTATAATCTTCATTAAACATTGAAGATTATGTTCTTATATTTTCTTGGACTGTGAAAACGATCAAAATGTTTATGAAAGCAACATCTAACAACTAGGAAAATATTTATTAAGAAATCTATTAATAATTAAAATAATTAATGCACATGATAAGATTATAACAACTAATGTCACAATCATTATGATATTCTAATAAAATTATGTTGTTTTATTAGTTCAATCATGAGCCTGAAAGCTCCTGTTTGAGGTTGAACCAAAATATAGCAAGAAAACAACGCAGCAACAAAAGAAAATCATGTTACTTTAATGAAAAATAAAACCCTTTAGAAGAAATACATTAAGGTGAACAACAAAGTAATTGACAAGAGAAAAAAATTGCAAAAGAAGCTGAATCTTACTGGGGTAAAAACAGGGTAATCTTGAGCAGAGAAGTGTGGAGTAGGGCGTGAAACAGGGGAAGAAGATGGGAATCTGAGATTAGCAGGGCTGTTTCCTTGCATTAGAGCAGCATGTAAAGCTCTAAGCTCTACTGCCTTAGCAATGGCAGCTTGTATATCTTGTTTACTAACGTCCTGATTGGTGTTGTTATGGTTTTGTAAGCTTTGTACAGCAGCGGCAGCAGCCATGAAAAACAGAGCAAAAACAGAGCATATAAACCAAAGAAAAGAACAAAGTTTGAGCAATTCTATGAAGATAGAGAAAGAACAAAATGGGATTTCAGTATCTAATGGTTGGATTTCATTTGCAGGTATGAAGATGATATGATATCTAATGGAGTTAGAACCAGAAATAAGGCAAGAGAGAGAGAGGGGTATCTAAAATCCAAGGTGCTTTTGTCTTTGTTCAAAATAGAATGGGAGCATGTGAAGAAGCTAGAAATATGGGAAGTTGTAGTAGATTTTACTCTATTTAGGCATGACATGAGTAGTAGTTGCAGTTTACAAAAATGCCCATAATTTCCAAAGATAAGAAATAATACTCCTTTGTCATGTGAATATGATTGCTTTTAGTACTATCATCACTGCCATATTTTAAAATTATTGCTTTAATACTGCTATAAATTATAATACTTTGTCATTCATAACAATTAATCAAATAAGTGGTTTGTTTACTTATGATGTATTGAAAAACTTAGAACGCTAATCATAAAGAATTCGTCTGATAGCTAAGAAAGTATATTCTTTTAATTTTTTAAGTTTGAATTTTGAAAGCGAATGCTTCGAATCAATATTGAAAATAAATACTAAAAAACATCTCAAGAAAAAATTTAGTCTCGATTCAAATACAAATTAGTATAAAAATACTTTTTAACGCCGAATCGAAGGGGAAAAAAAGTATAAAAAAACTTAGACCCACTTTGATTAGACATGGTTTTTGGTAATAATTGATGTGAAAGAATTTCAAATTTGATTTTGAAGACTTGAAGTATGTTGATAATTTTGAATTAGTTGATTCAAAGTTCAATGGACTGTTTTTTTTTTTCAGGGTTTTGGAGTAGAAAATGAAAAGGATGTAAAACAGTAAAAATACTATAAAGGGTGTAAAAGGTAAATCACTAAGGTAGTTTGGAAGAAGAAGAAAAACCCAATCCATTGAGTGTTGCTAAAGAAAGCTGAGGGAACCATTTCTTGCAATGGAAATCATTGGCCATTGGACTTTCTTTTCTTACTCAAACCTTTTGAATACCAAAACAGCTTTTACAGTGGACATACCAAAATAATAATAATAATAATTAATTAATTAATTAAATCATATTAGGGTTAATTTCTCCTTGACGGGTAATGGTAATTCTGTCCATGCAATATTCTGAGCTGTCCAGATGCAGTTTTGGCCAAAGGTTCATGTGGGGGACAGAGATATCCAATACCTTCCATACACTTCTTGTCCCTCTTGCCTTTAAACAGTGTATCTTGTGAAGTATAGTGCCACAGTGGGGACCAAAATGAGCCTTTTAATATACATTATATTCAAGTCCCCAATACCCAAATGTTTATGATTAAATTATGAATTAGTCCTTCTATTTTTGAGAAATAAATTAATTAGTCTTGCTAGTTTCAATAATTAATTATCTAGTCCCTTGACTAGTTTGATTGTGTTTAATTTAATATTTTTTTATTTCAAAAATTGTTATCTTTTTTCATCGATTCTTCAGTATTTTTAACTTATTTTTAAAAAAATTAAAAAAAAAGTGATGAATTTACAAGAAACATTAAAATTAGTTTTTGAAACAAAAGAGATTAAATAATTTGTTTATTAAAACTAAAGGGACTAATTTATAGTTTACTCAATGTTTAGGGGCCTAGTAGTAGTATTTGAAAGAAGAAGGGTGTTTGGGAGAAAAATTAAAGGATGGTTAGAGCAGTTTATTCAGGTTGGGTTTTTATTTATTTGGAAATGGAATTCCAAGTAGGATTGTGTCGTAATTTAATATGGAGTTTGTTCTTTCCCATAACCACTTTGTTTGTAAAAATATTTATTTTATTGAAATTAACTTTTGCGAGCCAACCACCCCATCAAAAAGTTAGAGAGGTTTGTCAACCTCCACATGCCCCAAAAAAGGTGTTCCTCGTGTTCAATCAAAGACCAACATAAGTCATAACATTGTTTCTCTTGTTTAATTGACACCTTTATGGAGTAGGTTATAGTTTTGAAAAACAAATTATCTTTTTTCTTTTTCAAAACTAATTATTAATCCTTATCTTTTAAAATTTTATTGTAATTTAATCCTTTTATTATTTTTAATTTATTTTTATTTTTATTTAAAAAAAGAAAAAATAAGTAAAAATTCATGGAAAGTTGATGAGTAAAGAAAATAATTTTTAAAATAAAATAATATTAAATTAAATGTATTAAAAAATGATCAATGGATCAAATAATTTTTTTTAAATAAAAAAATTAATTAATTTGTTCCTCAAAACTAAAGGGACTGATTTATAATTTACTTCATCTTTATAATATGACAATGAGCCTCTATGGTCTAACAATGGATTCTTCCTCAAACCCACAAAAATTCTTCTGTGGTTCGTGTGTTTAGTATTAGCTAAAACGCGGCCGCGGCCACCGCCGTCGGGTGGTGGGGGTGGGGTGGGGGGATGAAAAAAGATTAGGTTTCCTTTGTTTTGATGATAACAAAGTCTAGAAAAAAAAAAAAAACATCTAATACACACATTTAAAATTCTTAATAAAATTAATTTGTTCAGATTTAAACTTATGAACTCTTACAATAAATAATTATCACTGAACTACAAACTCTTTAATTATGATAATATTGAAAAGTTATGCATTAAAAAAAGTTTGTGATGTTGAAAAGTTTCTATAATGTTCAATCTTAAAATATTAATTAAGTTTTTCTACTAATAAGTTGTTGGTTTAGTAATAAATGATCTACTGGATCTAGCTTTCAAACGAATTTTCTGCAAACATATAAATAAAATTAGTTATATTTCTAATATAGAATGAGAATATATAAAAAGAAAAAAAAACATAAAACAAAAAATCAAGCTTTCTTTGTTATTTTAATTGAATGGGTAAGTTTGGGTGTGGTTTTCATGCATAAGATTAAATATTTTTTTATCAAATCATTAGTAGATCAAAATTTCTTACAATTTTTATTTTTTAAAAAAATTAATCCTAAATAATGACGTAAAAAACGTTTTGGAGTCTTGCATTCAAGGTCGAAGTCAAGTCCTTCATGCTTTTAGGTGACAATTCGGCTCCCCATTTGTGTTCATGTCTGCAATCAAAATCATGGAAGTCGCATCAAAAGAAATTAATCACGCTCGACATTATTAATTATTATTAGTTTAGGAAAACTCTATACAAAATTATCTTACATATTATCAAAGGCACAGTTAAATGTTTTTTTTTTTTTTATTTTGTGTTACACTGTCGCTCTTTTATTCAGCTTGCTAAGGTGTTGCGTTTCGGAACTAATTATATTGGGGAAAAAAATATTATCCGAGTAAAAGAAATTCTCCATTTATTTCCACTTGAGTCCAAGAAAATCCTATAATTTAAACTATCTTTATCTTATTTGAATCAACAATATCCTATTTCTATTGTAGTCCTGTTTTCATTTAATTTTTTTATAATTTTCTTTTTAAAAAATATTTTCAACAGTCAACTCCAAATTGGAATTAAATAGGAAAAGAAAACACTTTTATTAGCTACACGTAAAATACAAATTAAAAAAAAATCCGTATTTACATGAAGGGTGATATGAAAAAATTACAAAATATGAGATTAGAATCCTTATCCTAATTATTGTAAGAATCTCACCCAAATATTTTTAACGAAGCACATAGAAATCGCATACAAGGTTTCTAACTGAATTAATAATATACTATTTCTGTTATATCCCCGTCCCAATTTAATTTTTTTATAATTTTTAAAAAAATATATATATTTTCAACGGTTAACTCCAAATTGGAATTAAACAGGAAAGAAAACATTCCTATTAGTTAACATAAGATTTAAATTAAATTAAAAAAAAAACGTATTTACATGAACTGTGGTGTAAGAATTTTTTTTAAAAAAAATAGAATCCTTATCCTAATTACTGTAACAATCTCATCCAAATATTTCTGACGAAGCACATTGAAATTGCATTTAAGGTTTCTAATTGTTTTATATATATATAAGTCTTACAAATTGACATGGCAAGTGATATAAATAAGCTTTAAGGTCGTTTTATTAAATATAGAAACTATTAATAAGTATTTTCTATAGAATAGATAAAAATTAATTAGGTCAGATCATAAACTTTTGGTTTTTTTTTTTTTACGAAAAATAATATTTTCAAACTAATTTATAGGTCAATCAAAATTAAATTTCTACTCGATATGTTTTAATTATTATTACACATATGGACCCAACACAAGGTGCATACAAATGATGATATTAGATACTTTGAATGGAAGTTCCCATTGGCATTTCCTCTTTTGCTTGTGCAATGGAAAACACAGTTGCCCATGCTTTAGTATTGATCATGTTCAGGCACATGGGGATCACTCACTAGGAGATCATGGATTAAGGTTCGAGACATCATTTTCTTCATCAAGAACACATCCATGACTTATCATATCATCAAAATCATTTTCAAGATAACATACAAATACTCAATGATCGATACCACTTGATCCCTAAATACTTTCCTCATTGTATTTGTATGCAATGATCACTACCATTGACCCAAGTTTTGCTTTAGGGTAGTCCCTCTAATAAATATAATTTCATCTACAATTTGAATCTAAAATTCTATTTTTGAAAATCAAGGTAGATTTTTTCTCAAGGGAAAAATCAAACGATCTCTAGCTTTACTTTGCAAATTTTATCAAATTAAACCATACACTTTAGATTGAATCAAATCAACCCCTTTACTTTCAATTAAAAGCAATTTGAGATTCTTCTTCCAATTAAATCATAACGTGCGGCACTCACCTTGCCATTTTGATTAGTGAAAAAATAGATAAAGGGGCTGAAATCGCCTTTAACTCAAAATAAAGTAGTTGACTTGATCAAAATTTTCATAGAGGATTTGATTCGACTAATATAAGAAGTTGAGGGACCACATATGATTTTTTGCCTTTATTTAAGTTCTACCCCATTATAACTGTCCTAGAAAGCGAATACATGTTTACTTGATTCTAGCCAGAAATTTATAATATTTCAAAAATAATTAGCTATGTTTACTTTATACGAAAGAGATAAAAAAAAAAATCGAGTTTAAGTTAAAAAAAAAGATATATCATTTTTTATAGATCCGGATGTAATTTTTTTTAAAAAAATTACATTCATAAAATAAATATTGTTAATTGCTCATTGAGTATAATAATTATCCTACAAAACGAATATATTCTTACTTGATTGTATTTAGAAATTCTATAATATTTCAAGAGTAATTAATGATACTTCTTACTTTATTAAAAAATATATATATATAAAAAAATAAAAATTACATAGAGAGAGTTAAAAAAAAAGTTGAGTATAAATTGAAATAATTTATTATTTTTGTAGCTTATGGTTACGAACATATGTATAGTCCCATTCTTCTTTTTCATTTTCTTTATCATCCACACCCTAGAATTTAAAAAAAACAAGAGATAAGACAATGGTGTCTTTTTCTCCGTATTGAAAGGAATAGATAAAGCAACAAAATGGTGAAAGGATACAGTCAAGCCCGTGAGCGGCAGAAGGGATCGAGGAAGCATGGCTTTCTTTTTCATTATGAGAAGGCCACTAGCGATCTACAAAAATACATCGCTTTTCGTGGTGCAATATTCTGCCCTATTCAGTAATACTCAGGGTGAAAGTAGAAAAGATAAGGTATTTTTTTCTTGCTTTCTCGTATGGTGCTTTCGTTTTGTCTTGTTTTGGTTGTTATGTCTCGGTAAAAGAGGATTCCAATTCTCATGGCCTTGATTACCATTAGCCGTCTAATAATCTAAATAACTACAATATCATTTGCCTCCAAAAGGTTTGTCTTTCTGATAGCTTTTTAAATAGCTAGCATATCTTTCAGACTAGTCACATTCATAAAAGTATTTTAAGTTTAATTTAGATATAACTATAGTAAAAATCCTTCTAAATATGTGTAAATGTGAAAAATATAATATTTTATCATCAGATATGGTTAGTATAAAGGTAAAAAAATTAAAATTTACGATAGAATTCGAATAATGATGAGTGCTATTAGACTTTTTAAATCTCAAAAATTAGTTCAGAAAAATATTTTTTCTCACATTTGTAATCCAACAACCAATATGCAATAACCAAACAATCTTTCGTTTACATAGTTTGTGTTGCTTCTACAATCGATGTGGAACAACTTACGAATATCCTCCGTCTATTGAGTTTTTGTGTGAAATCAGTACATAAAAATTATTTAACTTGAATTTTAATACTAGTTTTGAACGTTATTGGGTTTTCTCAATTTCAAAAATTAACTCAAACAGTAAAATTTTTTCTTATACTTATTATCAAGTACTCAATCTTTTTAACTATTGATATAAGATAACCGAGCAAATTAAACTAGAAAAATTAAGATCTTTTCTTATATAGTCTAAAAACTCATTAGAACTCTTATGAAGCCACGTAATAATAAAAAAAAAATTATCAACAAATTAATGATCTATTGATAAGCAGATTGGTCTCTGTGCGAATTTCTTATCAATATTCGAGTTTTGAATTTTAGAGTTAGATTTGTTGGAATTAATTAAATTTTATAGCTCTTGTTTTGAACATGATTGATCATGTTTTTAATATAAAAGAAAGATACTTGGATAAAACCAAAAAAATAAAATAATAATAACAACAAAATTTGGTCCATAATTGGAGGAATCAATCAATTACCAAACCAATAGAAGATAGATACTGTGCATGAGTAACAAAACCCGCGAATTAGGCATTAGTTCTTCTTGGATAGATTCATGATATCCAGACAAATTTGCGTGGATTTTCTCGTGTTTTCTTCTATTAAACACTTGCAACTTTGTCTACAATATGAAGAATTAGTGGTCTGCTAGAACATATTTTAACACAAGGTGATGGCTAAAGATTATCTTCACAAGTAATAAATCATTAATGCATATATATGATCACGTGATACAGTTTGTCCTGTTTCTCAAATATAGACCCTGGCTTTGCCAAAGATAAAAGAGTAAATTATAAATCAGTCCTTCTAGTTTTACAAAACAAATTAAACAATTCTTCTTGTTTCAAAAACTAATTAATTAGTTATTTAATTAGCATTGATCATGTTTAATTCAGTATTATTTTGTTTTAAAAATATATATTTTTGTCATATCCTTGAATAAGTTATAAATTGGTCTCTTTAGTTTCAAGAAATGTATTAATTAGTTTTTTTTTTCAAAAAACTATTATTGAATATTTTCATTAGTATTGATCATACTTAATTTAATATTATTTTTTATTTCAAAAAATAATTTTTTTCTCATCAATCTTATCACATTTTTTTCTTTTTTTATTTCTTAAAATAAAAATCAAAATAAATTAAAAAGGAAAAAAATGACTAAATTACAAATAAATTTAAAAATATGAGAATTAAATGATTATTTTTTAAAAGAAAGATTAATTAATTCATTTTTTTAAATGAGAGGGACTAATTTATAATTTACTCATCAATCCTTCCCTTTTTTTTTTTTTTACATTTTTGATTTCTTAGAATAAAAAATCAAAATAAATTGAAAAAAATTGAAAAAAATTAAGTTACAAGAAAATGTAAAAATATAAAAACTGAATAATTAATTTTTAAAACTCTAGTAACTAATTTATAATTTACTCTATAAATGATTGTTAGATATGTTTCTCCAAAATAATAATAATAATAACTAAATAAATAAAAAGACGACTAAAATTATTTAGTCTAAAAAAAGGCTGCAATTAAAAAACATGTGTGGTTCTTCTACTTGCTATATTGTGTCAAAATAGATCTTTTACTTTAAATTAGATCAAATCAACCCATTTCGTCCCATGAAGAGTTATAATTTTAGCCTTTTCGTCCTATTCCACTTCTAACCAAATGGCCATATGAATTCTATTTGTTATTATGTAATTTGAAAAAAAAAATCTCAAATTTCATCTAGTTAAGAGCAGAGGGGTTGATTTAATCCAGTTTTAAAGTAGAGGGTTTGATTTTATCAAATATAAAAACTAGATAACCGTATGTGATTTTTTTTTTTATATTGTTTTTCTCAAATCTTTATACTTTTTTTTTTTTTTCTTTCTTACTCTACTGCTACAGTTCTTGACCTTTTATGAAGGGGATACAGATTAAACATCGGTGTCGTGAAAAACATGTTGTTTTATGCCAATTAATTGATCATTCTGTAATTAAATTTGAAGATTCTTTTTTTTTTTTTTTTTTAAGTTCGTATTTTAAAAGGATTGGTATATATATATATATATAAACCATTGATTTTGTCAATACACTTGATGGTGACATTGAGGCATTATTTGCTGTTCTTACAATCTCATATTAGATTTATTTATTTTTATGGCTTTTTGTTTTTTTTTAAATTAATATCCTCTTGCAAACGTTGTTATTATTCCTAATTATCTACACCAGAAAAAAAAAAACTAATCGTCCAAACTTGAGCTCTATTGATTTTTGTTTCACGAGGAAAAAAAATGTTTTCTCTTTGCAGTAAGCATGTGTATCCCATAATTCATTTGTATTTTTTTCTTAATTTTTCTATCCTTTTTTAAAAAAACGAAAAAGAGTAAAAACCACGATTCTCACTTGAGACATCTTTGGCAATTTTCATTTTAATTATGATTGATGGGATGTGAAAAGCAATTTAAGTTGTTTCAATTCTTATAATGATTTGTCAAAAAGAATTAAGAAATCATTTAACTATAGTATTATTTAATGATTTTAATAGATAGACTCGTTGATTATAATATTTGCTTTATTTTTATTTTTTTATATTATAAATTCGAACCTTAAAATAGCATTAAAAAAAATATATTTTCAAATATACCAAATAAATACAAGAAATACATCCTTAAAATCATCTAAAAAACTTAATTTCGACAATTGACATCCATTTTGTTCTTAAGCAGTAATTTCCAACCGTAGAAAACCCGGCAAAAATGGTCCTTGTTTGTTCTCCTAAAAAATTCTGAAAAGGGCCAAAAACCTATCATGTTTCCGCGCAGATAAAGCATATCTATTGGTTATTCAACAGAGCACGCGGATCGTGATCCTGTTTACGCTTCTCCAAATATCTTTCACCGTCGATTTCTTCAAAATCAACGGTGCAAAAACTTTCCTAAAAAAAACAAAGATGTTTTAAAATCCGAGCCCGCCTAAAAGAAGCAATCTTATTGGTCACTTAACGCTCCACACGGATCGCCATCTCTACAGAACATAAATTAAAAATCAACGGTGTAAAATCCATTTCATTCTCCCCTTTTCCCTCTTACTTTCCCTATAAAAATCGTCAGAACCTCAATTCGCAACCCACCAAATACAATTCGAATTCTAATTTCCCTCATTTCTCGAGAAACAAACAGAAGCCCGAAAACCTAATTTCCTAGTTCAATCTCTTCAATGGCTCGTACCAAGCAAACAGCACGAAAATCCACCGGAGGCAAGGCCCCAAGGAAGCAACTAGCCACCAAGGCAGCCAGGAAATCAGCTCCAGCCACCGGAGGAGTGAAGAAGCCTCACCGTTTTAGGCCAGGAACAGTGGCTTTGAGAGAAATCAGGAAGTACCAGAAGAGTACCGAGCTGTTGATAAGGAAACTGCCATTTCAAAGGCTGGTGAGGGAAATAGCTCAAGATTTCAAGACAGATTTGAGGTTTCAAAGCAGCGCAGTAGCAGCTCTTCAAGAGGCAGCAGAGGCATACCTTGTTGGTTTGTTTGAAGATACCAACTTGTGTGCTATTCATGCTAAGAGGGTTACTATTATGCCTAAGGATATCCAGCTGGCCCGTAGAATCAGAGGAGAGAGAGCTTAATCAAGTTAGTGATATTGGGTTTAGGGTACAACGTCCGTCTTTGATTAGGTTTCATGTTTGTTTCTCTGTTGCTTGGTAGATTTAGGGTTTGACTTCGTTGTAAATCTGTTCTGGATTGAATGAAAAACTGCCTTGCTTATTTTGAATTCTACCTGTTTGATGATTTTTTAGTTATTAATTTAATATTTTCTATTCAAATTGATGGGTAAAATTTGACCCCAAATAAATTGTCAATAGAAAGCTAGCGTTGGCGATGCTTTCTAGGAATTTAATCTCATTGGTTTTAATCAATTTTGATGGTAGTCGGTAGGCCTCAATTGAATAAAACGTTGGTTTTTTCCTCCAGATGAGTACTTTTCTTTAATGAAACTACTAAAGATAAAGTCATGGTTTATTTACATCTGCTTTTCCTCAAAATTTTTCGTTTATCCTTTGTTGCTTTATCTCTGCTTCTGTGTACTGTAACTCCAATCTGACTTTTTCAAATAGATTTCATTTTCTGGTGATTTTCTGGCCTTTACAAAAGGGTATCAATTCCAATCTATGCTAGTTTTCAATTGGCTTCAAAGTTGCCTGATTCCTTGTCTAATTAACCCATCCCCCAAAAGGCTTTCCGTAGGAATAAAGAAAATACTACAGAAAAAATTGCAGAGCAGAATTTGGGCATAAAGTGAGATACTAAGATATGTTTTCTTTTAAAGTTGCAGGGCGGAATTTAGTACTTCTCGCTGTGAGTTGCCACGAAAAATAGCTGTGTTTCCATTTCATTGCTGTTTAATTAACTACTCAAAATGACATGATTTTAAGTAAAAAGTTTTAGATATCATTATTCCTTGCAAACACAAACACACGTGTCTTGTTGTTTGAGAATCTTTTTGCAGGTAACCTTGTGATGTTTTTATATTTGTGTTTGAATTTGTTAGATCATCAATGATTCATAGATGCTCACACTAGCATTCATATCAATTCATTGCAGGATGGAGATTGCAGTCATCAAGTGAGCAGATGAAAAACCATACTCATGTTTCACTCGATATCAACAACTTTGCAAACTCTCTGAGAAAAAAAGTAGGAAATCTTGGTTCCGTTTTCAGATGTTTGCTGTATCTGTAGAGTTTCTCCTCAAATTTGAGATTCAAATGAAAAAGCTTACTTACCGGGAGTAGTCTCCATCAGCCTGTTTCACCATGGCAACAAATAGCCGAAAGCAATGGAAGAGCATTAAATGAGGTGCTTGCTAGATTTCCTTTTTGAGACCAAGGTAAGCTTTGAGTATTTTATCAATGTTGTTGAAGAGCATAAGAAAGAATTGCTTGACTGTTATGCTGAAAACATTGATCTTAGCAGTGAGGAGTTTGTGGAAATGATGTTATTAGATGCATGTCTTCATCATTATGTTCTTACGGATACATTATCGGAAGTTGTCCTCCGGAAGAAGCAGTGACCTGGTACCCAGTCTGAGTTATGATATACAGTATGATTTGAGCTTGCTCTAGAATCAGCTTCCATTCTTCATTTTTGATGCCTTAAGCAATCCAGTATATTTGACAATAATTTCATAATTGAACTTGCCATTGACTTCTTAGGAAATGCATTCTTAATATGGGTGACAAGAAATCATGCTTTGGAAAAATTCAATTCTTCTGATAAAAGTAAATATTTTGTTGACATTCTAAGACTTTGTCAGCAGCCATCAGCGCCGAACAGCTCAGAGTTAGTCTTAGAATGTCAAGAAAATTTAACACAACTCTACTGAGCTGGTGTAAAATTTGAGTCGAGTTCAAGCAAAAATCTATTAGATATAAAATTCAAGAAAGGGATTCTGGAACTTCCATTATTAATAATTGAAGACAGCACAGAAATCCTACTCAGAAATGTCCTAGCCTTTGAGCAGTGTTATTCTGATAGCAAATACATTGTCAGTGACTGCATTTACCTCCTCAAGTCCCTAGTCAATGGTCCAGAGGGTGTGGAAATACTTGTTTAGCATGGAAGCATGTCAAATCATCTCGGTGATGGAGCTTCTCTGCCTCGGAATTTCTACTTCTTAGCTCTAGTTGAAGATCTGAAACCATTCCATGAAAGGCTAATTTATATGATAAAAACACAAATTAAAAGTTTGAAGACTAATTATCAAATAAAACTTTGGAATTTTTCTCCAAAGAATACTTGTCTTTAATAAACCTACTAAAGGTTAAGTCATGGTTGTTGATTTACATCTTGTTTTCGTGCAAAATTCTGGAGTTTCTTTATCTTTTGTTGCTTTATTTTTTCTGCTTGTCTGTGTACTCCCATCTCTAATCTGATTTTTCCGACTAGGTGTCTTTTTTGATGATTTTCTGGCTTTTACAAAGGGTTATCAATTCCATTCTATGCCTGTTTTTCTGTATTCTGAATTCAGCTACCTTGGGTTTCAAGAAGGTGGTTAGTTATATATATATATGTGTCAGTAAATCACTTGAACGGCCATTAATTTTGTCAATACACTTGACGGTGACATTGAGGCATTATTTGCTGTGGTTCTCTTCTCACAATCGCATATTTGAATTATTTTTTATGCTTTTTTTTTTTATAAAAAAATTGACATCCTCTTGGAAACATTATTATTGGTTCTAATTATTTACGCCAGAAAAAAAATTAAAATTTCTAATCGTCCAAACTCGAGTTCTATTAATTTTTGTTTCACGAGGGAAGAAAATGTTTTCTCTTTGCAGTAAGCATATGTATCCCATAATTCATTTGTATTTTGTTTTTAATTTTTCTATCCTTTTTTAAGAAAAGGAAAAAAATAAAAATAAAAACAGTAAAAATCATGATTCTCACTTGAGACATCTTTAGCAATTTTCATTTTAATTATGATTAATGGGATGTGAAAAGCAATTTAATTTGTTTCAATTCTTATAATGATTTGTCAAAAAGAATTAAGAAATTATTTAACTAGTATTATATAATGATTTTAATGGATAGACTCGTTGATTATAAGATTTGCTTTATTTTTATTTTTCTATATTATAAATTCGAACCTTAAACTAGCATATATACACACACACACCAAATCAACACTGGAAGTACATCCTTAAAATCGTTTAAAAAACTTAATTTTGACAACTGGCATTCATTTTGTTCCTAAGTGGTAGTTTCCAGCCTTAGAAGACCCGGCAAATAGGGTCCTTATTTATTCTCCTAAAAATTCTAAAAATAGCAAAAAAATGTATCACTTTCCCACCAGGTAAAATATATCTGTTGGTTATTGAAAAAATTATATAATAAGTATATCAATTTTGAATTTTTTTCAATCCAGTATATCAATTTTTATTTTTTTCATTTTAGTATATTAATTTTTTCAAAAATATCAATCAAATTTTATCATGTAATTTTTTGTAAAGTGATGATGTGGCAGTTAATTGAGATAACTAGATAGCTATATTGTTTTTTTTTCTCTCATCAATATCAAATAAAGATTAAAAATTTCAATTTTAATATTGATGATTATGTTGCTTTTTTTCTTTTCTTCTTCCAAATTATTGTTATTGTTTAACTATTAATTAAAAAAAAGCAAAGTATCTGGCACACATGTGTGCCATATATATATATATATATTTTCTTCATATTTTTAATATTGATGATTTATATATTTGGCATGCATGCGTGCAAATTGCTTTGTAATTTTAGTTTTTATTTAATAGTTAAACAGTAATAATAATTTAGGAGGAGAAATAATAAAAAAATAAAATAATTATTTTATCTTTTCTATTAATTGTCATATTATCACGGTAAAAAGTTGATTGATATTTTTGAAAAGATTAATATAATGAAACGAAAGAAAATTAAAATTAATATACTCAATTAAAAAAAACTTGAAATTGATATACTTATTATATAACTATCTCATTGATTTTTCAACAGAGCACGTGGATCGCGATCCATTTTACGCTTCTCCAATATCTGTCACCGTCGATTGCTTCACAATTAACGGTTCAAAACGTTCCGCGAAAAAAAAAACCCAATTCAAGAGCAAAAAAGTTTTAACAAACCGTGCCCGCCTAAAAGAAGCAATCTTATCGGTCACTTAACATTGCACATGGATCGCCATCTCTACCGTCCATAAATTAAAAATCAATGGTGTAAAATCTATTTTATTATTCCCTTTTCCCTCTTGCTTTCCCTATAAAAATCGTCAAAACCTCATTTCGCTACCCACCAAATACATTTCAATCTCTAATTTCCCTCATTTTTCGAGAGAGAAACAGAAGGCCCGAAAACCTAATTTCCTAGCTCAATCTCTTCAATGGCTCGTACCAAGCAAACAGCACGAAAATCCACCGGAGGCAAGGCCCCAAGGAAGCAATTAGCCACTAAGGCAGCCAGGAAATCAGCTCCAGCCACCGGAGGAGTGAAGAAGCCTCACCGTTTTAGGCCCGGAACAGTGGCTTTGAGAGAAATCAGGAAGTACCAGAAGAGTACTGAGCTATTGATAAGGAAACTGCCATTTCAAAGGCTGGTGAGGGAAATAGCTCAAGATTTTAAGACAGATTTGAGGTTTCAAAGCAGCGCAGTAGCAGCACTTCAAGAGGCTGCAGAGGCATACCTTGTTGGGTTGTTTGAGGACACCAACTTGTGTGCTATTCATGCTAAGAGGGTTACTATCATGCCTAAAGATATCCAATTGGCTCGTAGAATTAGAGGCGAGAGGGCTTAATGAAGGTAGGTGGTTAGTTATCTTGGGTTCTCAGTTTTAGGTCTCTGGCTTAATGTATCTATCTCTATTTAGATTTTGTGTTCTTTAGGTTATTCTGGGTCTGTCTTCATTGTAAATCATTTTCAGATTTAATGAGGAATTGAGTTGTTTATCTTGAATTCTACTTGTATGATGATTTGTGTAACTTTTTCTATGGGTAAAATTTGACCCCAAATGGAATGGATATATGAGTTTTCGCTCCAATAAAAGTGATGATTGTTGATGTTATTGTGAAGAACAGGCCATTAATCAATGATCTGTTCTCTTACGAAAATATCATCTTGGAAATTATTATCAATGCTGGAGGCAATTTGGGTCTTTGAAGGGTTATATGATTGTTCTGATGCTGTTTTTCATAACGTTAATTCAACTGTCGGCCATGGATTGAAGTGAAAATCTTTACATGGCTAAACTGTTTCCGAATTTTATAATGTTGGTTAGAGCCGATGTTCAAAGATTGTCTTACGCTCACTTATAAGCTACAACACGTAATAACACTGCTCCTTTTCTAGACTTCGATGTTGTAAACCAAGTGGTTGCCTTCTTGCTCTGGTGAAACTATTGCCAATACCAGAGGCACCAGATGCGTTAATCCAAGCATATAGGTGGATCCATGCCAGTGGTGAGCTGATTGGAAAGCCTACCTAGCTATACCAGTGCAACTGTCTTTTCCGTACTTCTTTTCCCTTCTATTTGTTCTAATTTATCCGGACTTTTGAGCTTTCTTGAAAGTATGATCTTTGTCATTTGGTGAATCACTTAAGAGTTGAGTTCTTTTCATTGCATGGGAGGAATGGAGCATATGCAAGCACAATCTAAAATTGTCACTAAAGAAGTGCACTTCATTGATTTTGATCAGTCTTTGCCATATCAGTTGACGTTCAGTTTATTTGCTTTGATGCCTATAATCAGCACCCTTCCCTTCTACGGTATACTCCTATATTATCTTCTTCACCCTTTCCTGTGAATTTCAAATTGAGTCACCATTGTTTATTTATTACGTTTTTCCTGAAAATTCTGTTGATGGAATATACGTTTTCAGCAGTGCATATATATATATATATATATATATGGCTATCATCTTAAAATGTAGTTTAGTTTTGGGATTCAGGACCTTAAAAAATTTCAGTACACTACAGGTGGGAAGCAATAACATATGCATAAAAATGCGGATGAATTATTCTAACATAGTTTCTGTCCTTTCAGTTTATCATATTTTGCAGGTCGATTGGGTATTCTGAATATTTATAAATTTCAAGTTGATAAATGTTCATTGCCCTCCTCTGGCTTGGCTGTAAGTGAATCTCACCCACCCAAAATTGCATTATTTGTTAGTAGGTAGTTTGCCAATTCGTGTTCCCTAATTGAAAATGTTTGTTCTGTTGACTTGGAGTGGTTAGGAATGGGTCCAAAGCTTCAGCTGATCTGCTATTCTTTAGAACACCATCATGGCTAGTGACTTGTTCAGCAAGATGTCTCGACTGATTATTGTTTGTTCATGTCAGTATTAATTTGTAGATTGGTAATTTAGTATTCAAGCATACAAAAATGGTCTTATTTGGTAGCCAAAGCCAAGCCAAGAACCATGAATTTGAAGCTTCTCCAGTTGGCGGTACGAAGGGCTAGCTGTGTCAAATATTGCGGAGGGAAATTATTTTTGTTAAAACTTTAGCATGGGTAGTAGCTGAGCCTGACAAGAATGGTGGGATACAAATTCTTTACGTTTGTGTTTGAAATTGTTAGAGCATCTCTACTGACCATCAATGATCCACAGATGCTGACACTGGGCAATCATATCAATTCACCAGAGGATGGAGTTTGTTGAATCATCAAGCGAGCACATGAAAAACAGCGATCGTGGATTCTGAAACTTACAAGATTAGGAAAAGAAGACAGCAAAGAATAAATCCTATTAAGAAATGCCTTAGAAGCAGTGTTGTTTCTCCTACCAATTAAGCAATTACATTGCAAGTGGCTACTTCTACTTGATCAATTTCAGCATGGAATTGTTGAACATTTGTATCAAGTTATGAAGCAGCTTCAGATCTTCTCCGAAACCTCGGCAACGGAATTTCTGTCTCTGAATTTCTACTTTTCAGCTCTAGCTGAAGATTTGAATGCATATAATGTCGAAGGCCTTGGAACAAGTGGTAGGCAACCTTGAAGCAAGATTGTTTCAATACTCCATAGCTGCCATTTCTGGTACCCAGCAGCTCTTCTCCTTGTTCTCACTATCATACAATCAGTTTGTTCTGTCATTTAACTAGTATGTGTTGGATTTAGTTGTTGTAAATTGCAATAAACATATGTAGAATGAATATCGAATCAAAATTGAGTGATAATTATGTAAAGAAATGAAAAGATCCTTTTATTTGGTTAATAATAATTTTCTAATTAAGTTATAAAACATATATTGGAAGTTGCTATCCTAAAAGTGTATTTGCTCTTGAATCCTATAGTAAACTATATTTATAGTAGAAGTAAATATCACTTTAAAGATAAATAATATTTATTTTTTGACTCAAAATTATTTATCCATCTTCAAATTTTTTCTATACAAATAGTACGAGTTTACTAAATATTTTTGTATACATCAAATTTATTAAATGATGTGCCGTTAAGATTGTTTAAAGAAAAATTTAATTTAATTTCAATTGACATGTAAGATGATTTGAATGTATATTATGGTCAAATATAAAAACTAGTACGAAGTTACACATTGTTTTTATTTTTATTTCAATACTGTAATTTTGTTGATTCATTTTGACCCTTGTTGATTTTACAAAAGTCAGGTTTGGCTCGTATAGTTTAAAATTTTCCACAATCAATTTTAGAGTTTTCAAAAAGTTACAATATGGTCCTTTAAATAGCTAATGGGCTGCTCACAATTTAATAATTAAAAAAAAAATTCCGTTTTTTTTTGTGCATTGTCTCGTACAAATTTTTGTCGGGTTTTTACAGTAAAAGATGAGAGAATAGTCAGAAAAGCGAAACAAAAAGTTGGAAAAGTTAGCATTCCATTAGCCGCTTGTGGCCATTCATTCTCAGGACAAAAGACATCAAGTCGTTGACGAAGACTTAGCAGAGAATAAGAACAGCACAAGAAACCTCCTTGAAAAAACTGCAGAGAAAAATTTTCATAAAAAGTCGGTGCAAAAGAGGTGTGTTTTCTTTTAAATTCGAAAGGCTTACAACTCTTGGAAGTCGATCTAAGTGTGCTTCAGCCTTCAGTTGCCATGAAAAATAGCTGTGTTTGCCCATTTTTGCTTTGCAATAAATAGTAAAAAGAAGACATGATTTGAGTGTATTTCATTCCTTGCGAATATTCTTGCTGTTGTTTTGATAATTTTGTAAGTGATTTTGTGTGATTTCTTTTATATACGTGTTTGGGTTTGTTAGAGCATCTCATGCACTCTACTGATCATATTCCATGATTCATAGATTCTGACACTAGCAATTATATCAATTTGTTGTAGGACGGAGGTTACTGGATCATCAAGGGAGCAGATGGAAAACAATGATCAAGTTTCAATTGATATCCACAACTTAGCCAAGTCTCTGAGAGACAAGTTGGACATCTTGGATCCATTGTCACTTGATTGCTGTATCTACAGAGTTCCTCCCCGAATTCGAGAGTCAAATGAGAAGGCTTACACACCCCGAGTAGTCTCTATCGGCCCATTTCACCGCGGCAAAGAAGAGCTAAAAGCAATGGAGGAACTTAAAATGAGGTACTTGAAAGATTTCATTGACCAAAGCAATGTAAGCTTGGAGGTTTTGATCAGGGTCGTTAAAGAGAGTGAGAAAAAATTGCGTGTCTGTTATGCAGAAACCATTAATCTTAGTAGTGATGAATTTGTGGAAATGATGGTGTTAGATGCTGTCTTCATCATTATGACATTATGGACACTTAATCGGAATTTGCTCGAAAGTAGGTGGGAACTTGCAGGGAATATGAGAATCGATATATGGCATGATTTGTGCTTGCTTGAGAATCAGCTTCCGTTCTTCGTTTTGGAGGACGTGCTTAAGCTATCCAGTATGTTCTCCGATACTTCCGCGTTTGAACTTGCCATTAATTTCTTAGAATATATATTCGGTAGATGGGTGAACGGAGAGGCTTTGGAGAAAATCGATTCCTCTCCTCAAGCAGCGCATTTTGTTGACGTTCTACGACTTTGTCAGCAGCCATCGGATCCTTCCAAACTCAGAAAGCCACTCCCATTCGGAACTCCAACAATACCTAGTGTAACGCAACTCCACCGATCTGGAGTGAAATTTGTGTGTAGTTCAAGCAAAAACCTACTAGAAATAAAATTCACCAAAGGGATTCTGGAGCTTCCAAAATTACAAATCGGGGACGGCGAAGACATTCTATTCAGAAATGTCCTGGCCTACGAGCAGTGCCATTCTCCTTCCAATTACTTTGTAAGTGGGTATTTTTTCTTTATCAATTCTCTAGTCAATGATGCTAAGGATGTGGAAGTACTTGTGAAGCATGGAATTGTTGAACATTCCATGTCAAATAATGAAAGGGTGATAGATCTTCTTACCAATCTCAGCAGCGGAACCTCCATCTCTCCGGATTCCTACGTTTTAGCTCTGGCTGAAGATCTGAATGCTTATTGTAGAAGGCCTTGGAACAAGTGGAAGGCAAACTTGAAGCAAGATTATTTCAATACTCCATGGACTGCCATTTCTGTTGTGGCTGCTGCCATTCTCCTCATTCTCACTCTCATACAATCAGTTTGTTCTGTAATTCAAGTTGCGTAATTAGCTTCTACTGTTTCAATTGTGACTCGTGTGATTCCAAGGATGTTGTTTTTGATTAATAATAATTTTCTAATCAAGAGTTGTAGGTATAGTGGTAAAAGAGTGATTTTGATTAGGGATTCGATTCTCACATTTGAAAAGCTTTTTCCTTTCCTTTGATGACATTAGACATGGCTTATTAGTCGATTCACAGAATCCGATTTTTTTATTTATAGAATTGACCAAAAAAATGAAAATAATTTAACGTTAATTTAATCTAGAAAAATATTTTAGAAATTTCGATTGATAAAATGACTGGTTCAAAGGTACTTCATTACTTACAGTATAAAAAATTGCCTACATGCGGTCATTTATTTAAGGACAAAAGAGAATATTGGAAATTTTGCAACACTATATGACTTAAGTTGGAAACTTTTAATTTATAGGGACTAAATTAGAATTTTGAGAATGTATAGAGGCTAAAACATAGTTTACCCACCCGAATTACTACCCGAACGTAAGAACGTTAAAGTACACGTTAGGCGCAAGTTAGCATAAATCCAAATGGCGGGAAATGGAAAAGGCAGATAATATGCTGTAAACAAATAATCCCAAAAATTGATTTTCTCTTCCTAATGGAGAAATATTTGGTTCCAGCAAAATCTTCAGCAGAAGAAAACCATAGAAAACCCACTCGATTGTATCGATGGAAGAGGAGTTTAACCGAATTGAATGGCAGATTAGAGTCCAAGTACCGCCATGACCTCTCTGTTCTGCTCTTGCAATCCTACTCTCAGGTCTCTCAATTTTCCTCTCTTTTTTTAACGGATTTTTCTGCTCTTATTTTTGGATTTTTAGGGGTTTTTTTTTTTTTTTTGTTCTGCAAAGATTGGATCATTTCCGCATTTGTATCATACAACTGGAGGAGGAGGTGATGCAGCAATTCCTTGCCAAACTCATGTATGCAATTATTTTCAATCCAATTCTTTATTGTTATGATTATAATTATTTGACCTAACTTTATTTGCACAGATGAATTCGAGTGGTTTGGACTCGGATTTGACTCGCCAATTCGCAATAAACAAGTCAGTGCTCTAGCTTGATCATTTTATTATTTTGTAGTACATACATTTTGGTTTTAGTAAATCATTTTTGTGATTTTTTTGTTCTTTTTTGCAGGCAAGGCATATCTTTCCTGGAATTTGACAAAAAGGTGAATGATTTAATCACTATGCATAGAAAACGGCATTTGAATTCTTTTTCTTCTTTTTTCCCATTGCATTGAGTTATCTATATTTTTGTCTCATTTTGTATAGCTGCATGTTTTGCTAGATATTCTTTATTGATTTTTAACTCGTTTTTGGACTCAAATTTGTCAGATCCATAAACCTTATGTACGGTTTCATTTTTCTTTTACTTTTATTCCGGCCCTTCTTATTTTCTGTTCCTCCCGCCCTTTGATTTGTAATATTTGTGCATGTGTATTCCAGGGAATTTATTTAGTATCAGTGACAAAATCGGGGTGCTTGACAGTGCATGACTTTGAATCACTTTATTGTCAGGCTAATGGTTCCTTTCCATGTAAGATCCTTTTTGAGCTTGCTACACAATTCTTCTTTTAATTGTTCTTTTGGCATATGTATTTCTGGAATTTGGTGATAACTGAATGTTATCTGTATTTGTGGTGGATCATACCCTGTTAGTCTATCAATAGGGACTTGTTTGGATTCTTTTATAGTTGTGTGTGTATGGTGAGGTGTAATGTTCTTTACATATTGACTCATTTTTAATTTAAATTTTCTAGCAGGCTTTGGCGAAGATGAAAGCAAACATGTCTTGCACATTTCTTTGGGCCGACAACTAGATGTGGTTCGCTGGAATCTCGCCAACCAAGATGAGGTTTGTTGGAATTGTTTGCACTTCTACTTCCTGTTAGTTATTTCAACAATCATAGTGGAGAATTGCTGCATGATACTGAACTCTAGATTTTATCCGTAGCATTCTAATGTTCACATCAGTGTCTGTTACTTACATTCTTCTTCTGTGATAGTCATGTAGGGGAGCAAGCTGAAAAATGGCATAGGAATCAGTGTGGGAAACATTCATTATTAAATGGAATTATAAGGGGGATACAAGATATAAAAAGAAGCAGGAATCAAATACACACAAAATAAAAGAACCTGTGTGATTATTTGTACATTTACATTTACAATTTCAAATCATTTTTTTCAAGTGTGGATATGTGGAAAATGTTATGTAATTGCAGTGCATTTCGTATTAGAATTTACTTGACTGAATGCTTAATTAAATTAGCGTTCAGAAAAAGGTATCAACATATCTGTTTGATGATTCTAGCATGGGAACCATTAATCACTTTGTTGACCGCATCTGCTGTTTACACAGTTATAACCTTAATTTCCTTATGAATTTTTTGTGTGACAAATTTTAACTTGTTTTTTTTAGGTCGCTTGCACATCTATGAAAAGTAACGAAGTACAAATTTTTGATATTGGTTACATTTCTTCTGAACCAGTTGAAGTAAGATCTTTTCCTGTGCCATATTTCTACCACCATGTTATTTCAAGTTCAGTAGACAGATTGTTCTCAGGCTTCACTTTTTAACTGCAATAAGGAAAATGGAAACACAACCAAGGAAACTTGGTTCTTTTAGAGGCAGTTTGATTTGGCTAGAATTATTTGTGTCGGAGAATTAGAATTTTTTGGTAAGAGAATCTTTGGAAAGTTGAAATAAACGAATTAGGTATTTATTTCTGGTGATAGATGCTTGGAAGTGTTAGAGCATTATTGGTGCTCTTCCATTGATAATTGTTTTAATCAGAACATAAAAATCAGCATATGCATCAATGGATGACATGTTTAGACGAATCAGGTTCCTGGTACCAAATGTGCCTACCTAATTTCTTTTCTAACTTTTTTGGGCTGAGAAAGGTTTTTATTGCTATCATTATTTCTATTTGAATTTTCATAACAGGTTTTTATTGTTCTGTAACATCCTATATTTTCAATGCTTTGATGATAAATTTCTTTTATTTTTGATGCAGGTTTTAAGTACTAAGCATGCTGTCACTGTTCATGGGTCTGACATTCGTAAAGGTCTAACTGATATAGCTTTTACTTCAGAATCAAGGTAGGTTAAAAAAAAAGGGGTAACTTTCAGCTAGTAAAATCACTTTTCATGCCAGACTTTTGAAAGATGGCACATAATGCGTCAAAGGGAGACTGCATTAGTCATACAAGTCAATAAGTAACTCAGCAAAGGACTTTTTTCTACCTTAAAGTTTGAACCAACTTAGAATTCTTTGTTAAAACTGGCATAAAAGTTGTATGTTCTCTGCTCTGGATTCTTTACAGCCAAATTATCTCAATTTGCTGTTTGCCTTCAGCATTGTTTGATTCCTTGTTGGGAAGGAACAATGTTTTCTTCCCTCTGGCTATATCTATGTTGTGCTTTAAATGTAGGTTAATTGCTTCTGATACAAATGGTGGAGTCAATGTATGGGATAGAAGAATGAGTACACTTCCATGTCTTGAGCTTACATCAAATTCCCGTAGTACCCTTAACAGCATCAAGTTAAATGTGGAAAATCAGGTTAGCACCTACTTCACCTGTGTCAATGGGAAAGTTATATATGCACTTTTTTCCCCCTTGTGATGAAGTTATCACACCATTGCTTACCTACATATAAACTAAAAAAATTTCCTAGGGACCTCTGTATATCTATGTGCTTCTCATAACATCATACTTTCAGGACCTCAGTTTGCCTCAAGAGTGGATGGGAAAGACTAGTGATTGAGATATGAATTACAATTCTATCTAAAATGCACTGCTTATTGTAGTATACCTGCAGTAAATTTGCATTAGTTCATCAAATATAAGATTCCAAGCAAATCTTTTAAGAAATATTCTCATTATGGGATTCGATAGTTTTCCTAGCTTCCTTGTGGTATTCTGCTTCAGTGACCTTTTCAGGATTGTCTTCAGCCAATTCTCATTAAGACCAGAGTTCCCTTTCCAAATGATTTTTGCTTGTTGGAGGACACCTTATATTCCTCGTATCCTCCTTACTATACTCCTCTACGATTGTAAATTTTTGTTTTCATTTAAAAAAAATGCAAAATACTCGTTGCATGAAACATTTATTGTATGTTCAAATTTCATCTATCTTTTGACGGAGCATAATAGAAGCAAATTCTTCACTACAGATGGTTTTTGGGGCTGGTCGGCATGGAATAGTTTACATGTGGGATCTCCGTGGAGGAAGAGCTGCTTCTGCTTTTCAAATTCATAAAGAGGTTAGTAACTGGTCTCGTATCTTGACATGCAAACTTGAAACTCAATTTTGTGATGTTGGATCTGGAATTGGCAAGTGGACAAATTGCAAATCATGGTTATTATTTTGGATAATATGAGTATATAACTATGAACGTATGCTGTTTTGTCCTACTAAACAATTGGGTTCAGCAGTATTTCTGGCTCCAATTCTTGTCTGTCGTTACAGTTTGTTGAGTTATGCATCTCTAACACCTTTCTGTCTGGAGATCAAGAAACTACAACAGAATATGACAAAAGTGAATTATCTTTGGTTTTTTATGTCCTTGCAACATTGACCTTTTTCCAATCAGGTATACCATCCACCTGTAACCTCTTGGAAGTTATCATCAATGCTAGAGAGAATAGGGTCTTTGAAGGTATGTGTGACTTTTCTGATGTTGCTTTTCATTATGTGAATTCAAATATTTATGGATTGCAGGGTAAATTGATTACGAATAATGGTTTTCTGTAAATGGAATTAACAACTGAAGTTTAATAGGTTATGAAATAATAACATATTGAATAGGGTTTGTGCTCGGTGATTGTGTTTTGCTTATGATGCATTCTTAACTGCTGGTCCCAATCATTTTGCAGGCACAGTCAGATATTGTCTCCAAAGAAGTGCACTCCATTGACTTTGATCCATCTTGCCCGTATCAGTTGGCATTCCATCTTGATGATGGTTGGTAGGTCAGAAATGCAAGCGCTTTTCTTGTTCTTCCTGGCCCTTCCTACGGATCTATTATCTCTTAGCTCTGTGAATTTCAATTCAATCATAGTTGTTTAGTATGTCTGTCCTAAAAACTCTGTTGATTGAGTCTGCATTTCATGTGCATATATGTTGATCATCTTAAATAAAATCATGTATTACATATTTTCTCAATCTTAATGATCTAGGTCATTTTAACTGTCATTATGGTTTTGGAAGTTGGAGCCTTAAAATTTCTATTCACGTCCTATGGGTGAGAAGCAGTATGCATAACCAAGGTGGAGAAAGTATTCTGATTTATTTTTGATTTTCCAGTTACTCGCATTATGCAGGTCAGGCATTTTAGATATTTACAATTTTCAAGCAACTCATGTTCATTGTCCTCCCCCGGCTTGGTTGTAAGTAATTTTGGCACATGCAAAATTGCAGTATATGCTGATAGGTAGAATTGCTAACTGTGTTTGCTAATTGAGAATGTACTTCTTGTTGACTCGGAGTGATTAGGAATGGGTCCTCCACTGATCTGTTGTGCTTAAGGAAACCATCATGGCTACCAACATATTCAGTAAGATGCCTCAACCCATGTTTATCTGGTCATGCTTGGTTTATTTATGCCATTGTCTAATGTCTGTGATGTCCGCATGATGCGTAAATCCCTTGCTCTCTTTATACCAAGAAGTGCTGTTATACTCTAGAATATTGGGCTGGCTGTTATGATTAGCTTGGAAGTTTTTTGGCTTCTTAAAAGTAAATCCCTTGCTCTATGAAAATGGTAATATTTTCTAATATTATGGCCAAAAGAATGCAATTTTAAATTTTGGTTAGAGAATGAAAAATGCTGAAATTTTGAAACTTAGAACGACAGTAAGAAAGAATAAAGCAACATTTATTTGATTTGCTTACTCATCAATGCTCGGAGTAGACTGGTTTGTGCAAAGATATGCATCATACAGTTATCTCAAAATTCCATTACATTTGCAAAAGGAAGAACCTTTTTGTGATTGTTCGAAGTGCAATGTGTTTGCTGAGAACATCATTGAACTAATGATATTTGACTAGAAGATATAGGTGTTTATTTATTCAGCTTGTGGCCTGAGCCATTATTGCAGCATGTTCAGCAAAATATATTCCATTACATTTTCATGAAGCGCACAATTGAATTCCAGTAAGGAAGAAACATTTGTTTGAAAACTAAAATTGTGAAGGTTATCAATCTGCATCTTTTGGTGACCATTGCTGCAGGTCACTTAAACAAGCGGCATCAAGCTAAGCTTTGATCATAAAGCATCTGCTTCATCATTCTCACTTCAGGCTTCGTTTATATAGTTTTCCTGATTCAGTTTTCGAGGGCCACATAATAGTTCTTAAATTGAATTTTCTGCTCATTGACTTTTAGTTTGTCATTAACTGATGGGATTATTTTTACTACTTGATGCTTTTGTCACCTGGTCATAATTCCGATTTGCTCAACTCAAATCTGGTTTTCAAACTCTATAAGGCTTGAACTATCGTTTGTGATCTCTGGAATTCAAGCTGTATCTTTTAATGCAGATCTATGTGGTTGGATCATCAGCTGACAATGGCATCCATCTTTTAGATTTCTATCCCGATTCCAGCTCTCCTTGCCACGTGGACTACAGGTAAAAGACTCCTTTCAAAAACAAATTTTTGTGCATTGCCAAAAAAAAAAAAAATGCAGGTAACAACTAATCCCTGATCTTTCCTGTCGTTTGGACTAACATACATCCAGATATCATCGATGCAATAAAGAAAATGTGAATGTAATCAACACATGTTTGATGTTTCCTTTATGTTTCTGAAATATCTGGTTAGCTGAAAATTCTTATTCTCCTGACCTTGTTTTCCAAGGTACCATAGAAGGTAGTGGTTTTCTTTGTGCTTACACAAACCTGTCAAGCCTCTTTCATTTCTGTCCCTAAATATATATCTCTCGCATTGTTTACTTACTTTCTTTGTATTCATTGGTTTACGATATTTCATTTTCTGAGGTCAACAAATAAACTATTGCCTAATTATATGTGCTGCAGTCCTATTGAAAATGTAGAGAGGCAATCCGGGGTGAACGGCAGAAACAAGCAAAATAGGTTTATTCCACTGTCTGAAGGTGTTACTGCATGTGCAGCCCATCCCCTCAATGGCACCATCATAGCCGGAACCAAGGTTTGTGGTTTTGGATAATCTACCATGATAGTCTTATCCTATGCATTTTAGAAATTTTATAGGCCTTTCTTCATTGTTGTTATACACATATAGCTTCTATCAACAAAAACCTCATCCAAGGGAATTGGTAACTTTTTTCGTCACCATTATATTTTCCACATGGATACTAAATTTTGAAAAAAAAAAAAAAATTGGTTTCAGCATTCATCTTTGCTGGTGGTGTCCCAACAAAAGCATTCTGAAGCAGATTAGCAGGGGTAATTACACAACGAGGAAGGTTTTGAAGCTGGAGACAGGTTCTACATCCTTAAATTAGAGCACGACAGTGTACAAAAGAGGTTAAGAAACATTTGAAGAAGATAATTATTGGTTGGATATGTGGTCACCAACCTCACTGTGTTCTGTATATACCGGATGGAAACAAATGCCGGTTTCCTTATCAACAACTCGGTGTTTATCTGGTACTTTCTGATTTCTCTCAATGCCATTGTCCCAGTGCCTGGACCAGAATTAATTGGATGAAGGGTTAAATCGGTTTACAACTAATTAGATGGGAGCTGGGACTTAATCGAGAATGGGATAATGATTGGAGGCATATTTAATTTTTTTCTTTCCCATTATTTAATTAGGACAGGTCTGTACTTTACTGCCGATAAGTCTAATTCTATATGATATGTTTTAATATCTAGATGGTAATCATTTAGAAAAACATGCAATTAATTATTTATTTATTAAAAATTAATTTTTTTAAAAAATGTTAAATCAATTTATATTAGAAGTGTTAATTTTAGTCGAGTATTTAAATAAAAATAAAAGCATAATCCAACTAAAAAGAAAAAAGTAAAAAGTTAGATAACTTTATTGAAATACAAATTAAGTTTAGAGAATATTTTGTACAAAATTATAATAAAAGCATAAGAAAAGTAAAAAGAAAAAAAAAAGAGAGGTCCTTTTTGATGGGCTTAGAACAATTGGGCTCATGAGTTTAGGCTGAAAGTCCAGTTATAAGAAAACACATAAATTTTAGTGCAACACAAATTAAGCTTAAGAAATTCACAAAATGTGTAAAAATTAAGGATCTCCAAATATACAGAATGTAGGTTTTCCTCCGGTGGATTTTCATGCTGTTGCTTTGTGCGAGCCATTGAAAGGATTGAATTGAGAAATTGGGTTCTTTGGATTTCAGTTTGGTTTTCGAGAAAAGGAGAAATTAGGGTTTTGATTGATTTTGGTGGGTAGAGAATTGAGGTTCTGACGATCTTTACAAGGGCAAGTGAAAGCGAAAAATAGGAAGGAGACGGTGAAATGAATTTTGAACCGTTGATTGGTATGTTAACGGTCGGCGTAGATGGCGATCCGTGAGCACGTGAAGAGACCAATAGGATTGTTTGTTTCAGGCGGCGTCGTTTTTCATACTATTGGCTTTTCTGAAATTTTGAACTCCTTTCCTCTTTAACGAGAGTTTCGACCGTGGATTTTGAAGAAATCAAAGGTCGTGAATGTTTGGAGAAGCGTGACGAGGGTCGCCATCCTTGTGCTCTCTTTAGAGGCTTTGGGAGAATAAACATGGACCGTAGATTTGCTTGATTATTCAACGATTGTACCAGCTAGATTCCATCTGGGATAGATAATGTAAGTTCCAGAATCCCTTTCTTTACATCTAATACTAGTTTTTGTGTTACGCTGGGTATGGCTAGAGTGCTGACTGCTGAGTAACCCTGTGCTGTTCAGCGCTGATGGCAGCTGACAGTCTTAAATTGTCAACAAAATGTAATACTTCATTGCTTAAGCAAGGCATAAAAAATGAAGAATAGAAGCTGATTCTCAAATCAGACTGTATATCAAAACTCAAACTGTGTACCAGGTCACTGCTTTTACCGGAGGAGGAAAACTTACTTTTGACAATGTATCCGTAAGACCATAATGTGGAAGACAGCATCTAATAACATCATTTCCACAAACTCCTCATTGCTAAAGGTCAATGTTTTCTGCATAACAATTCTTTCTTATGCTCTTCAACAACCGTGATAGAAACCTCCAAGCTTTCCTTGGTCTCAAAAAGGAAATCTTGCAAGCACCTCATTTTATGCTCTTCCATTGCTTTTAGCTCTTCTTTGCCATGGTGAAACAGGCCGATTGAGACTACTCACAGTGAGTAAGCCTTGTCGTTTGACACTCGAATTTGGGGAGAAACTCTATAGATGTAGCAAACATCTGAAAATGGAACCAAAATTTCGTACTTCTTCTTAGAGACTTTGCTAAGTTGTTGATATCAGGTGAAACATGAGGAGTACTGTTTTTCATCTGCTCACTTGATGACTCTGAAATCTCCATCATTCAATGAATTGATATGATTGCTAGTGGGAGCATCTATGAATCATTGATGACATAATGTAATACCTATAAAACCAAGTAAATTAGATAGGAGGTTAAAGTGAGGGGCTTTCTGATAACTTTATAAGGAAAGAAATAAAAGAGAAAGTGGCAGCATGTTTAAGTAAAACCAGTAAAAAGAAAACAAAAGAAAAACGGGAAAGGGGGAGAGAAAGAAAAAAAAAAAGAAAAGAAAGAGAGGAGAAGGAAGGAGGAAAAAGAAGATTCACCGACAACCACCCACTCCTGCGACAGCTTTGACGATGACAAGTGGTGGCATGATTTAGGTAAGAAGAATAAAAATAAGAAGGATTTAGAAGATGAGAAATAAGAGAGAAGGAGAGATTTATTAAGTTAAGTTTTTTTTAAGTTTTAATTAATTATAACCTTAATTAAGATGGGTTATAGGTAATTTAGTGAATTTCATCTTGAATTAAGAATTAGAATTATGGATTAGGTTTGATTAAAATTAGGGTTTATGCTAGTTTAGAAAATTTGAGAAAAGTGAGTGAATGGGTTAATTAGGGTCTAATTAAGCTTGAATCTTAATTTATTAGTGTTTAATTATTGTTATTTATGATAAATGTAAGTTTATGATGATAGAGGTAAGAGAGGATTTGGTGAAAGAAGCTACTTAAGGAAGAGATAATTGCAATTTGGGGTGTTCCTCTAGATTAGAAGTAAATATAACACATATTATGAGTCTTTACTATCATATATGTATATATTGCTTGTGAAGTGAAAAATTGATTGTATGAATAAATGCTTCATTAGTATAAATAATTGTATATGAGTTGAATTATTTTAGTACGGATGTTCTTACCATAAGCTAAATGAATTGAATTGGTATGTTGTCATATGAATTGTGGTTATTAAAGAGAATGTTGATATATTGAATGGTATATGTGCGTGTTGATATGATGATCACTTGCATTAAATAGAATTGTGTGATTGATATATACCGAATGAGAATAATGATATTGATGACTTGAAAGAAGTCTATGCAAGACTAACTAAGCTAACGGGGTTATAGTTAGTCTAGGTGCATTTAATATTGTCGGCTAGGGAATGGCCACGGTGCTTCTCTCGCAGTTCACCCCTCCGAGGGCCATAGTTATCCTTTTAAAGGTCAAAAGAATAGACGAGTTCCGTATAAAGTGATTTCAAGTAATTGTTATGCTATTATTAATTGTTAAGAAAGAAAGAAAAAGAAAAAGATATTGATTGCTTGCTTGGTTGCAAATCATGTATGATAAGTGCATTGACATAATTGTATGTATAGTGATTTATAATATGTGTTATGCTTACCGAGTTTTAAAAACTCACCCTCCCAACCTCAAATGTTTTGTAGATAATATAAAAGCTAGATAACGGATGCGTAAGCTAGATTATAGAAAGAGGATGATAGATTTTATGTATTTAAAGGTAATACTCGGATATTATTTTACTTACTCCGAGCATAGGACATGGTTATTTCAAATTTGTAATCACTTTTCATTTTGGAATTATAATCGATCATTATATATGTTATTTCACTTAGTTGTTTTACTTGGTAGCATCACTAAATCCATGGATAACTAGTTAAAGGTCTCCATGTTTTGTATTTGAATGATTAAATTGTGATTTATAAATTTTGTTATGGTAAATATTAAATTATGTGTTTGTTAGTCAATTTAATAAATACTAAGATTTATGAGGAAGTGTAGTTATCCAATGAAAGGACTTGATGATAATTGAGAATTAATGAAGATGATTTGGAAATATATATATATTATGATTTTTATACATTATATATATTATGTTTGAAACCCTCCATTTATAAGGAAAATATTATCAAAATTTCTATAGGTAAAAAAGAAAAATTAAGACTCATGTAGCTCTGTGATGAGTCACCTCACCCCGAGCTATGTGCCAATCGCAACTTGCTAGTTTGAGTCATGACGCAACATATAAAAATAAAAATTAAAAACATCACCAAGTCACTTACAAAAACATCTCTCAAACAACAAGAGGGGTGTGTGTGTGTGAAAAGAATAATGAAGCCTGAAACTTTTAACTTAAAATCCTCTGATTTTGACTAATTAATTAAGCCACAATGAAATGTAAAGACAGCCATTTCTCATGGCAACTTACAGTGAGAGGAGCTAAATTCTTCTCTGCAAATTTAAAAGAAAACATATCTTAGTAGCTCTCACTTTATACCCAAATTATGCTCTACAATTATTTAGCATTTTCTTTATTTATAGGCAAATCAATTTCGAGTGATGGGTTATTTAGACAAGGAATCAGAGCAACTTTGAAGCATCGAATGTAATTGATACCCCTTGCAAAAGCCAGAAAATTCGTCAAAAAAAGACACTTGCTCGAAAAAACTCCAGAAATTGCAGATGTAGAACAACCATGAATCAACCAATAGTAGATTTATTAAAAACAAGTACTCTTCTTTGGAGAAGGATTACAACGTTTTATTCTATTGTGACCTACTAACGATCATCAAGATGTATCAAAATCAATGCAATTCACTTCTTTGAAAGTATCATAGTGAAATTTCAATGCCAATTTCCTTTGGGGTCAAATTTCACCCATCAATTTGATTAGGAAATATTAAAGACAAGTAATCAACCACATAGAATTCAAAATAAGCAACGCAACTTTTCAATCGATCCAGAGAAGATATACAACGACACAAAACCCTAAATCTACTAAACAACAAAGGAAGAACATGAAGTCCAATTAGAGAACGTTGTGCCCTAAACCCAACATCACTAACTTGATTAAGCTCTCTCTCCTCTGATTCTACGGGCCAACTGGATATCCTTGGGCATGATAGTAACCCTCTTAGCATGAATAGCACACAAGTTGGTATCCTCAAACAGCCCAACAAGGTATGCCTCTGCTGCCTCTTGAAGAGCTGCTACAGCACTGCTTTGGAATCTCAAATCTGTTTTGAAATCTTGAGCTATTTCCCTCACCAGCCTTTGAAATGGCAGTTTCCTTATCAACAGCTCAGTACTCTTCTGGTACTTCCTGATTTCTCTCAAAGCCACTGTTCCTGGCCTGAAACGGTGAGGCTTCTTCACTCCTCCGGTGGCTGGAGCAGATTTCCTAGCAGCCTTAGTGGCTAGTTGCTTCCTTGGGGCTTTTCCTCCGGTGGATTTTCTTGCTGTTTGCTTTGTGCGAGCCATTGAAAGGATTGAATGACGAAATTGGGTTTGTGTTTGTTTCTCGAGAAAAGGAAGAAAATTTTGGGTTTTGGTTGTTTTGGGTGGATAGCGAGATGTGGTTCTGACTATTTTTATATGGCAAAGCGAGAGCGAAAAGAGGAAAGGACGGTAACATGGATCTTGAACCGTTGATTGGTAACTTAATGGACTGTATAGATGGCTATCCTCGCTCACTTGAAGCGACCAATAAGATTGCTTCGTTTAGGCGGGATCGGTTTTCGTACTCTTGGCTCTTTTGAAATTTTGTGCTCCTTTCCTCTTCAGCGAAAGTTTAGGATCGTGGATTTTTGAAGATATCAACGGACGTGAATGTTTGGAGAAGCGTGACGAGGATTGCCATCCGCGTGCTCTGTTGAGTAACCAATAGAAATGTTTTATTGCTTCGGTTCAGAGGCTTCGAGAAAATAAATACGGACCGTTGATTTGCTGGATTATTCAAGGTTGGCACTGGCTGGATGTCATCACGGATTTATCTGTATGATAAACACGCATAAAGAGTAAATTATAAATTAGTCCCTTCAGGTTTCCAAAAAGAATTAAACAGTTTCTATAGTTTGAATAACTAATTAAATAGTTCCAATGTTTTTAAATCTATTTATAACTTAATCCTTTTTTCAATTTATTTTGTAATTTTTTTAAATAAATAGAAAAGAAAAAATTAAGTCAAAAAACTAAAAATATTGATGTAAAAGAAGACATTTTTTTAAAAAATAATAATATTAAGTTAATTACAGTCAACACATATCACATGACTAATTATTAATTTTTGAAAGAAATGGACCTATCTAATTTATTTTTCCAAACTAGAGAGACTAATTTAGAATTTACTTAATTAATTATTGGGATTAGTCTAAAAAAAATGGTGATAGTACATTTATGGAGAAAAAAAAAGAAAAAAGAAAAGTAATGCTATTTTATAGTTGGCTTGGCGTTTTCGTTGAAAAAAAGTAGGAATTTTTTTATGAAAAGTAACTGAAAATTATGAAAACTTGGAAATTAAATGGAGACAACAAAAAAAAGGACTAAATTGAGATTTATGTTATTATTTGGTAGCTAATTTGAAGTTTGTCCTTAATTATTCTATTAATAATAAAAATCACAACCAAATTATTGGTGTTCCTAATTATCTTTGGATATAAATAAAATTTCTGCTTCCGCGCAGTCCAATTCATTTATCCCAAAAATTGAAACAAAGACGCGAATCGAAAAAAACTAGAAGCAAGATCAGTTGCCTTTTTTTTTTTTTTTCCAAAGTCCATATCGTTCATGAGTAAATTATAAATTAATTCCTCTAGTTTTGATAAACAAATTAATTAGTTCCTCATGTTAGAAAAACTAATTATTTAGTAAATAAAAAAAAATAGATAAATATTATGGGGAAATTGATGAGAAAAAATACAATATTTTGAAATAAAGCAACATCAAATTAAGGGTGCTCAAAATTGGTAAAAAAAATAAATTAAATAATTAGTTTTGGAGACAAAATAAACTAATTAATTCGTTTCTCTAGATTAAAGGGACTAGTTTATAATTTACTTTATTTTCATACTTCTCAGACTACAAAGTAAAGAGTGGTTCAGGGATTCATTCATGATTCCCTTGTTTAATTCAACCCAAAAAAAAAAAAAAAAACAAAATGTAGAACAAAACCAATGCCAGTATTGATATCAAAATGTGTAGGTTACACATACAACAAAATTATGAAGATGACTAACATTTTATTTTCTGTGTAATTTTCCACTAAATTGTACAAGTAGTTCTAAGACCTCATTCTGAAAATTCTAAAATAAACCTATATGAAAACGAAATCAAAGGAAATTCTTGACCGTAAATGTTCTTTATATACAGCAATCACCAAGGAAGTCGTCAAGCATAATGAAGAATAAAAATTATACCCAGTTGTTTGAAAGTGAAAAATCATGGAACAGAAAAGATGCTTCCCCTGCAGTGTCTCGATCAAGCCTAATCTCTGCCTCATTCCCCACTACTACATCATTCGACAAATCAGCTGGCAGAGGCTGTATTTGATTCTGACTAGGTTGACGTGCGAATTGAACTTCAGGTGGCAATGCCATAACCGGAGGAGACAGACCTAATCCTAGCATTGCCTGCACTTGGTGAAGGTACTGTTCTGTCCCATAAGAAGACATGAATGAGAGTAGGTACCTTGGCATGGCGATGTAAGGAAAGTTTCTGGCTGAGTGAGACAGTGTTGAAGCAACGGACTGCTCCTGTAAACGAAACCATCCAAGGAAGAACCTTCTGGTTTGATACTCATGAAACAAAAAGCAATCTTGACACACTTGTCACTTCTTTGTACAGAGTGCTGAGTCCTGACCTTGTTGATGGTACGTTTTCATCCCCATCCATAACTGATGAAATGTAGATAAAGCCCTGCCGATACAAAATGAAAGCTAAGAAAACATCTTTGAAATGTCATATTACAGATTGAAAAAGATTGCAGTTATGAATTGTGGGTTGGAGAGTTAGATGAATACCTCTTCTGTGTGGCTAATGGCAAATCCAAGCTTAGCGTCATCTTCTTCTATTTTGACCTCAATTGCGAATTCTCCACATAAAGGTGCATACCAAAGACGAACTGCTCTGAATACACCGATATCAACCCCATGGTAATCCTCAAAACCATACAACCTTACATTAGCAAGATTAGACAGAACACATTGTATATCAAAACTCAAACTGTGTACCAAGTCACTGCTTGTTCAGGAGGAAAACTTACTTTCGACAATGTATCCGTAAGACCATAATATGGAAGACAGCATCTAATAACATCATTTCCACAAACTCCTAATTGCTAAAGATCAATGTTTTCTGCATAACAATTCTTTCTTATGCTCATCAACAACCGTGATAGAAACCTCCAAGCTTCCCTTGGTCTCAAAAAGGAAATCTTGCAAGCACCTCATTTTATGCTCTTCCATTGCTTTTAGCTCTTCTTTGCCATGGTGAAACAGGCCGATTGAGACTACTCACAGTGAGTAAGCCTTGTCGTTGGACACTCGAATTTGGGGAGAAATTGTAGATACAGCAAACATCTGAAAATGGAACCAAAATTTCCTACTTTTTTGTCAGAGACTTTGCTAAGTTGTTGATATCAAGTGAAACTTGAGTAGTACTGTTTTTCATCTGCTCACTTGATGACTGCAATGAATTGATAAGATTGTTAGTGCGAGCATCTATGAATCATTGATGATCTAACAAATTCAAACACAAATATAAAAACATCACAAAATTCACGTACAAAAAGATTCTCAAACAACAAGAGGTGCGCGTCTATTATATATATATGCAAGGAATGATGAAATCTGAAACTTTTCACTTAAAATCATTTCATTTTTTTACTAGTTAATTAAACAGCAATAAAAAGGAAACACGGCTATTTTTCATGGCAACTTACAGCGAGAAGTGTCAAATTCTTCTCTTCAAATTAAAAAGGCCAATCTTAGTAGCTCACATTATACCCAAATGCTGCTCCGCAATTTTTTCATCTGTGTTTCTTAATTTCTACGCAAAGCCTTTTGGGTGATAGATATACAGATAAGCATAAAAAATAAAGCAACAAACAACAAAGAAACGCCAGAACTTTGTGTTACCATATAATTAGAGGTAAATCAGCCTATAATATTGCCGATAATCACTACTTAGATTGTACAGCTATAGCTTGAGGCTAATTAGCCTATAATCACTCTGTACTCATCTATTTATTGGAATGAAAGATAAGAGAAAGTGTTGTGGTATTCAACCAAAACTTCTCTCTTTTTGTCAAGCTTATCAATTTGCAGAAAAAGCAGATGTAAATCAACCAGAACTTAACATTTAGGAAGTTTCCTAAAGACAAGGATTCTTCTTTGAAGAAAAATTCCAACATTATTTAATTGTGACCTACCGATCATCATCAAGATGGATCACACTCTATGAAATTCACCTCCAGGAAAGCATCATATCATCAATGCTAGCTTTGTAGTGACATTTCAATGCCAAATTCATTTGGGATCAATTTTACCCATCAATTTGATTAGGAAATATTAAAGACAGGTCATCAAACACGTAGAATTCAACGCAAATTTTCATTCAATCCAGAAGAGATTTACAACGAAGCCAAACCCTAAATCTACTAACTAACAAACGAGCGACATGAAATCTAAATAGAGACAGACGCTGTACCCTAAACCCAACATCACTAACTTGATTAAGCTCTCTCTCCTCTGATCCTACGGGCCAACTGGATATCCTTAGGCATGATAGTAACCCTCTTAGCATGAATAGCACACAAGTTGGTATCCTCAAACAACCCAACAAGGTAAGCCTCTGCGGCCTCTTGAAGAGCTGCTACCGCACTGCTTTGGAATCTCAAATCTGTCTTAAAATCTTGTGCTATTTCCCTCACCAGCCTTTGAAATGGCAGTTTCCTTATCAACAGCTCGGTGCTCTTCTGGTACTTCCTAATTTCTCTCAAGGCCACAGTTCCTGGCCTGAAACGGTGAGGCTTCTTAACCCCTCCGGTGGCTGGAGCAGATTTCCTAGCAGCCTTAGTGGCTAGTTGCTTCCTTGGGGCTTTTCCTCCGGTGGATTTTCTTGCTGTTTGCTTTGTGCGAGCCATTGAAAGGTTTGAATTAGGAAATTGGATTTGTGTTTGTTTGTCGAGAAAAGGAGGAAAAACTAGGGGTTTGGTTGTTTTTGGTGGGTAGCGAGATGTGGTTCTGACGATTTTTATAGGGCAAAGTGAGAGCGAAAAAGAGGAAGGGGAAGGTGAAATGGAATTTGAACCGTTGATTGGTAAGTTAATGGACGGTTTGGATGGCTATCCGTGCCCACGTGAAGCCCCCAATAGGATTGTTTCTTTTTGGCGGGCTCGGTTTTGTACTCTTGGCGCTTTTGAAATTTTGAGCTCCTATCTTCTTTAGCGAGATTTTAGGAACTGGGAATTTGAAGGAATCAGCGGCTGTGAATGCTTGGAGAAACGTGACAAGGATTGCCATCCGCGTGCTCTGTAGTGTAACCAATAGAAATGCTTTATTTGCTTCGGTTTAGAGGCTTTGAGAGAATAAATACAGACCGTTGATTTGCTGGATTAGGTAAGCTTGGGACAAGCTGGATGTCATCGTGGATTAATCTGGATGATAAACACATATAAAGAGTAAATTATAAATTAGCTCCTTTAGTTTTCTAAAAAGAATTAAATAGTTTCTATAGTTTCAATAACTACTTAATTAATTTTTATGTTTTTACATCTATTTATAACTTAATCATTTTCATTATTTTTTAATTTATTTAGTATTTTTTGTTTAAATAAATAGAAAAGAAAAAATTTAAGTAAAAATATGAAAATATAGATGAAAAAAAAGACACTTTTTGAATAATTATTAGTTTTTGAAACAAATGAACCTATTTAATTTGTTTTTCAAAACTAGAGGGATTTATTTAGAATTCACTGAAATAATTATTGGGATTAGTCTAAAAAACTGGTGAGAGTACACCTACTGAGGAAAAAAAAAACTAATTTATAGTTGGCTTGGCGTTTTTCTTTGAAAATTGTGGAAATTTTATGAAAGTAACTGAAAATTCTGAAAACTTGGAAATTCAATCGAGGAAAAAAATTAAGGACTAATTTGAGATTTGGGTTATTATTTGGGAGCTAATTTGAGGTTTATCCTTATTATTGCATTCAATATTAAAAATCACAACTAAATAATTGGTGCTCCTAATTATCTTTGGATACAAGTAAAATTTCTTCTTTCCCACAATCCAATTCATTTATCCCAAATTTTGAAACAAAGACATGAATTGAAAAAAAAAAAAGAGAGAGAGAGGAAGAAGAAAGATCAGTTGCTTGTTTTTTTCATCATAATAAAACTAAAAAAAAAAATCAATATCATTCACGAGTAAATTATAAATTAGTCCTTCTAGTTTTAAAAAAAGAATCAATTAGTGCCTTCTATATCAAAACTAATTATTTTAGTTCTTTTTGTCCATTTTATGTTTTTTTCTAATTTAATTTATTTTTTATTTTTTAAAACACATAGATATTATGGAATAATCTATGAGAAAAAAAGATATATTTTAAAATAAAGTGATATCAAATTAAATGTGATCAACACTCATCAGGAGATTAAATAATTAATTTTTAAAGCAAAACAAAGTAATTGATTTGTTTCTCCAAACTAGAGGGACAAACTTATAATTTACTCTATTTTTCATAGTTCTCAAACTACAAAGTAAAGAGTCATTGGGGATTCATTCATGTTTACCTTGCCTAATTCCAAAAAAAAATAAAAGAAACTTTCACAAAACATAATAATGATAATTCAAATACCACAGCCACTCACATAAAAAAAATGTAAAATTTAGAACAAAATCAATGCTAGTACTGATATCAAAATGTCTAGGTTACACATACAACCAAAATAGGGAGATAGCTAACATTTTATTTTCTAAGTAATTTTCCACTCAATTGTAAAAGTAGTTCTAAGTCATTCTGAAAATTCCAAAATAAACCTATATGTGAATGAAATCAAAGGAAATTCTTTACTTGTAAATGTTCTTTATATACAGCAATCACCAAGGAAGTTGTCAAGCATAATGAAGAATAAAAATTATACCCAGTTGTTTGAAAGTGAAAAATCATGGAACCGAAAAGATGTTTCTCCGGCAGTGTCTCGATCAAGCCTAATCTCTGCCTCATTCCCCACTACTCCATCATCCGACATATCAGCTGGCAGAGGCTGTATTTGATTCTGACTAGGTTGACGTGTGAATTGAACTTCAGGTGGCAATGCCATAACAGGAGGAGACACAGACCTAATCCTAGCATTGCCTGCACTCGGTGAAGGTAATGTTCTGTCCCATAAGAAGACATGAATGAGAATAGGCACCTTGGCATGGCGATGTAAGGAAAGTTTCTGGCTGAGTGAGACAGTGTCGAAGCATCGGACTGCTCCTGTCGACGAAACCATCCAAGGAAGGACCTTCTGGTTTGATACTCTTGAAACAACCAGCAATCTTGATGCACTTGTTGCTTCTTTGTATAGATTGCTGAGTCCTGACCTTGTTGATGGTACGTTTTCATCACCATCCATAACTGATGAAATATAGATAAAGCCCTGTCGATACAAAATGAAAGCTAAGAAAACATCTTTGAAATGACATATTACAGATTGAAAAAGATTGCAGTTATGAATTGTAGGTTGGAGAGTTAGAGGAATACCTCTTCTGTGCGGCTAATGGCAAATCCAAGCTTAGTGTCATCTTCTTCTATTTTGACCTCAATTGCGAATTCTCCACATAAAGGTGCATACCAAAGACGAACTGCTCTGACTACACCAATATCAACCCCATGGTAATCTTCAAAACCATACAAGCTGACATTAGCAAGATTAGACAAATCGGATAATGAGCCGGCATTCACAGTTGAAGAAGCTGTCTCTCCGGATATCTGTCAAAAATATAACAGAAACCTATGTTTCATTATTGCGAGCCAAGGGGACATTGCCAGAATTATAAAAATTTGTCGTGCTTTCGGTCTTATTAGGTAGAAGATACATTCAGTAGTTATTGTTGCTGACAATTTATGGGCCGAGGTTTAACGTTGCATAAAAGGATCTCTATGATAATACTGCTGAAGTTGATACAGGTTTTCCATGGAATTTGAGTTGAAAATTAGTTAGAACATGCGTCTGAAAATCGACAAGTATTTAAACTAATCCAACTTTATTGATGCTAGAATGGTTACCTTGGTAAGCAGGGATTCAGTCTGAATATTCATGAAAACAACTGGAACCCCAGTAGCCTGAGATGCATACAGCCACGCATTTGCCCTGGCAAGAGTGTCCTCCAAGTCATTGTACCGAGAAGCAACTCTATCTGAAGCTTTTGGAAGGAGGAGTATCGAAAGAAAGCTGCTTGAACTTGGAACATTTAGCACCTCCTTCATCCTCTTTTCCCACGGATATGCCACATATCCATCTTGAAGCTTAGCCCTCTGCAATGCACTAACAATTCTGGAGCTTCTTGAAGCTGCAAAAATCCAACCAATCATCTCACATTAATAGAAACAGTAACAGGACAGAAAAAACAAGTTGCAAATTAAGTTCTAGTTCACCAAATCAGCTACTGCAGAAGATTTAATATTGTTGACCTGAGATTCCATTGCCTAGATCCATCAGCTACATAGTGTACAAGGCATTTGAAATGTACAATAGTGTTTTAAGCATTCCATCGCATTTGTTGACACTTGTGAAGCTGGATTAAGTGCCCACTAAAAGCTGCAGGACACTGCAACCGCTAACAAGTTTGCACTGGAATGGCTCAAGAATGACCCAAGGCTAAATTCATTTAAAAGATTAGTTGAGAGGCACATTAAGATTTTGTCAGTGCAGCATAATTCGAACAGTTGATTGCGATTTGTAGATACTAAACAATGAGAAGGGATTACTTAATGCAGTTATATCCAGTTTTTGAAGACATGGAAATATGTAATCATGGGAGAGGAAGTAAGAGCCAAGGTCAGACAGTGAAACGCCAGTCGCGTAAGCATTATTAAGGGATCTTTTAGCTCTAGCTAAAGATTTGAAGGACATGGTGACAAATGATAGTTTCTTTGAATCAAAGCTTGGGACTTCAAGAGGGCATTACACACCAAACAGAGCAAAAACCAACAAGAGATACGCAGAAGATGGCATTTTTCTACCAATACTGTGATTTTAAAACTGATGCAAGCCAATTAATTACAGCCCTAGTCCATGTTACTTGTGCAGAACACTGTTCTCTGTCATTGAAGCATCAGAATTCCAGTCCACAGAAAAGGAAAAGTGTGAGATTTTAAAATAACTTTAAAATGTAAGATTCGTAGACACTGAATCTAACATTCATCAAATAAGGGCAGGGATGCAATCATGGCATTCATTACTTTTCTGTGAAGTGACTGGTTTTGACTCTTGAAGTGGAGAAATTCTTCTTGGCAACCAATGTTTCTTGTAGAATCTGAACTCTATAAAGTCCAAAACCACAAACACTAGCTCATGTGTAAACACCAAAACCTCAAGTTTGAAGGGTTGAAATATCAATCAAATATGATGCGAAAGAAAATAGGTGACCTAAAATAAATGGCAACTGATAAAAGCCAGCACCATCTGGACGTGGACCAAAAAATGTCGTCATGTCGTGTTTCACCACCCCAAATTAGAGACAACAATGGATGAAGCATTGCTGCATTCATACGAGAAGCAGATTCTTGAAAAAGACATGATAAGGAAAAGGAAATGGAAAAATTCACGAACTTGACAAGTGGGCCAAGGAGATAAACTCCAGGCATGAAACCCACTGACTTTTTGTGACAATCTAGAAAACAATTAGTAGTGGTGATTATCTCCAAGGAAAAAAAATCTTAAGGGAAAATTATGTGACCCAATAGTCAATACCGACCAAATTCTGCCAACCACGGTACATACGTAGCACACATTTGATAGAATACACATGTTTCCAAAGCAAGTGGGTGAGAAAAAGAGACAAATAAAAACTAAATGGAAATAAAAATTTCTACTTGTTCATTGTGTTTGTATAATTTTTACAATTTATTCAAAGATATTCAACTACTTGTTAATAATCATATATTTTCTCAACTTCAAAAAATTATCACGTTTAATTTTATTAATTGATATGCCATGTTATTATTTTTCATTTATATTTTTTCAAAAATGTAAATCCAGATAAATAATTTTCAAACAAACAAAAATAAAAAACATTACATTTTTTTTTAAAGAATGGAAGAAGTAATATTGTTTATATAATTTTTTCTTTTTAAAGCTTGATTATGAAATTTAAGAAATCATACCATATAAGCTCTTTTTTTTAAAAAAAATTAAACTTGACACAAAAAGCTTTATATGAACATAAAAAATAAAACCCATTTTGCTTGTCTTAAAAAAAGAGGGAGATAGAACATAGTACTCATCAAAAAGTCAGAGTCAACGCAAAGAACTAAACTGAAAAAAAAAAAAAAAAAAAAAAAAAAAAAAGCTGAAAAGAATCAAAAGTTCATCGTGTAACTCACCTTGTAATTCAAAGCAATCAGCTTCAGACCGATCGGTGAACCCGACAGCATAATTCGGATCGTCAATAGACCTCAAAACATACTTATTTTTATAACCCGACTCAGGCACAACACAGGCATGCAACTCAACAAACTCATCTCTACCACGTCTAACTCGAACAACAATGGAGGTCTCTTTGTTTTTGAACGAGTTATGAAGTATCTTCTGAACCCCACTTTTTCCATTCTTGAATGGAGCTTGATATCTCATAGACCTGGATCCGGATGATGATGATGATCCGGATCCGATCAGAATTTCTTCTACTATATCTCCTGTTTGAAGCATGTCTCCTGTCCATTCGTCAGCTTTTGAACTCCCTTTTAGACATTCTACTGAGAGAACTAGAATTGATTTTGAGTCTCTGCCTGGCGTTTCTGGTGGTGAGTTTCGGTCCATGGTCATTTTCGGGTCGGGTTATGACTCGTTAGTTTCGTGCTTGTGGGGTGATCATTGTTTGGTTGATCAAGAAGAGTTGATCCTGTAACTAAACAGGGCCAGAGAGATTCTGGATTCTAGTTCTAGATTCTAAAAGAGAAAGTAGAGAGAGAGAGAGAGAGAGAGGGAGAGAGCGAGGGAGAGAGAAAGGAAGGGGTTTATGGGTTAATTATATAGTACTAATATAACATAATATACAAGATTAGATTTTTTTTTTAAGTAAATTATAAATTAATCCTTCTAGTTTTTCGGAAGGAATTAAATAGTAACTCTACTTTTAATAGCTACTTAATCAGTTCTTATATTTTAAAATCTATTTGTAACTTAATAGTTTTTTAATTTATTTTGTTTTTTTTCATAAACAGAAAAAAAAATGTGAAAGGATTAATGAGAAAATTTTTTTTATAAAATATTATTAAATTACCAATAATCAATATTGGTTAAGAGACTAAATAATTAGTTTTTTAAAAAAATAAGAGGAATTATTTAATTCGTTTTGCAAAACTAAAGGGACTGATTTATAATTTAATAGATTTTTGGAGGGTTGTTTTGTTAATTTTTTGTGTTTGAAGAGACAAGTTGATGGAACAAGGTGCAGTGGGCTAAGTCAAAGTTTTTTATTCTTTTTATTTATTATTATTATTATTATTATTTTGTTTGGGAAATGTGCTTGATTAAGTAACTTAATTTTAAAGAGTTTATAGCCATTGTTTATGGATATTTGCATAATATGGTGCATTATAACGTACCTGTAAATGAAGTATTCTGACTCCAGGGATGAATAATTAAAATGGACACTAATTAAAATTCCAAAAAGCCATAAATAATTAAAGTTTCAATACCATTGTTACGTAAACAAAAATGATATGCAAAACTTGAGGACGGAGGAGAGAGGCCAAATATAGGATTTTATTCTTGAAAAAAATATCTATCTTTTGATTTTTTTTTTTCCCATCTATTCTATGATTGAAACCAATAAAGATGCATATCACACCAAGATTTTGAATTAGAATAAAATTTCAAGAAATAGTAAATCTATTCACTCTATCAATATTAAGGTTAGATCCGATATATTGTAAACGATTTACTTTTTTTGTTGATTTTTACGGATTGGATCATAAATAATTCAAATCTAGAAATGAATCGAAAGAAATATTTATTGGTTTTAAATCCTATATTTATGTTACCACTTTATATTTTTTTTAATTAAAATGGAGAGTTCAAATAAAAGTCTATAGAGGGAATTACGTAATACAAAAGCAAAAAAACCTAATACCATACATATCTTGTAAACAATAAAAAAACAATCGAGTAGAATACATGAAAAATAATACAGATTAAGTGGCAAAAAAAAACATGATTTATTAATCAATTAGTGCAGCGATTAGCTTCTTGATAAACATAAGTAATTTGAATTTGTTAAGTATCCAATTAAATTGCTCTAATTAGATGAGTATTATCAAGATCGGTACATTAATCGTTTTAAATTAATTAGATTGTAGCTTTACAATCTAAATTACCACTTTATATTTATACTTTGAATTCAAAGAAGGCTATGAATAAAAAAAAGATAAATTTAATAATATAAATTCAATAATTTATTTAAAACTCCATTCGATTACTATTTGAATCATGGTACGAAAATTGGTCCCTGATACGTCATCGTTGGAAATCATTTTTATAATAGGAGAATGGATATCAGTAGATTTTGTCAAAGTTGAACAAATTTTGTGTGTGGAATTTTTTTATTTAATTCAACAAATTGTCTCTAGAAAGAAATTTCCTGAATATGTTGCAAAGAAAAAATGGTCTATGATATTGAATATGGAAACGACAACAATTGAAGTATTGAATTGTTGAATTGTCCAAGTTTCGTTTCTCAAAGAGCTAAAATATTAATTTTATGAAAAGGAAATGAAAAGTTAATTAAGCAATTAAAAATAACTTTGGGACAAAAATAATTAAGCATCTAATCGTGTTGATTAGGAAATTTCCGATTAGAGAAGTGCTTACGTTAGCCAGAACTTTTGTTCGGTTGTTAACTAATAGTGATGGTGCTGATTGGTCACTGGTCATGTCTTTTTAATTCGGAGTAACATCGTGCCAGCTATCAACCATGGGAACGAAGGAAAGGAGCAAATTATAAATTCGTCCCTCTAGTTTCTAACAGCGAATTAATTAATTTTTATTATTTTAAAAATATTTTATTTATTAAATTGTGGAAACTCACGTAGATGAAAATCCATAATATAAGATGTTATACAAATTTAATACAGCAATTTCGTTAGTCAATTAGTAAGAGAGGGTCAAGAGGATAGCGGGTCGAAGGCAAAGTTTATAAAAAATCTATAGAATGTTAGATCAGATGTATAGGCTTGTTATGTCATTTTTCTTATAAATCTAATTTTTTACATTATAAATAAAGACAACATCAATTATATTTGTAACTATTATTTAATAAAATTTAATAAGAAATTCTAATACGATCGTGAAGCGGACATTATTATCGAATCATGTAAAATTTTTATATAGTGTAATTGTTTTTGTTTATTTTACTTTATTCTCCTACTTGAACCGTTTCCTAACCTTATTTTCATTCGTATTGTTAATTTTTTTTATTTTTTAAAACAAAAATTTTAAATAAATTGAAAAAAGAAAGAAAAGGATTATATTATAAATAGATTTAAAAATAGAAAAATTAATTAATTTTTAAAATAAAAAATCAATTAATTCGTTTTTCAAAAGTAGATGAATCAATTTATAATTTACCAGCGGAGGAACGAATTGATGGAGATTAATTAATTGACGATGTCCTTTTTTTTTCTTAAGAAAAATGAAATCATGAACTAGCCAATTACTATGGAAATGGGAAGGTGCTGCTCCAAATAAAATTAGATCACCATCTCTAATATTAATTAAATTACCTTCTCAATTGATATTTCAACTTTTTTTTTTCGTTTGAAGAAAAAACATATTTCAGCATTTTGAGTCTTTTTTGTTTTGAATGAACCTTTGAATATATATATATATAATCAATTTTTATCTATCTGTACTGACTGTTGTTTTCACTTGATTATTAAAAAGTAATTTTTTTCTTTTTGGTAGTTACCGAAAAAGGGTGAACGTATTTTGTTGCTCATGTCCAAAATATTACGTAATCATTTTCTTTAATTATGTTTATAATTAGTGGGTATTATGGAATTAGATTTTGTATCAATCAAGATTGCTATTTCTTTAAGCTAGATTAGCAATAGATCATACCTAATCGTTGATCAATTTTAGAATTAGAATTTTTTAAAAAGACAAACAGTGTTGTTAGGTTGAAAAAAAAACCATCATGACTTGCAAATTGCAAATTTCTTCGCATGGCTTTCTTGGTTGAATTTTTAATTAAAATTTTATGTAATTTCTAACTTGATGGGATTTGATGCTAGGAATCTTATTAGAATAAAAACAACAAACTTAAAAAAAAATAATAATAATAAATAAATAAATAAGATTTTGGGTACCATTGGAAGTGGGCTCTACACAAGCAGACAGACAATGCAGAGAAATTTTCTTGGACAACGGACAGAAGGTTCTTAGGACCATTGACTAACCTGTAGTGCACATCGCACGTGCTATTTTGGAGGCTACGCGCTATTTCGGAGATTACGAGTACGACCCAATCATTGACAAGAGAAAATTATTTTACTTGCTGGCGTGCTAGGGAAAATAAAGCGCGGATTTGAGGTGTAGTATTTGATGTGACGTCGACAAGAAAAGCTGATGCTGACGTTAACATGAACGAACACAATTAAATGCGAAGCAACTCAGTGGTCAACATTCATGCTTACGGGTTTTGCTTTTTTTTTTTTTTTTAATGGGTTCCATTGATTAACCCTGTGGTTGGAAATTTCCTCTTGAAAGTAAAGAAAAGAAAAGAGACAAAGCGAGAGAGAGAAAAAAAATATTTTTTATTTATTATTTGGATAAAAATAGAAATAAAAGAAAATAATTTTTTCTCACTTTGCTATCAATTTTGAGAGAAAAATAGTTACCATCAGCTATAGCTTTGTTTATTATTATTTTCATTCAACAGGTTTCCTCTGCAAAACAAAACGAATGAAACTTTTCTTTCTTTTCTAATTTTCTTTTCTTTCCTTTACTTTCCACCCTATCCAAACAGGCCATGAAAAAATCTAAAAGGCATAAGCATTTTGATGTATCTAGACTGCTCATCTTCTCTCTCTCTCTCTTAACTATTCATATCATTTTTTTTTCTTTTAATCCGGTTTTTGGGTTTTCTTTTTAATTTTTTTTTTAGCTTTGCATAAAAAAAACCTTTTTATTTTATTTTTAATTTCTATCATGCCACTCAATAGATTTATGAAACTTCACATTTACTCTTGATTGATTTGCTTTGAGTTTGCTTCTTGGGTTTTTTTTATCCTTTCCTTTGTTTGTCGATCATTTATTTTAGACAAAGCATTTAATGCTCTATCATTCATTTTTTTCCTCTTTGTTTGTTTTTGGAAGGGAAGAATTGCAATCAAGAATAAATTAGTCGTTGTTGTTTCCACAAATAAATTAATTAGTTTCTATAATTTTAAAAATTGATTATTTAATTTTATTTACTATTCTTTAATTAATTTATTTATTTATTGCTTTAGCATACAGAAAATAAATAAAAAATAAGTGAAAATATGAATAGATTGATAAAAAAGAAGAAGATATTTTTGTGTTTAAAGTTGTAGTCTAAAAACACTTTTATGCTTTCTTAAAAAAAATGCTTATTTTTAAAATCTATATAATAAACCTAATATACATACTTTTAAAAATTAATATTCTCATCAATATTATAAAAATTTATTTTACATCTTAAAATTTTTATGCAATTTTCAAAAACAATAATTGTTGCTTTATTTTCTTGATACAATCTTATAAAATAAATAATTAAATTTATAAATATTTTTTTAGGA